GGTATGTCCTCTAACCTTCTAAAGCTTATTATAGTGTATATCTTGTTGCCACTCACTGCAAGTATTAACTGCTGCTTGCTCTCTGGCTTTTTCCCCAAAAAACTGAAGTTTTCAAAAGTTGTTCCAATTTATAAAAAGGGTCCGAGGGAGAATCCTAGTAGTTACCGGCCCATTTCGTTAGTTCCTGTGATTGGCAAAGTGTTCAAAACCATAATAAAATCACAATTAATGAAATTTTTTGAATACCATGGCCTAATATCTGATTGGCAATTTGGGTTTCGAACGGGTAGATGTGCCACGGATGCGGTAAGGCGCTTGGTGCAGCATGTGCTAAATTCTTATGAAAACGCCTCTCTTACCCAGGCAACTCTAGTTGACCTGAGTAAAGCGTTTGATTGTGTTCCCCATGGTTTACTTTTGAATAAACTTGAGTACTACGGTATCCGTGGCACAGAACTCAATCTTTTTAAGTCTTACTTATCAGACCGCAGGCAGCAGGTTGATGTTGCAGGTATATTGTCAGATGAGAGTGAGGTTTTTTGCGGAGTGCCCCAGGGCTCGGTGTTAGGCCCTGTTCTTTTCCTTATAATGATTAATGATTTGGATAAATGTATGTCCTGTACTTCTGTGATTTATGCGGATGACTCCACTTTCTTAAATAGTCAAGGTACCTTTAGTGAACTCATGGTGCTGTCCAAACTTTCCCTCAATGAAGCTAGGAACTGGTTCAGTGTCAATGGGTTTTTTTATGAATCCTGAAAAGACTCAAACTATTGTTTTTAGGTTAGGTCGCACACCTGAGGAAGAAAAGAATTTTTCGTCAAGTGTAAATTTATTAGGCATAGATTTGGATAGTGATTTAAGCTGGTCAACCCATTTATATAACTTAAGTAAGAAATTGTCAAGAGTTTTATTTTTAACTAGCTGTGTGCCCGTTCTACGCACGGGGATCTTATAGTAGTCAGTTGAAACCTTCTTATATTAAGATTAAGAACAGCAATTAGTTTGCATATTTGCAGATATGCTGGCAAAACTATTATATATAAACCTTCGCAAATACAGTATCTGACAGTTCAAGCCAAAATAAATGCTTCGCAATTAAATGTCACCCGGATCGTGTTGGTCCATATGTCCAATGATTAAACTTAAAAATGTTTTATAGATCCATGAAGCGTAGCCCTAAAGTAGGCCTATAATTGAAAGTTACTTTCCACAATGGTCTGTTACTGTGGGGTAACTCCACCCACATTCTAATAATTTTAAAGCTTCAAAAAAAGGCTGTAAGACTGTTGACCAATTCAGGGTTGAGGGACCATTGTAAACCTCTTTTTAAAGCAACAGGTATCCTGACAACTGTAAATTTGTATACAGGGTGGTCGCGAATAAGCGTTAAACCTTTTATTGGGTATAAGAGGAGCATAAATGGAACTTGTAAACGTGGTTTAAAAAAATATATCTCATACACACCCCCAGAGATGACTTGTTTTAAGTTTTTTGAAAAAAATTGACATTAATGCAAAAATGTTGCATTTTCGGGTTATTTTAAAACTTTCATCAACATTTAACTGCACCTTCGCGTTCTCCACAAAATTTTGTATAAAAATACATGTATTTCAACTTGCTTTAATCTGCATAGCTACTTATTAAATTGAATAGAAATAAAAATTTGTGTTTTTCAAAATTTTTTTAAAAAATATGTAAACATAAAACTTTTTCCAAAAAAACTTTTAAAGAGCAGCAAATACTTTTAAAAACTGCTCCATGATCTAAGCTTTCAAACAATACCATAAAACGTAATGTTTGATCCCGATAAATGTCCGCTATTCAAGTTTGAATGGCGTAAAACACAGGTTTCCCAAAACATTTTCACTACTGTCGCGTCGTAATAATGTTTTTTAGATTAATTAAAATAGCACCATCTAAACGGATTTTGAAATAATTTTTTGACAATCTTTTTCAAACTGGATGAAGTAACTCAGCTGTAAGGCCAATCTTATACCAATTCAAGTAAGATATGTATGATATGAAATTAAAAATTAATAATAACTCATTACGTAGTAGAGAAATTAGTTTTATTATTTACAGTAGGCCTACAGCCATGATATGAAACGAAAAAGACTTAGTCGTTTTCTCTTATTTACACAACTGCATATTTCACTAAAACGACAAGGTTGTGTCCTATTAAACCTAAAAAAAAAAACACTATACAGATATTTGAAAAACTTCAACTTAATAAATAAAAGTAGCCTTAAAATATGTTAAAATGAAAATATTACAGTAGTTGGGGATTAAATTGAACCCATGAGACAAATAATTTAGTTTCAGGTGATAAAAATGTTCAACATTTTGCATAGATTGTACAGACATTTCATCAAATTTTAATAAAAAAACACAGTTAGCCCTAAAATATGGTAAAATTAAAAGATTAAATAATGGATTAAAATAAACAAAAAGCTATGAAAGACACAATCGATTTTGGGGAAAATATACATTTTCAAATCTCTCGGAGACGTGAAAAATTGTGTGGACACTTGAAACAAGAGAGGTCGACATTCACTTAAGAAGATTTTCGAAATGATGGCCATTCTGTCTAATACAGGCTCTGGCTCTCTTTCTCATAGATTGAACAGTTACGCTATGGCTCATCTTTCCCCTGACCACTTCTGCTGCTCCAATGATCCTGTTCAAAAGTTCTTCTTCAGTGTTTACAGGGGTTGCGTAGACAACTGATTTCATAAATCCCCAAACAAAAAAATCCATTGGGTTAAGATCCGGAGATCTGGCAGGCCAAGAAACAGTGCCTCCTCGTCCGATCCAAGTAGGGAAGTTGAGATGAAGCCATTCTCTCACTTGATTGGTGAAGTGAGGTGGAGCTCCGTCTTGTTGGAATATAATTTCGTCACGAAAGGCAGGGTCAATAGCATCCAGAATTTGAGGCAAATTATGCTGTAGGAAGTCGAGGTAGACATCTCCGTTCAGATTACCCTGAAAAATGTGAGGGCCTAATAATCTATCCCCTACCACTGCTGCCCATACGTTTATGCTAAATCTGTTTTGGAAGGACATCTCCCTTAGTGCGTTAGGGTTTTCTGTTTTCCACATATGCATGTTGTGGAAGTTAAACACGCCTTGTCTAGTGAACAGAGCTTCATCCGTCCACAAAATCTTCTTGAAAAAGTGATTTTGTTCGATATCACAGTTCAGGAGATATCGACAGAAGTCTACCCTAGGGACGTAATCGTTAGGCTCAAGGCCTTGAACCTTAGTGAAGTGATAGGGATGAAAGTTATTTTTCTGCAAAACTTTCACAGTTGTTTTACTTACACCAGTAGCCCTAGCAAGATTCCTACTGCTGATCTCCGGCTCTTCCTCCACGCGCTCCAGGATATCTTCCTCCACGTAGACTTCCATCCGTGCTCCGCCCACCTCAGGCTTCTCTCGATGCACAGTTCCCTGTTCTGATAGACGCTGGTGAAGTCTGGTGAATACTTGCGTACTCGGGACGCGCCGATCAGGATAGCGAAGTGAGTACTCTCGTTGAGACTCACTTGAGTTTCCGTTGCTGTAACCATACACGAAATGCATTTCTGCATATTCTTGATTGGAAAACATGTTGTGACCACTATTAAAAACCACTCAAAATTGTCTTTTGTTGATCAACGCGTGATTTATACACAACAGAAAACCTCAGATAATTGTTGGGGCCAACAGCTGTTCGTTATAATTTAATAGTTTATAATAATGAACAAGGCTGTAATATTATACATGAAACTGTTTTTAATAGTAAAATGTTTTGGGTAACCTGTGTTTTACGCCATTCAAACTTGAATTGCGGACATTTATCGGGATCAAACATTACGTTTTATGGTATTGTTTGAAAGCTTAGATCATGGAGCAGTTTTTAAAAGTATTTGCTGCTCTTTAAAAGTTTTTTTGGAAAAAGTTTTATGTTTACATATTTTTTTAAAAAATTTTGAAAAACACAAATTTTTATTTCTATTCAATTTAATAAGTAGCTATGCAGATTAAAGCAAGTTGAAATACGTGTATTTTTATACAAAATTTTGTGGAGAACGCGAAGGTGCAGTTAAATGTTGATGAAAGTTTTAAAATAACCCGAAAAATGCAACATTTTTGTATTAATGTCAATTTTTTTCAAAAAACTTAAAACAAGTCATCTCTGGGGGTGTGTATGAGATATATTTTTTTAAACCACGTTTACAAGTTCCATTTATGCTCCTCTTATACCCAATAAAAGGTTTAACGCTTATTCGCGACCACCCTGTATATTAGAGTGTGTTATTTTTGTAAAACAAAATTCACATTTCTTTAGCTCAAGAAATAATTTTCACTCATATTACACAAGGGGAAGATCTGCTTTGGATAGGCCATACACCAGACTAACAACAGTACAGCAAAGTTTTGCTAGTATATCAGTAAAAATAGTAAATTGTTTTGCAAGTGAAATACTTGACATTCCTTGTACTCGGCTAAAACAAAAGTTGATGGTTTGGCTTGCTGACCACCCTTTTTACAGTTTAGATGAATTTTTTGCAGAATACAATTGTAATGGTAAAATTGTTATCTAGTTCTTACTTAGTCCCTAGTCAACCTAGTCTTTCAAACACTTGTTTAAGTACCTCACTTTTGTTTCATATATATAGTTCTGTGTTTTTCAAATGATTTTAGCTTTTATTTTCTTGTTGTCTTTGTTATATTTAAGTTTAGTGAAGATTCCATGTTATAGACCATGTTATACTATCTAGAATCTATGGCCCTTTTTTTGTTAACGAGGTCTATTGTAACATATGTTATTTAATGACCATTAAAGATTTATGATTTATGATTCTATGTAACCTTGACCAACATAGGCTACACAAATAGGGGTGAATCTCTGTCCCAAATATTTGTTATCTTACACATGTATAAAAACCTTACTCACCTTGTAAGTGCAGTTTGTGATTCTCTTGTCCGCTGTTGTATGTGATGATCTATATCAGGTTGGATCTGCTGATGAGTCTGGTGGAGGGGGGTCGCAACATAGAGTACCTGGAAGAGGAGATTGGGCCGTTCCTGCTAGAGTGGTTCGGTCAAGTAGTAACGGCCGATCGTGAGGTGGACTTTCTACATATGCTGGTCAACCTGATCAAGTATAACGCTGCCTACATCGACGAAGATGTCCTGCATGGATTTGTACAGTGAGTAGTCACATCATGATATTAAAGTGAAAAAATAGTAATACTGTGTTGGGTAAAAATTTTAATTTCAATAAAAATTTAAAACCTTGTCAGAAGATTTCATTAGTTGTGAACGAAGAGTTTTGCTGAGGGTTTTGTGAGTTATTCATTCCACTTTTGCTACTAAACTTAGCCTACTGTTAGCAAAAAAATCTGCATTTGTTTTAAAATAACCTACAGCCTACGTGCTAATCCAGCACAAACGGGACTTTAGTAGGGTTGGACTATTGAAAATGCAGAATTACATGTCTTCTAAATACAGGCCTTATCGGGAGACTAGCCAGAATACTACTGAAATGCAATCGTTGGCTGGCGGACTGTTTCTTTGTGTTTAATTGTGCTTTCTTTTGTTTTAGTAGTGATATAACATGCTAAATAGTAAAAAAAAATTAAAATTAAATACCCCAAATTTCGTCAAGTGCAACTGACATCTGCCGTTTACTCTCTACATCTGACTCTACCGATCACTCTTACATATCGCTTCCAACCCTGTTGATTGCATCCAACTTCGCCGAACACTCTAATATGGCCTTTGGGCTGATACCAGGTTATTGAAAGTGCCGGACCATTGGTTTCCGTATTGGCTGACTTTTACTGTAACAGCAACAAATAAATATAAAAACAGTCAAATTGTATAAGTCTTTAGCTGAAAATTTAGTTTGACAGTGCTTTTCTGTGTCCCTACATATTTTGGCGTGTTCTAGTAACATCTGCATGCTGGCTATGAAGTGTGGAGACACACAGACAGTGCTAGGGTGTTTACAAGTACTAGACACTGTGGTGTGTTACTCAACGTTGCCTCGGCAGTCGCTTCCCATCTACATCAGCTGCCTGTGTCGCACAGTCAACACAGAGGCCCACTGCATGCAAAGTTGGAAGGTAAGTTGGTTGCATCTTTGTAAACACAATATTCCAAATTCTTTAAGACCCAAAAAAAGGTAGCAAAATGTGTGATTTTGGGGCATCAGAGCACAGTCAGCTTTCAATTAACCCAACTAGATGCTCTACTTACAATGCTCTCCACAGGGTGCGTTTTACAAACATTTTGGACTGGTTGTGTTAGATTGTGCCAAAACCAGTGATACTTCTACCTAACTTCATCACAACTTTTCCTAACTTCATTACACGTTTTCTACAATAATAGAAAACTAATTTAGTTCTTTCATTTTGTTAGCTCAATATTTTTTTGGAAGAAATATTTTAAATAAAATGTGGGTTGGCAGATAATGCGCAACTTGCTGGGCACACACATGGGCCACTCTGGTATCTACACCATGGTGAGACTACTACAAGCGACAGATCTGCAGTCAGACGCTCAGTTGCTCCGAGGAGCTGTGTTCCACATTACCATGGCGTTGTGGTCAGCCAAGCGAGTAGACAAGCTCAAGTGCACTCACACATCCATCTTGCCTTCCTTCCAGTTTGTGAGTACCAGAACTAGTGCTGCTATTTGATTTGACTGACAACCTCTTCAACATCAGGTACACTAGTGCGGTTATAGCACTGCTGAACAAGATAGCAATTTTAGAAATAATCTTTAATTCCTATGCAATATCCTATTAATCTTTGAATATTTTGACCTACTAGCTTTTTTACATAGCTTCGTGCTCTAAATAATACAGTTCTTTGTAAATTATGGCCTTCAAAGAGCTCCCGTTGCGGCCCTTGGAAGCTAGTTAAAATCTGACACCACTACTGATGCTTTACTTTGTCCACTACATTTCTTGTCAATTCCTGTCCCTATGCGATGATTAGTCTCGTCATATTAGTTGAAAACAGAAAATCGATGCTCCCAAAAAGTATGAATAACGTCTTTTCTTTAAGTTGTATGCAACTATTGAATTACATCGGCAAAGACAGACATGAAAGGACTAGAGTGTTTTTAGTCATGCAAAATGTGTATGTATTGGTAGCTATATGAGTTTGCAGAGGAGTATACATCGAGGAAGGTAGCAGGTGTTATCATTTTCCATCAAGGCAATGGTGATAAGTTGAGAAAATTCTGCTTGCTGATTGGTGATTTTTGATTGGTGATTGGTCACCTATCAGTTTCGAAAGTTATACCGCTATCTGCATGTGAAATCCCCCTATTTAGCCACTGCATCTATCCAGACATATCGACAACTACAGCTAGACTATACCATACAAAACACTGTTTAAGTTACATTGTGCAAATATGTATGAGCAACTACGAGCTTCCTCCACCTGTAGCCTTTAACTAACACACAGCCCTCATGTACAGGCAATACAGAGTGATCACCCTACTGTGGTGTATGAGGTGATGCAGACGGTACACAGACTGGTGACCAAGTACGGACTGCAACTGGCTGACCCCACATGGACCATCCTACTGGCTCTCATGGAGGCCATTATACAACATATTGGTATATACTTCCAGTCACAATTTTGTTGTCATAAGTTTCCTTTTGATGTCAAAAATAAATTATAATTTGAGTATAATTTCAAATTCCTCTTTCAAAACAAAATGAAAATTATTTTACAATTTTTCCAATTTTTTTCAGCGATAACTTAATTAAAATGTGAAGTTGAAATATTGTTTTTTTATGTAGAGAACCACCCAAGCGAGCCAGTTACTCTCCTCACAACCACATTCCTACATGAAGCCCTGTGTACGGTTGAACAGCTGATAGAGCTAGGCCAGTTTAACGGCTCTGTTAGAACTGTGTTCCAGCTGATTGAACGATGCTCCTCTGTCAGACCGGTGAGTGCTGTAATGTCACCTACTTGGGGCTACTAACAATTACATAACTGCTCATACTTAAAGTGTTGGCATTAGTTTTTTGTACATAAAGTAAATGTCATATTTTGTGAATTGAAGTGGCCTAATTACGAACGGATTATTTATTGATCCATTGAGATTTTTAGATTTTTGGCATTGGTAACATTTTTTTACCTAAAAACCAAATTATCTTGGTCATACGCTGTCTGAGTGCTTGAAAAGAATCTTACAATATTTTAATCCAAGATTTTTTTGAAATAAATAAATAACATAGTCTTTTACATGTAATTTTATCCAACGGACGATTTTCTTCAGTAATGTAATCTAGTTGAACAAAATATATTGTCTTAAGCTGCAGCTTTTATTCACTAAATAAGTTTGTATTCTAATGTAATTCTCGTTCTCAAAAGTTCATGTAAAACGTACAAAAAATGTTATCGTTGTTGTAATGTGTAATATGTTTTAATGAATATTGTCATAGGTAGGCTGCTTCTTCCATAAGTCTTGATAAGAAGTGTAATAATTTGTATTGTAACTAGGAGAGCTCTGTGATGCGGTTAATCACCTATCTGTCACGCTCCATCGTCCCAACACAGCATGACTGGCTAGGAAAACTCAACAGTCTACTGGAACTGTACCTTCACCAGGAGACCAGAACTAACATACGACTACGAGCACTAGACGTGTTGTCCTCTGTCACACAAGCCAACAGGTAACCTGCAGTGGTCAGTAGACCTACAAATGTATCACGTACCTTGAGGTTCTGTAGTCTAGAACCAGTATGAATGCCCGTCTCTTGGGATAACTGGTATATGCGTTGATCTAAAGATAGTAAAGAACCACAACCATTACAGTATAAGTGACATGGATACACAAATCTGAAATGAGTAATGCCTTCTATAAGCCTTAGACGCTACCACAAGCTACTAGTGTTTGATTGGTATCATTGATTTTTACCATACATTGATTTTACTTCATAAAAATAGCACAAAAAGGCAAGAGGAAGAGTGCACTATGCTAGGAACACCATGTTGCATTCTATTTATAAATACATTCATTTTTCAAAGCTGACTCCTCACTGCTCAGCTAGGCCAAAACATATGATATTCTTTGAGCCCTTTTACATTATTTGGAAGTTTCTCAAATTAAAGTGGTTAGAAATGTGACATATATGATTATATTATAGGTTCCACTTTGAAGATGAGTTGCTGGAAGTGGTTGTGTTGCCGCACCTAGAGCATGTGGACCAAGAGAAGGACGTGACTGTTCGTAACGCCATCGCTGCGTTGGTGACGGACCTGTGTCTGCACTCTGCTGCTGACAACAAGCACTACCTTGAACTGCTGGATATACTGGAGAAGGTTGGTACAACCACAGAAAACATACTACTATAACCCAGAATGCCAACCGCATGGTAAAAACCATTAAGTGTTTTGAGAGAGCTTTGCCTGTCAATCCGTAGGCAGCGCCACCAGCGTTGCCATGCACTCAGCATAGCAACGCTGGTGGCGCTGCCTACGATTGACAGGCAAAGCTCTCTCAAAACACTTAATGGTTTTTACCATGCGGTTGGCATTCTGGGTTATAGTAGTATGTTTTCTGTGGTACAACTGATGCTTATCAGTTCTTCTGTGTGATTTCATTTTAATCGTAGTAACTTGGTTGTTTTTACAACTCTTTGATTTCTTCTAAGGGTCCTTGGTTTGATTAAACTCTTTAATGTCTGAATCAAACACATTCAGTTGTAATGTGTGCAGGTGATGATGAGAGCCTTTGAAGCTGAAGAGAAGCCACTGACAGAAGCAGAGGCTGTGGATGTCAAGACAGCTGTTGACGGAGTTATAAAGATCTTCACTTCCGCCATGTTCACTGTTCCATCAGCCCATGCTGTCAGGGCCTATCGTATGTTGGTGTCTTACATAGAGCTCCACTACAACAAACCTGTGCTGTTTGACAATGTTACCAGCATCCGTCTGATGGTAAGCTACTTTAGTCCACACATACATTCACATTCATAAAGTAAAGTAAATTTCTTAAATATTCTTTAAGGTAGGCTACTGTTAATATAAATAAATATCATTTCATTTATCAGTGCTTAACAACAAAACCATATCTAAAAAATATAAATGCAGCAGTATACTTGATGACACAACTCTTGACTTTAGTGATGTACCCAGAAAATAATTCTAAAAAGAAGGGTTTTTGAATATAATAAAATTTAAATTAATTAAATCAACCTTCTATTCCACCAGATCCTGGAGTGTTTCCTGCGACTAAGAGTGGACTCTAGCTACAGGTTGGGCTACCCAGGCTCCGCAGGTCCCCGCTACAGTCAGTATCTGCTAGTGGGGGCCCCCCGCACTCCACCTGCTAGTCCAGGGCCCTTTGACATCACCTACCTATCACTGACTCAGGCCTGCAACGCTCTCATCACCTGTCTGCGTCAAGAGCTAGGTAAATACTACTACAATTGTAATTAAGGATAATATAAAGCACAAGAGTCTCCTGGTCGCTCCCAACATTTGCATGTTAATAGAGTGGTGTGGACATGTTCATTTAAATAACATTAAGAGCTAAGTCTGCTACATCTTCCGAAGACGTCTGCAGATACCGGTGTGAACAGACCTTGACCCCGAAGGGGTCAAAAATCTAATTAATTGTGTTCTGTGAACTTGTGTGCTAATAAATGTTACTAACTTTTCAGGTAAGTTAGTTGTGTATTTATTTTTCCTTCCAGATTCCTAAACCTGTGTTATTCCCTCCAAATACCTAGAACTAGAATAAGAGTTGGTTAACCCTGTGATTACTGATTATCCAAAATTATCTGTTCAGATTGGAAGGTGCTGCTGTCAATACTTCAGGGTGTGATGCAAGTGGTGAAGAACAAGGCTCTGATATTGTCCAAGCATGATAACAACATCGATCATCTGGCTCACACTCTCTGTGCTATGGTCAGTGACGACATATTTCTAATTTAACAGATTCTCATTAAGAAAACCCTTTATTTTGCAAGATTCTAGACACATTCTATGGTGTCGAAAAATGAGGGTGGTCAATAGAGGAGCCTCTATTGAATTAAGTACTATCAAAGATACTTATACTTAACAATTACCCTAGATCCGTTCTGCTGGTTTAACTTGAATTTCCAAGATTTTGCACGGTTGCATGTACTTCACATTTTAGTGATCTCTCCAAAAATCTATTAATAGTAGAGAAGCTTCTTATTTTATCATGGATTTTGGTCCAAGAGTCTTCTTGCATAAAAAAAACTAAGGTATAAATTCAATGGTAATCATCTGTAAAGAACTACACCCTCACATTGTGTAGAGTAATGTGATAGTGAGGATTTTCTGTTTTTTAATGTCCCTCCACAGCTTTCTTGCTCTTCGAGTTTCTTCAGAATTCTTATCGTCCCTTATTAAATTTTTGCAAAAACTCCTCCTACAGGTTTCTAACATCATGTTCTCTATGCTGTTAAGGTGAGTGATAAAAGCCTGTGTCTACCAGAAGTGCTGCGCAACACTCCACCCAAGTTCACCAGGTCAGACTTCCAAGGTTACGTGTTCCCAGTGTTGGCAGCTCTAGCGTCATACCATGCTCAGCTGGAACCCAGTCTGCAGCAGAGACTCATCAAGTGTTTGGAGTTTGGTGAGTAGTAGCACCAATCAAAATCATGGTTAGAAAAATAAGCGTAAAACTGAATAGACAGGCTAAATCCTATGGCGAGTTTGTTTGATCAAATTCTTAGAATATCAATATAATATAGGGTAAAGGCTTTTGTTCGTCTTCAGTCTTAAAATATAGTATAAGGATGACTAGTTTCAGGACAAAGCCCATTTTGAAATCCACATCTAATTGGTTAGTCCATAAATCCGGCAGAATTCTTCGTCAATACATAAATGCACGTCGACACATAAGGTTCACCTTTATACACAGAAAAGAAAACATTTAATAATAGTATTTCCGGGTAGAATGGCAGTTCCGTAGAAAACATTTAGCAACGGTCCCTTTTGGTCCATTATTATAACCTGTGTCAGTTTGTCCTGTGTTTAAATGTGGCCTGCCTACCATTAGTAAATGTTTTCTGTGTATAAATGTGAACTTAATGTGTTGACTTGCATTTATATTGACAAAGACTTCTGTTTATGGACCAACCAATTTGATCTGGATTTAAAATGTGTTTTTTACACAAAGCTAATCATACTTAGACTATATTTAATGAGCGAAGACGGACAAAATTTACGTAACCTATTATATTTATATTATTCCTACAATCAGTCTTGGTGGCAAAATGTTTAAGCTTAGAATATCTTGCTAGAGATTTGAAACATGTTAGTTAAGAAATAAGAATAACCTAATTTGCTTCTGTGGCATAGGTTTTTCACAGTTTACTTTTGTTTAAAATTAAGTGTATTCGTGTCTGAAAATTGCCTGTCTGAAAATTGTTGTTGCTTTTCTGCAAAATTTGTCAAAAAACCTCAATTTTTGTACGTCCAATATACGTATTTTGCTGTTGTCAGGTCTAGTGTCAAGATCGGCCAGACAGTGTGTGATGGCCTTGACCTCTTGTATCCTGGAGATGAGAGATGCTATGGTCAAGTTGCTACCTGAGGTCTTGCTCAACCTGTCTAAGATATCAGCAACTGTCTACATCGCAATACCCATCCTGGAGTTTCTCTCAAGTAAGTTACAACTGTATCTCCAGTTCCCTCCTCTCTCATCAACTCAAGTGTCATAAACTCACATTTGTTGCAGTCTTTACTACAACCCATCTCAATTTAACCAGGGTTTTCAAGTTTTGCGCAAACTAATCAATGCATCCATTCTTTCCTTTGGATTCACCAATTTGTACATTCATTTGGGAGCCCTACCTAATTATTGAGTTTTTTAACTTACCCCATGATGTAAGTTCCAATTATATTTTTTCAGCTCTGACCAGACTACCCAAGGTATATGCCAACTTTGTGGTGGACCAGTACATGTCAGTGTTTGCCATTGCTCTGCCATACACCAGTCCCTTCAAGTACAACCACTACACAGTATCACTGGCTCACCACGTCATAGCTGTGTGGTTCCTCAAGTGCCGTCTGCCATTCCGTCGGGACTTTGTCAAGTTTATAATCACTGTGAGTCAAAAGATATAATAAACAATATATAGAACACAGTGATGTTTTCAGTTTTTCAAAGTTTTTATTCTTTAAAAAGGAAGTAAAGGAGTAAAAAAAAGGTCTTATATACTTACTTCCCCATGGTAGAATGTCAACTAAAAGTAAATTTGCAACACTCTAAAATTTTGTGAGCCTATCAAATCAATAGTAATGCAGCTTACATGCCAATAACATATTCATGTGTTTTGTCATATTCTCTTGCCCTGAGAATCTTAATTTTATATTATATGAAGTAAATTTAAGGTTATTGCAAGATAAATTTGTATTACCAAGTATATTCAAAAGTTACATCAAATTTACTTATTTCCTTTCAGGGGTTGAGAGCCAATGTACTAGTTCCTTTTGAAGAAGGTCAAAAGAAACCAGCGTTCGTTGAGCTTGTCAATGAAGACTCGTCCAATCGCAAACGCAGCTCAAGTCTTACAGAGCAGGTATAAACTTTTCCTACATATATTTTAAACACTATTGTTTGTGTTTTTAACAATTTCTGCATTAATGCAGTTTTTTGATAAATATTGACCTGTCTCTCCATCTGTTTTGGGTCTGTGTAGAAGCTTAGTGTGAAATAAACAATTGACACATGACTACTAACATTACAACACCTCAGGGCAGTCGGCGGCCGCAGGGCACCAGTGGGAGGTTAGACCTCAAGCCCAGAATTGATGAGGCTCTGATGAACTTCCATAAGGAGTTGACTGAGACATGTATTGACCTCATGGCACGATACACGTTCTCTACATGTTCTGCTTTGCCCAAGAGGTAAGTTGTGCTTCTGTCGCTATTATGATTCAAATTTTAAGATAAATAAACAAACATATCTTGTCAAGTATTTCTCAATAATTACACACTGGTTTTCAGGATAACTACAGAAATTGTGTGAAGATTTAACAAACAAATTTAACAACTAAAGATGAAATGTACCAGGTAATAAACAATGAGAATTGGTTGATGAATGTAATTCTTAACTGACTCCATTAGATTGTTCTTAAAGCTAATGGTTGTCATTGTTAACGGATTTCCATATTTTATATTGTCTAAGAAAGCCTTTATACAATGCTGGCTGGAAATGTGAGAGATTTCTCCTACTCTAGCCTCATGTACCGGAAACTTATTGTGGAAGTGAGTAAATTGTTGTAGACCTCATTAAGGTACCGTAGCCTCTCAATGAACTACTGGGCTTAGTAGATCTAAGTATGTGAGGAATTCGCAAACAAAGCATTTGGTAATTACTGTGAAAATTTCTCCCAAACTGGAGATCAACATCACACAAGGTCACAAGCTTTGAAAATACATGTACCCCGAAATGTCAAGTTATACATAGTTTGAATTTGTTAAATCGTAAATACTGCTGCACAGAACCAAATGATCCTGATCGGTGCGTTGTACATGTACAGGACGGCCATCGCTCAGTTCTTGCTCAACGAGGGCCACAGCGCCACCTGGCTGCTGGGCAGTAAACTGATCACTGTCACCACCAGCGGCTGCAGCCAGAAACCTCTGAAGAACGGACTGTGTGACAAGTGTTACCACACCTGCCGTCTGGAAAAAGGTGATTAAAATCTTTTCTTTTAATATATTAAACTGTTGACCATAATTTTGTTATTGCTCTACTTAGTATATAAATCCAAATTTATTTTAAAAATTGAAATCTTACTACACATTGTAGTCTGCTGTAGAACAAATAATAATATGACATTAAATTTTGCAAGTTTGTTTAAACCTAATTATGATAATTGTTATATAGGTGGTTTCTTATAATATTAATAGAAAATTTTAATTTTATGGCTGTTAAAGATATTAAATATAGCACTTGATTTTCCAAATTGAATTTCTACCAAAATTTCTTAACTTGTTGAGGAATTGTTCCTCTTGATCCAATGAGTATCCATATACTTCAAATTTAGATATTTTATATTTTTCCGAATAATAGGGGATAGTTTTCTTATAAATATTTACTTTTTCTTCATGGACTTCCTGTGGCTGATTTTCATTTGTCTCAAGACGAACTGTTGGGTCTATAATGAGACCGAAATCTTTCCCCTTGTCTATGTCACTCCACCTCACAGAGCCCTCTTCTTCTATAGCTGTGACCTCTTCATAGACCTCGTAACTTTTCTTTCTGAATTGATCGGCTATGATTTTTCTGATCGTATGGTGGCGGGTATTACGTAGAAGACTACAAAATGGGCACTTTCCAAGGACGCGAACAAGAGTTTCAAGAATAAATTTCTCAGATACAGGACAATGCCTGCACTGGTTCCCGTCCCTGGATCTCCCATGAAGACTTCTAAGAGGAATAACGTCTCCGACCATTTTCAAGTATTGTTTGAACTCAGCTTCTGTATAAGGTTGAAAGCAGCTGTTATAAGGCAACAAAACAACATGAGGCGCACATGTTACTGTTCTGGTAAATTGTTTAGTGAGGATTTAGTTGTGAACAATCTATTAAATGGATTAATCTCTAGTGCTAAATCATTCTTAGCATTCCTTTGTAACAACATCTAAATACTAAAACTAAGTAACTTGAAAACCCTTATATTTAAGGTTATCAAGTATTAGTGACTAAAAGCATCAAACAAGTTCTATTACCTGATTGGATTTGTTTAATAAAATCCCTTTGTTTATACATACATACCCCATTATTTGGTACCATAAATCATTTACCTGTTTTGAGTTTTTTTATTGTTTGCTGGATTAAAAAGTGATTGATCTTCAGATTCACTGTTGTCTCCATCTTTGGAATCAGCTGACCCGGAGAAAACTCGAGGTCTACACAAAACTCTCTCCAGAAGTGGATCAACAGAGGTAAGGTTCATCATCACTTGTATAAGGCAAGGCAGTTAAGATCATGTCTACTAGAGACAGGTCAGAACACACAAGTGTAACATTTACCGTCTCACATTGGTATAAGAGTCATAACAGTGATATTTCGAGAACATCACCGATGTTCCAGTGAGAACTAAACAACCCTCATAGTAATAACCATCACTACCGACAGCGCCTCAAAGCCCAACAACTTTATGCTGTTTTATATTTAAATCTCTGTAATGTTTGACGCCTATTCTGTACTCTATGTTCAAGAATAAAGTATTCTGATTCTGATTCGTACTACTTCAGTCAACTTCTCTTCAACGTACTCTCTGAAGAACAATATTATGACGAAAATCAGTGTTGTGTTTTGTAAATGTTATTGTGTATCTATTAGCGATTCTTAACATTCTCGGGTAAGCTAGCTTGACCCTATTATCTTTCCGAAAAATCCTGTTTTTGACGTTTGTAATAATGAAATATTGTTTGTCTACTACAAAAAATAAGTTTAATCGTTTTAGTTACAGGAATAAGTCAGGAAGATAGTCACAAAATCCTCAAAGTATTTATAAATCTTATGGCTTGTTATATAATTTATTAACATTATTCCAGATGAGTGGTGTAGGACTTGGTGAGGAGATGAGGAAGTCTGAGACATCGTTACATGACTCTGACCCTGGACGGCTTGATCAGATGATCTACGGTAGGTAAACTTAACTAATTTCATCAAAGGGGCAATAGTTTACTCATTTACAACAGTTATCTAGGTGTTTCAGAATAGTTTTGATCAAGTTATTTAATATGTTTTACATCTGTCACTTTTTTTATAGAGATTAAGTAGATTTTAACAAAATGATTTTTGTAGCTTTATCACGGAGCAAGATCGTGTTAAACATGTTTTATATCAACTACTTACTACAGCTTTGCGTTTTATCACTAGGTATTCCACGTGATGATTTTAGCTACCTAAGCAAATAACAAAACTAAACGTTTAACTTGTTTTGCAACTAGTTTATGAGAGCAAGAGCACCCAAGATTAGGTTTATTTCTGTACATGGTGAGAATTTCACTTATTAGACAAACAGATAGGGAATATTACATATCACTTCAAGTTCAAACAAAAGTTAAGTATTTTTTGGTCACCCATGACTTTGTCAACCTGAGAGAGAATTGTGTAGCAATCAACATTGGTATCGCTGTGTCCTTTTTTTAAAACGTTTTTATTAGTTTATAAGTTGAAGTTATTCTTGTTCATATCCAAGTCAGCTCTTATCTTTCACAATTACAGATGGGTCGATTGCAGTTTTTATTGATTCCGATGCTGATCATGATTGCATGAATGTGATTAGGCAACAGGAATCCATGGAATCATATTTGAGTTTTGGCAATCAATTCTGAATTCTGGTACAAAGGACAAAAGTCAGTGGTATTAAAAATTGCCATTTGGCATTGACCCACCCCTACTCACATTCTAATTAGCCTTGAGATTTGTACCAAAAATACCAATCAACTTACTGTTGTAGGAGCCGAGAAGCAGGAACGCTCACTGTGTGCTTGCTGGTGTCAGGGATGGGCGGAGATATACGTACGCAGGCCTACAGGTACGCCAACTCCAGAATGATCATTAAATGGTTTCATTTAATGATTAAAAAAATTAAAGGACTACCTACTTTACTAGTTTTTGCATCACAAAGTTCAATTGAAACCCCTTCCTTTTACGCTGGTTTAGGTATAAAATGTTAAAGTCTGTGTGAATGTCGCAGGAGACATGTCCTGGACTATGAGACTACAGAATGAGCCACACTCAGTTGAAGTGTCTTCTATGTCTGACATCACAACACTCTTCCTTCCCTCTCTGACAGCTCGCAAGACTGAGCTGGATCTTGATGTAAGTTGACTACGATAATATGTGTATAATTAAAGTTTTGTAAGTCTTTCAAAAGTATAAAGTGTCCAATTTCATCAGGTCCACATCTAAGTTTCCAACGTCCAAATTAAGTTTCTTTCTTGGTCCTGAGGATGGTTTTAACCACCAAAAACTAAAAAGCTACCACTCTCAGGTTTGAACTGGTGACCACTGTTAGGCAAACATTAGAACTATTCAGCTACTTTAGTATATCAACTCTGATCAAGTGTGATTTGATCTATTAATTGGTTGGTAATTTTGGACAGTTGGTGCCTGCTGCTGCTGTCAGTGATCGGCCGATTTCTGAGCCAGTAAGTATCCCTGGCTCTCCAGTTCGTCACAGTAGCCAAGACAGTGTAGACACTCTCGGAGATGACGATCTAGGTAAAGCAACCACACCTGTGATTAAAGGGTTAGACTTTTAGGTCAGTGGTTAGATTAAAATGGCAATTTATTGAATGGGAGGAATCAAATTTTAATGTTTAGAAAAGTTTGGTTTGTTTGTTTGAAACTCTTCAGCAAATATGATTTATTTGTGAATTTGATTATTGCATGCAAAATCATTGATTGGTAGTCTGAAGAATGTATAGGGGAGCGAGCTGGTCTTGTGGTAGAATGCCCAATAGACCCTAGGTTTTGTGTTCATAACCTGCTAATCACCAATAGATCTTAACTGTTTTACAACGCAGCAACTCTCCTAGGTTTAGCCTAAAGTAATGTGTAAAATGGTTTAGCGTTAAAGCCAAACGTCCTGAGATGTGAAAGCAAGACTTGAGGGAAGAAAAAACTGAGCTTGTTCACAGCACACCTACTGATATGTTAGTATTGTACATGTAGAAGTTGTCATAGAGACAGGTTGATTGTTTACGTCTGTGGAATGTACACATGCATTACCTACAAGATTTAACACGTTGACTACGTGAGGTGCTCCCCAGTGGCGGGTGCAGCCCTGGTGCGACACCGAATCAGCGAACGCATTAAAATATTTCAGTCTAATGAATCACAAAAGAGCAGTGGTGATTGTGCTGCGTTACCCCTAGAGTGGACGTAGTTCACTGAAACACCCAAAGGTAGTAGCACTGCCTGGATCCGTAGCCAGTGTCTTTGTAATGTGGGTCAAAGAGAGAAAATCCTCAAAACCGGGACAAAAGCATTGTCAGACGGGATATTATGGGAAATTTTAGTACCAACCTACACCAAAATAAAGCTCGCATTCTAATCTACAGGCTGGCAACGATTATAACGTCCTCCGTCTGAGGCTAAGCTAACATTGACTCAATATATTTCAGTTGGTCTGGTGCCCACTTTTGTCAGCGCACGCCGCATTGAAGCGCTAGCGACGTCGACCAAAGTAGGCGTTAGCAGTCAATGTGTTAATCAGAAATCATTCATAGGGTTTTTAACTTTTTTATACAATTTTTATGTTCTAAAGAGGTTTAAATCAAGAGACTGAGGTTAGTAAAGAGATTTCATGCTAGACAAGCATTTGAATTACCTATGTGTGCGGTCTTTTGTATTTAGTTGAAAGTTACACAATAAAGTCAGTCGTTGTTACACAATATGGTCGTTGTTTGTTGATACTCATTTTGTAGAGTAGTTATTAGTCCAATGTGGCGTTGTTTGGTATGGCCATATATGATACCAAACCAATTATAGTGATGTATAAAAGAAAGTACAGATTATTTCCTTGTCACAGGTAGCAGTGTGTTTCACCTGCGGGGTAAGATTCAAGCAAAATTATCACCTCTCTTCGTCATGCTGTAGATCTGTCTAAAATTTAACTCTTTCTACTAATAATGTCGTATGAGCTTTGATGGTGATGGTTTTCAATTTAATATGGCTTTTTCAAATATGAACAATTAATATTTACTGTAAAATATCTATTATTGCTGTTGACAGTGTTAACAACTAAAAAACTTCAATAGAAAACTTTTTGGCGTGGTAGGTAATAATGCTACATAATGAGTTTTAAAGCTTTGCTAAACTCCTAGCTTATATAATAGTTGTCACATAAAACTGTACAAGCTTTAGAAAATGTCTATTTTAGTACCTTTTCCTTAATGATTCTAAATCAATCAAAACAAAATAGTTATTATTCTAGATGTTTGAGCCCAACATTTTTTTTTTTTTTTGCAGGTAGGTATCTTATATTATTTTGGTAATTTTTGACGCAACAAGATTTCAGTCATATAACTAGAGCAGTGGGGAATCTATTGCAATCGGTCATACATGCATAAATCATTCTAGCATGGCACTTTGCTGAGCCATGCATTGAATGAAACAGCAGTATTGCAAACATTTGTGATTATCTAAGCTTATTAAAATTCTCCCAACCTGTAATATACATTTCATCATTTGTTTTGAATTTTATTGTGATTGTGATCTTATTTAAAATGTTTGTATAATTTTTAGTAACCATTTAAATTGTTGTAACTATTAGAAGGGTCTGGGAGGTCCCGTAATCCCGTGAGACGCTCCAATTCCAGCCCCGAGATGAGTGCCAGCTGGAAGAACCCCTTTATGACCCCAGGTAACCAAGGGGGGGAGGAGGGCAGTTGGGAGACTTCAGCTGGCAACACCAACGAGACCAAGAAAAAACAGACTACCAAGGACCTCAGGTATACGGTACCTTAATTAAAGCTTTACTATACACCCACATTTTTATTTTAGTGGGCCCTTTTAACCTTGAATTTGCCCGTCCACATTTGGGGGCCAAAAAGATTCTATCCTTGTTGCACAAAATCTCTATTGGTCTCATTTACAGCTATAAATATGCTTTGTACAATGTTCCTGCCGTTTGCTCTGTTGATATGATCATGACCATGTTTCACAACTGCGATTATTGTTGTTGAGCAGGGTAAACTGTGAAGCCATTCCGGAAGAGATGGGGACCACACCACCCAAGACAGATGTGGCTCTCCCCGCCACCACCACCCCTACAACGCTTACAACCCCCGCCACAGACCAACGCAAGATGTCGGCCCCAGCAGCTGTACCTCAGGAGTGGACACTTCCTACCGTTGACTCCCAGGTGAAATATTTATTGTTTAATCGATAACAAATTGTTGAGTTTGAATTATTTCTGTGTAGTGATAAGAATAGATTTAATCCAGATGTGCCACAAGCTCCCGGATTATGGAGAGTTTTGTTTTGTAGCAAATCAACAAAACCTTTTTAAATTACTTATCATTAAGAGTATATTTGGAGTCATGGAGCAATGAAAGTATGCAAAGTGATCATGTGTTTAGATACCTATACCAATTAAATATATCGTAGGGCCTAATTATTGAATTAATTGTGTTATACTGACAACATCCCATGTTATTGCTGAGATAATATTGGTAAAAGAAGTGGTACCCTCAAATTATGACTTTGTCCTTTATTGCAAACAAAAATGTATTATTTTTGCCCTATTTATTATTAGAGTCTAGACAAGTTGGTTAAACCAATCAGTTTTAGAATTCAGGGCAGATAACAAGACTTATTTTGCCTAGGCAGAGGTAGATAACAAAAGAATCGGTTGATACAGAGTTAAAGTACTGTACCTACTTTATTAAAAAACTTTTTATAAATGTGAACAATTTTTTAATTATTATTTATTTGTCAGCAAACACCTGCTGTGAAACCAACTCAACCGGAGCCAAGTTCAGTCGCACCCACAGTGAAGAAAGAACCGCAACCTGTGAGAGAGGAAGAGAGGGAGAGAGGAGTGAAGCAGCCACTGACACTTCCCCCCACCTCCCATCTTGCAGCCAAACCTCCCCTCTCACCCCCCGCCACCCAGATGTCTCCCCGCCTACAGCCCAAGCAAGTCAAGGTAAGAATCGTACTTACATTTTTAACGAGTTATGAAGCTATTTAGGTAACATTACAGATTTCATACAGTCCTTAATGTACATATAGTGAGACTAACTATGACTTATCATCGCCACAGCCGCAGGTGGAAGGAGAGATGCGGCCAGATCCCTCGGCTCTCCCTCCGCTGGCATTTAAGCGGGACCGAGGCCACACCATCTCCGTCATGAGCCCCATCCGCAAGGACATCAACATCATCAAGAACCGCAGTCCCCGCACCAAGGAGCCACCTCGCTCCGGGGTCAGCCCCAGGTCTGTAAATAATTGTTAAATGTTTGGGGGAACGGGTTGGGGAATATCCACCATCATCTACTTTGACCACTTTGGCACGTTTCGATTAAGCTCATCAGCTTTAGGCTTGTAAATCCTAACAGCTGTAGAAAATCAATTTATTTGTTTTCCATTGAGCTTTTGCTCACCTTTCCCAGGCATATTTTGTAAAATGTTGTTGTTTGTGTTAAATTAGTACCACATGACCTAGCTAACCAACCCTCACTAACATGTGTGTTTGTGGTTACAGTTTTGTGTTCCTCCAGCTTTACCACTCAGCACACTTTGGCAGTGTGTCCGAGCGGCCTCTTGCCCTGTCCAACTGTCAGATGGTTCAGAGAGCCTTCAAGAATCTTGACCGCATCCCTCCCTACGAGACCCACAAGGTACACTGACATTTTAACACCTCTTTTTCTGATAGTATTCAATATAGATGGGAGTAGTCCAGTTAGTTACCCTAACTGGACAAACAATCCTATTACTTATAACAACCATTATGTTCAGGTGGGAGTGATCTACGTAGGCCCTGGCCAGGCCAACAGTGAGGCGGAGATTCTTCGCAACCAATGTGGCTCCCTTCGCTACACTGAGTTCCTTCAGGTAATTAATTATGTGTTTATTTTATTTTGGCTTCTTTGTGAATTCTTACAAAAGGTGAGAAATTTGGTAATTATAAAATATGATAGACCATTTAATATCAAGATTGAGTAAATGTAAAGTATTACATTATACAGGGTGATCAACTCAAGGAGGCCACCATTGGGATATTTCGGAAACAGTAAGAATTAGAGAAAACTTTAAATGGGGGACATTCCTTTATTTTTTGTGACATTTCCATTTTCCAAAATGGCGGCCAACTTTGAAATTTCTTACGGAACACCCTGTATTTATAATGTTTTCGGATAGAACATGCAATTTAAAAACTGTTTCATCCTTGACATTTTTTCGATAAACCCACTCGTTTAGGAGTTACAGCCTATGGAAAAATGACTTCCGGTGTACATTTTACATCATGTAGCTCCAAAATAAGTAGGTTTATAGCGAAAATGCGAAGAGTAAATAAGTCAAATAAGTCTTAAAATTGCATCCACATTCCATTAAGACTATAAAATACACAATTTTCCACTTTTCAAGTTTGCCGCCATTTTGGAAAATGGCCGCCATTTTTAAATAATAGAATTAATATTTTTAACGAATTTTATGGACTTTTTGGAATGTGGATGCAATTTTAAGACTTATTTGACTTATTTTCTCTTTGCATTTTCGCTATAAACCTACTTTTTTGGAGCTACATGATGTAAAATGTACACCGGAAGTCATTTTTCCATAGGCTGTAACTCCTAAACGAGTGGGTTTATCGAAAAAATGTCAAGAATAAAAAAGTTTTTAAATTGCATGTTCTATCCGAAAACATGATAAAATACAGGGTGTTCCGTAAGAAATTTCAAAGTTGGCCGCCGTTTTGGAAAATGGAAATGTCACAAAAAATTAGGGATGGTCAAGTCTCGAAATTTCGGGAAATTTTCAGGGAAATTTTAAATCTCGTTACACGAGACGAGATTTCTTTTTGACCGAGATTTTTATCGAGACGAGAATTAAAAAAAAAAAAAAAAAAAAAAAATTAAAAACGCCTGCAGAAAGTCAATGCAATACCCGCAATACAGGAGCGTGTTGTAGTTGCGTTTCCTTTGCGTAGGCGTTCTTATTTAATTAATTCTTTAAATGTAAATATTACTTTAATTATTTTAATAATATTACTTTAATAACATTTGAGAAGTTTTGTTAAGTGTAAGCAGTGTGAGGAATGTTTTATTACTATAAAAAGTCAAAACAAGTAACAATTTTATAAAAATTAATATTGCTTTTTTTTATTTCATGATTTATTTTATTTTAGGATAAGTTGAACTCTATCCTAACTGATATCACTATGTTTCCTAATCGTAGGCATTTTTAATAAGTTAGGCGTGATTAATAAAAAAATGTTATGCTGATGTTTTTTAATAAAAGATTGTAAATATTCTTGCCTATTATCATTATTTTTGTATTTAAACAGTCATCTAACAATGTTACAAAATCAGGTAAAAATTTTGAACGTGCATTTCCCGTTGTGTATGAGAAGGGAAATCCCATCTCGATCTCGTCTCGAAATTTTATGAGAAATAAAAAATCTCGTCTCGTCTCGTCTCGAACTAAAAATCCAATCTCGTCCATCCCTACAAAAAATAAAGGAATGTCCCCCATTTAAAGTTTTCTCTAATTCTTACCGCTTCTGATATCCCAATGGTGGCCTCCTTGAGTTGTTCACCCTGTATAAAACTACCATAACATTCAATATAAAAGCCCAATATTATACAAGAAGGGACTGTATTGCAACTCCTAAAAGTGGCATTTTCTGGTGCACACTTAAGTTTCACATACAAGGCAAAGCAAGGAATAAATCTTGAACATTAAATTTGGACATTATAAACACACACATTTTGTAATGTTTGCTCATATTCTCTTTGCTGCATCTTGACATTAGTTTATTGAGTTTGTGTTTTGTGTGTAGAGGTTGGGTACCCTGATCAGATTGGCCGATGTTGATCCTCAAACTGTGTTCCTTGGGGGACTGGAACGAAATGGCAATGATGGGAAATTTGCCTACAACTGGCAAGATGACGTAACTCAGGTATGGTACTTTTAACTGTTAATTGTTATTAGGTAAGTTTTGTTTTGGCTTTAACATTTCTCTTAATTTTTGTCTTAGAAATCTGTATTTTTGTCCTAAACAGCCAAAAGTAAGTTTTGTTTTATTCTCAAATGTGCATGGTTCTTTTAGAGTAATTAGTTACAAATCTATTTTTATTAGAATATTGACAGTAGCTTAAAGTCAAGAATAGTTTTAAGCCTGATTTGTTTCTACCCATCCCCGTTAAAAAACTTCGGTCACAGCATTTTGAATGACAGGTCTTTCCAATTAAAAATGTTCTCAGTTTAAACAAATGGCAGTGACAGTGATTTTATTTTTATTTTTGTGTGCCGAGTTTTTGTGTTTGATTTGCCAGGATGAGTTAAATCACAGCCTTCTCTAATACAAGGCCACGGCAATATAGCACCGGCCAGTCTATCGGCATGGTGGTAACAGTAATACAAACGTGAAAACATGAACGTTGTGCAGAAGCTCCTATTTATTATTTATTGCAACAGCTGTTCGGTAGTTCGATTCTACAGTTAAATAGATGAGTTTTACAGAATATTGAATTTAACATGTGTAAGAAAATTTTGTCCTTCTAAATAATTTTCATAATCATGCTCGTGGATGTCTCATCAGGTGATCTTCCACGTAGCCACTCTGATGCCTACCAGAGACAATGATCCAAACTGTAATGCCAAGAAGCTGCACATCGGCAACGATCACGTCACCATCGTCTATAATGAGAGTGGGGAGCCTTACAACAGGAACACCGTCAAGGTAACTAACTATTAGCATCGACTTTATGCTTTAACTATCAATACAACTAGACATTCTACTCCCATTTTAGAATAAAAATGAACTTAGTTAAATTGAGCCACCTACAGAATCTACTGATGTAAATTACTGATATCTGTTTAATATGCCTACTTTTAACCACACTACACTCAAACGACAATAGAAGCTACGGTATATTTTATGTCAGACTAAAATTGTACACTGTAGCTCACGCTTTAAGCAGTCTATTGTATTATTTAAAAAACTGACTACATTTGGTCTATATAGCCCCAAATGGACATTGTGGATATGGTCTATATAGATGGGTATCGTGGATGTGTGTTTGGGCATTTTTAAGTTACTTCAGGGTAGAAAAGTCAATGTTTTGAAATACCAGAGTAGACATCCCATCTATATAGGCCAGCTTTTACCATGTTTTATTCAAATATCAAAAATATTTCAGTTGAGTAATACTTTCTGGTTGGATACAATGCACACTCAGTGGGGAATCGTTTGGCTGCATGTGCACACATACTCCCAAGAGATATGTAAACCTTTTGCCAGAATTGTATAGTGTTTTTTCTCTCTGTGTCTTATTTGTTTCCTTTCCAGTCTGTAACTGAACCTCAATTTCCGTCTCAGTTAACACCAGCTATTTGCCAAGTTATGTGTGTTTGTGTGCTGCAGTGCCAGTTCAACTACACGTGCGTGGTAGTGGAGCCGCTTGACCATGGCATAAACCTTCTCAGTGTTAAGGCAAAGGATGAGCTTGTCCAGCACATCGGCCACTCTGAGCCCAAGATTGTCTCCGACCAGAACGTAGCTCTTATGGCCAGACAGCTCGCCTTGCATGCCAACGTGAGTCATCAGTTAAACATCAACAAAATACACTAAAACTCACTCTTTTCTAAACAAGCCCAAATTCCAAAAAGGTCATGAAATTATCAGGTTTCCCAATGAAGTTGTTTGCTCTGTGATATTACTCGTCGTATTGCACTATTATAGGTACTAATTTAACCAAACAAAGGTTGTGTTTAGCCATATATTGTTTAGACCTTTGGATTAGCTACCACAATGGCTTCTATCTTTTCTTTGCTGAACAGCAACTAATCAATTATTCGGGTCTGTTGCTATTTTGTTAATATACATGTCACTCATCTTGACGGATTGAAAACAAACAATTCACAATCTATTTGACAACAATAAACTGAATAAACTAAAACAAAGATAGCTCAATATACTCTCAATTCCTTCAATATTAATAATTGTGGTTTAGAATTGAGAAGACGGTGACAGAAGTTATGTAATTTAATTTGCATGCTAATATATGATTGGCTGCTAAGTTGAAGGGTCAAATGGGGGTGCTGGGGGGAGGGTCTAAGACTTCCATAAGCTCTTGAAGGATTGGACATGCTAAATTACAATCTGAATATGTTCATACATACACCTTTCTCCAACCATTTATATCAACTACTAATGGGTTTCAAGAAGGAGAATCAAGATCACAGAATGCATTTCATACTTTGCAGAAGCATTGCATTTTCCCTTTCATTGTCATCAGCTACTACGACAAAATTAAGCTTCGTATAAAGATAAGAACGCGGCTAGAATAGTGGAGTTAGAGGTAAAGAATTGCTGGTGCCATATTGGCACTAGCTTACTTCTTCTTAAATGGAGGCTGATCAAAATTCATAGACATTCCTTGTGTAATAGGCCAATTGTATTTGTAAAATTAATTTTTCAGTTGGCGTCACGAGTGGCCTGCAGTCTGAAGACTGAGGGATGTGACCCGTACACGTCCAACTGGTTGGAGCGACTGCGTCAGATCAAGAGAATCCGCAGCAAGATACTGCAGGAGGAAAACCCAGTTGACCGCCACGCTGCTGCACGAAGATTCAACATGGAGGACTTCACAGAGTACTCATAGCTTACTTATATGAATAAAGTTGTTTTTTGTTACAGTTTTTTGTTTATTGTATTTTATTTGTACCTTGTATTAACACCACAGTGGCCACTGTTTCATGCTTTTTGACACGGCAGATTTAGACAGACTGATACAGAGCCATTTGGCAAGTCAGGGGCAGTTTATATGATACCACTTTAATCTTCAAAATAGACCTTGACTTTTAACTCTCCCTGCTTTAGGCTGTCAATGCATTGGTGTGTTGCTAGCCTTGGTAAGCACCTCTAACCTCGGTGTGAGATGCCAGCGTTTGTGTTCCTGTTCAGTAGTGATGTGTCAAAACCGAATCTCAAAACCATCAAAACTTTGAAAAAGTTTCGGTTTGGAGATTTGATCACCAAGTTTTGAGATTCAAAAGTTTAGAAATTGAAGATTTTGGCAGTTTTATTCTTGAATCTACTGACATTTTTTGCATCATTATTATTATTTTTAACACTGTTTCCATTCCACACTAGCTGATAGCAATAGAGCAAACACAGTAAATTGTATTCTGAACTTACAAAGGCATCTTAAATATTATAAGTGGAACAACACAGTTTCATAACGATATATTAGCCACTAAATGTTCTAATTAGTCTAATATTCATGTTTATGTTGGTGTCAGGAGTTTAATTTATTTTAATTTCAGAAAAAAATGATATGGGTTTATCAGTCACATGTCAGTGTCAAGTGTCAACCTCTTTCAGTTTGATTACATTTAAAATTTTATTATTAGCTGCATTTTTTTCTGTAACCTTAACCTTTGTAACCAGCTAAGTAAAAAGGTTTCGCATTTAGTTGTGAATTTAGGTGTGAACACAGATTCGAGATTCGGCATTCAATTTTTTTAAGTTTCGGTTTCGGTTTTGACCACTTTTCACTGCCTACTGTTCAGTACCGTACCAAGTCCGAATATTATAAGGAAGGAATGTTTTGTCCCTCCCTTAACAGCAAACAGAAAGACCGCTATAATAAATTAACATTACTTTTAAATGGGGTAGTCCCTATAGGGCTAGTTTTTCATGAATGATATAAGTTGAAAAAATATTACCAAATACATTTATATCAACTGTATTAACAAACACTACTACCCTCACACAAAACCTGTGTATTTGTTTGATTGGCTGATTATACTTGATTTATAAAAATGAACCCCCAATTTCTTGTTTTTAGGTTGCAATGAGTAAAAAATTTGACAAATAAAAATTAGAAACAAGAAAAAAAATTGAAATAAAGAATATAAACTTTGACGTGTTTGCTGTAAACCACACACGGCAGCTCTGCACATTGCCAATATTGGTTGTTTCTGGTTATTCTCTAATGTAGGAATCGGAAACAGAATATTCCATCTGGTGAGGAAATATAAAAAAAGATAGCAAAATATAAGTCATGGAAAATTCAACTAGACACAGTTCCCACTGTGGATGTTTAAAAAAAAACTTAGAGCGCACTACCGGGCAACAATCTGCATTATCGATATAATGTTTTACAACAATAAAAGTTCAGAGATTTAATCACCAAACCTAATAACAATATGACTCAACTAGTATAATAATAATGGATTAGTTGAAAATTTGTTTGAAAACTTTTTAAAAGAAAAAGTATTAGTCAGAGGTGTAATATTATGACCTACTTAAGCTTGTACTAATTTTGGTTACAACTACACACAATACAGGTTTGGAAAGGGAATCATAAAAAAAGTAGGTGTAACAAAATAATAACAATAAAATTAAGTTTAATTTGTTCACAAATAAATACATTCAGTCAAAAGATTTATACAACCTATTTGTCATTGTGAGGATGAAGTAGTTTCTGTCTGGTGGCTTAACTTCATTCGCTTTTTTGCTTGCAAGTCCGCTAGAGTTTGTTCTATTGACCTCTGGTCCTTTTTATTTTCACTAGGAACTGAAATTGAACATAAAATAATAAATATCTATCTCTTTCTTGTCACATAAACGTTTAGACAAAATTGCGTAGCTACTAAACAGGTGACATTGTAAAATTGCAATGTTACAAGAATCAACACAACAGGAAACTAGTTCATAATACAAAACAATACGACTATCAAAATAGATGTACAGTGCTTTAATACCCATGAAATTACTTTATGTGAATAAATGTTGTAATCACAATCATAAAAAGTCAAAATTAAATCAATATCTTACTGTTTGTCTTTAAGACTTTATCTAACACCTATAGGTACCACTTTAGTCTATCCAAAATGCTAGAAACCAATGCAAATCTCAATCTGTTTTCATGAATTTTTATGCTAAATACTCATATTTCTTGGAGTAAAAATCGGAAATCAATTATCAAGAATTAATTAATCTTAGGTTTTATTTATTTACTAGCAGAGTACCCGTCCTTCGTACGGGGTTAGCATATAAGTTTAAAATGCTTTTTTCAGTTATACTCAAGCTTTGCGTTTGAAATGGGACAAAGTTTGATAAAATTTGCTTCTTTAAATTGACAGTATACTAATGGTATTACACATCCATCATAGCCATAATGTTCTACCACTTCACCTAAACAATAAAGAAAAATAAATTATTACGAATTCACAAAAAATCACAAATTATTCATAACATTAAAAACATAAACATAACTGTAAACAATCCTACTTTGACAGTTCTCATTGCGTATTACAGTTTTTTGTTAGCAGTTTACATAAATGCAAAAAAATGATAGTGCTGCATCCTGTTGGTAAATCTTATAACTTTTTAATGCTTTTGTAGGCTATATCATAGAACCAACTTTTTTAGCTCAAACAGCTGACTAAATTCTTTAGTTCCCTTTAAATATGAATAATCATAAGGTTAACATTGGGAACTACAGAGCCACTGGGGCGATTTTAGGATTTTTGAGATAAAAATATGCCTATTTGTTAATCGGGAATGTGAGCTATCATCATGCCAAATTTCAGCCCAATCCGTCCAGTGGTTTATGCGTGATTGAACTTCAAACAAACACATAAACTTTAACATTTATAATATTAGTAAGATCTATTCTTCCAACGGCACATGCCATTATTAGGCAATGGCATTATTAGGGCGGTTTTGCATTATTAGGCTACTTTTACCCAAAAACTGAACAAACTTGTTTTTGAAGAGACACTCTTCTTGAAAATGTGTGTAGAAAGAAACTAATAATTAACTCTATAATGGGGAGGAGTTAAAAAAATATACATAAAGATTGTTGTTGTTGAATGTCCACTCACCAAATCCATATTGCTTGTTTGTTTCTGTTTTCTTTGCAGCCTCCAATGCAGCATCTAGTCCTATGAGATGTTGGTACTTTTCCTTGTAATTTGAGTTAGGAACAAACTTTTCTGGCTTCCTTGATGCCTCTTCAGCTTTGAGTTTATTTTCTAGTTCACGCTGAAACAAATTAATGTTATTTAGGGCAAATTTCATTCATAGTGGGTATGATATTAGTTCTAACATACAGTATTTATTTTAACCTCCAGTTAATTATTTTAATGATTGGACAAAATGAAAAAAATGTGCCATCGTAGGAGCTCAATAACTCAAACCTTTACATCTCAAATTATTTTATATCTGGGATTATCTATAATCCCCATAAATCGCAATGTTAAAAGTACAAGTATAATAATGGACTTGTAATTTTTGGTGTAAGTCAAAGATTTTAAATATTTAACCACAATAAGATTTTAATGATTTTCCATCAGTAACACTCCTCTTTAACTCAAATTTTCCTGTTATCAAGCCTCAATAACTTGAAGTTTTTCTGTATCGTATAGTGCAAGTCAGCTGTGTTTTGATTCCTGTCAAATCATGAAAATCTAGCTTTCTTTGTTCGACAATGGCTAGTACTGTTAGACTGCCAATTATTGAGATTATTTTGTTTGCGTTGGGCATCATGTCGTCAGTTAAGCGTAAGTGTAAAACGTTAAAACACGACAAAAAATAAGAGTGATTAAAGCAGTTGACGATGGGTTAAAAAAGGTGAAATCGCCAGGCAATTTGGAATTTCACTTACACTTTATCAGCAATTTTGAATAACCGGGAGAAGAATGAGGCTTTTGGCTGTAGGTTGATTGATCAACAAGAAAAGATGTAAGAACGGTGAGTTTAAGACATGGATGAATGTAATTTAATGTGGTTAAAACAGTGATGAGATTAAATCGTTCCTATACCAGAAGCGATGATGAATTGTTTTATTTTGCTTCCAAAGTTAGCCTATCTTCAGAACTTACAAATAGCTTGAGCTCGATTTATAAGGTTTTGGTTTTGGAAAATCAAGGAACATTGAGAGGAAGTATATCTTTCGTCGAACAAAAATTGGAATCCCAACCTAATCCAACTTTAATTTAAAGAATTTTAAAGGCAGCTAACAAAATTATATTTTTCAAACATTTAAACACAACCAAGCCACATTTTAATTACTTAAGACATAATCAACAATTAATTGGTGTGACATAACTCATCAAATGGCTTAGTTCTGTTTGTTTGGATGTCATGTTCTTGATGGTTTTAGTTAGCCTACCTTCATAACTATTTCTTTGGCCTTTTCTTCGTTCCACTCCTCCCCATTTCTAAGAGTGGTTATTTCATCTTCAGAGGGAGGGAATTCTTTTTTAAACAGAATAATGTATCGGTCAACTCCTTCCTCTCCAAAAGACTGAGCCATCAAACCGGCAACTTCAGCGACATCGTGACTGCAATCAGTAGCATCTCATAATTGGTTAAATCTGAGTAAATGGTGTTAAATATAGTACACAAAAATACCCCCGCCGCAGCAAACCTGCCGTCTAAGTGAATTTCCATTTGTCCGAATTGATTTTCAATTGATCTATTTAAATAACATTAGGTTTAACGAGTACCTAGGTTTGCTGCTACAAGGAAACTAATAAAGTAGTGTGTTTTTAGTAAAATATTGATAGCTTACTATAAAATGAATAAATTTGCCAAGTTTGATCAAAATATATCCATAAAGAAGCAAACTACAACATTTTACAATATTCTCCATAAGAATAACATGGGAATTTTAAATTTACCATTTTTTTAGTTTTCTCCGTAACCAATAACCGTACAAAAACACTTTGATATACTGAATTGTTTGTTTTTTTAAGCTCTTTAAGAAGGTTTAGAGAAAAATTGGGAAATTTTGTGTTTTGAGGGTAAGAAGTGAGAAAAACCAATTTTTACCCCATAAAACCCCCCATAAAACCCTGTTCCCATGGTCCGATCATGCTGGATCGCGAACTCATTCAAGTTTATCCCGCCTTACACCTTCAAACCAAATTTTATCAAAATCGGATAAAAATTACTCAAGTTATCGTGTTCACGGACACATATATATATATATAAATCTATATATATATATATATATATATACATATATAAAAATTTGAACGAATGGTGTTTTTGGCCTCTGGGGACATTAAAATGAAAAAGTAAATCGGTCCCGGGCCTAAGTCTTACCATGAGACCTACGGTAATAGCTACTTCCCTATAGGGAAATTCGCTAATAAAAGGTTACTGAGCCAAAACTCAATAAACTATGTAGAAGACCTGTAGTGTGATGGTGAGTTCCAATACCAACTAAGTAAGCATTCTGAGTCAATTAGATCGTTTGAAAAGAATTTCAAGAACTAAAACATTAGTATAATAATAATTTCCCATAAGCATTTTTGTTTTTTAAATGTTTGATTCATTGCTTATACCTAATGCAATTATTTACAAGGGGTCTGACTTAGGGGAGGTACGAATGAGGCATTTAGTTCAAAATTCCTCCGTGAACAGCGCTGTAGTAGAGAGCACTTTGGCAATGAAGGTTTACTAATCGCAAAAATAGTTCTGTTCATAAAATAAAATTATAAATGTCTCAAATTCAATTTTATAATTTTTTTAATTATAAAATTAAACTATCATAACCTAACCGAACTAACCAAACTTGCTGATAAAGAAATAATATAACAAAAGTTCAGTAATCGGAAAAATAATTCTGTTTATTAAATAAAACTAGAATTTGCTCAATTAAAATTTTATAATGACTTAATAATAAAATTAAACAGTAATAACCGAACCAAACCAACCAAACTTGCTGATAATAAAAAAATCTTGGACAAAAAGTAAATGCTACCATCAGGATTCGAACCCGGGATCTTCAGTATACCAGCCCGGTACGCTAACCATTAGACCACCGAGGCCGACGGCTACGGACCGTTTTGTTACGGTAATGGCGTTCCCTCAGCTAATAAGAAGCCCTCAGCTGTCATCGTAGCCTCTTTTATACCTCCCCTGAGTAAATACCATTTACAAGATAGCTTGTTTGGATTTACAAGATTGGTTGCCACATTTTTTAGTACCAAATCCCACAACAAGGACAATAAAAGCCTATTTGATCCTTTTAATCTCAAATAGGGTTTGATAGCTCTTCAAAATTTATTGCCAATGGAACAAACATTGTAATGACACAACAACAACATTGTAATGATGTACATTGAATGATATGTATTGTTGTTGTATTCTTAATTTTATACTTATTGAACGAATACATAAAAAATACTTAACTCTTATGTAATAAGTTTATCTAAAAAATAAAGATTTAGGCTATGGAATCAGACTTTGTAAGTCATTAAACTATGCAATGTATCTCGAAAGATTCTACACATATCTTTTCTTTATATCTAGCTTCAAACAATCATGTGTATCACTATTTTAAAGGAATTATTAAACAATGCACAAGCAAGTGTTTTATTTTTAAAAACATAAGTTAAAATCGAATAAGTAAATTTAAACACAAAAGGAAATCTTAGAAAACTTACATGATTCCACGATAAACCTGGTCCATGGGTGTAAACCGCAAACGGGTTTCTTTATCATCTTGAAGGAACACATTTATCTTCTTATCCATCTGGAATTTGAATACAGTAGCTATGATATTCACAGTTTGTATATTTAGTCAGTCTAGACTAAGTGATGAGTTTTGATTAGATTAGATATAGGTAAGTAAGTATTTTATTACCGGTACTATGAGACCAACTGAATAAAAGCTGGAGTGTAAATGAAGTACGGTACACAAGGTAAGTGTTGACATCTTAATAAGCTGAACTTGCAGTTTACTACACTAGTAAACACTTAACCTCTCCTCTGGTGATGAGGTAAACAATACAATCCCGCCTTAATGTGGGTAGATTAGATACTAAATAATGAAGGTCTTATTTCGGCTTTTGCAATATGTTAAGAATGATTTGTCATTATTGTTCTGAACAAGGAATTAGTGTTATTCATGGTAAATTTCAGGGCCGGGTTTACCCATACGCGAACTACGCAGTCGCCACGAAAAAGTGGCGCCAACGGGACACAATTTTTTTCAGAAGACGAAATTGGAAACAACTGACAAGTGAACAACTTATTTTGCTTTTTTCGCTCAGAGTTCAAGTATCCAAAGCACCACACTAAAGGCATTAATTATTCTGTTTGTACCGACAGCACTTGAAAAATGCATAAACTTGTACAGCACTTCAACTCAAGGAAGTTTGATTTTATTTGATGTTTGATTTGACAAGGAATTCACAGTTTCGATTTGTAGTGAGCTGATCCTCGGCAGCGTACAGCGCGGTGCCTGTGGGTTTCATTTCATGACTCATGCTCGAGATAAGCGTGCAGCGCCACTTGTCACAACCATCGAAGTATGTGTAACACAACATATACTTTAAGTTGTGTTATATACTTCGATGGTCACAACAAGAAACTTCCCCCTCTCTTCGTCCCCTGATCACTCTCCCCTCCTAGAGCAGAGCAGTACGAGTACGTTGTATTCTGTTACACTTTTAGTTTGGTATTGTTTTGATGGTTGTTGATAAGTGAATGATTACGAGTGTTTTAAGTTTAATTTATAATTAGTGCAGTAAATAAGAAAAAAGTATCACAAACTGAATGAATGAGTAAAACATTTTGCAAGCCGATACTAAGAAAATAATGGCAGAAAAAAAAGAAACCGTCAGGCACAAACTATAGAAAGCATAAGGCGTGGAGGAAGATAAAAAACAAGCCAAATAAATTAGTAGATTTTTGTTGAAATCATCTGGTGGCGAGTCCAGTCAGCCTGAACCCAAAAGTAATGAAAATATTAATATTATATTTAATGTATTCAATTAAAAATTCCTCTACTGTCATCTACCTACAACTGTTTTTCATTGTAATAGGCTTTATAAAAACTATCGTATCGAAGTTATCCGTTAAAAATTCATTTCACATTTAGAAATAAATTTGTTAACTTTGGGTTTTGCTAAAGTGTATATGACGAGTAAAAGTGTAAAAATTAAAAATGTTAAATTTCTGTGGATAATAAACAAAAGCCTAGTTGAAAAAAAGTCTTTTATTGCAAGTATTCTTCTAAACTGAACAGGGTTAAGTTATGTTAATGGTGGGGTGGGGGGGGGGGGGAATTTAAGGTGGCGCTGATTCGGGTGTTCGCTTAACTCTGAAAAATTCCTAGAACTGGCCCTGGTAAATTTAAATAAAGTCCATCCCAGTAACTTAATAATGTTAGTAACTAGGCCAAACTTTGATATCCGACTCCAACCAATATCAACCAATAAAACTACCGATTCAGGCAATAACAAAACCATTAACTAACCACAACCCAAACTTTCTAGGCCTTTATCTATTGTAACAATTGATAACACAATGGAGCCAGATATCAAGGTTTCGCCAGTAACTTTAGGCTAACCTATACCAAAATTGATAAAATATTGATGACATTTCTTAACTTTATAACATTTGGAATGGACAATTTAAAAAATACAATTAATTTGTCACTTGCATGGTAAAGGGGCGTAAGTACATAGGCATATATGTACTTACGCCCCTTTGTAGCCAGTGTCGAATGGTATTGTTAATGAAGGTACCGGTAATCCAAAACTTAAACCTGACTAAAAATAGTTGGCCCAAATAATGCATTGATTTACAGGTAATTTATTTTATAATAACTTAGTTATACTACCTCTTCTCTAAACTTCTTTAATTTTTCTTTTTCAGCTTTCTGTTTCTTCAGCATTTCATCTCTTTGCTCTGCAATCAGACAGATTATACTATGAGATCAAATCAAGTTACATCACTATAGGGATTTAGCAGTACGGGTTAATTTTTTTATTAAGGAACATATTAAGCCTACTATGTAGTAGTGTAAAGAAGAGCATGACAGCTTTCATACTACACGGTTCCAGCGATGGCAGAAACCCGCGCTGTCTTTCAGACATCCACTGCCAATGAGTGGGACCATTGACTATACACCTCTACTATGTAGAGGTGTATAGTCAATGGTGGGACAGTTGTCACGCTGTGGCGGAAGCGTCAGCAGCGCATGTATTTAAATGCAAGCTTTCATAATGCACGGTATTTAGGCTAATCTATCGGGAGCCCACCAGCCAGTGCAAATACTTAAGTTAGATCAGCTGTCGCAATGTTTGGACCTATTGTTTACAATCTGACTTGTCAATTGGACAATGTATATGTTTTTTGTGATGTAAATAGATTAATTTCGCCAAATGGTCAGAAATCATGTAATATGAAAAAAAAAAACATAGAAACGGCGTAAAATTGTAAAATGTAGTATTTTCATCCAGACGACACTGTATATAGTGTGAAAGACAGTAGGGCCTAACTCAGGCATTGGCCGAGACTTCAACACAGTCAATTAACTTTTGCTACCGTTATAAACATGGGTACACACATTATCTGGATAGTTGAGTGGTTAAAGGATTTGCCTAGCAATCAAAAGGTTATCGCATAAGAAAAGACCATAGCTTTTTGATAGTTTAAAACTGGACACGACCGTCCCAGATTGTTGGGCTTTGAATAAATGACCCTGGCTAATTAAACAACTTAGGCTCGGTTCACACCTACTTATTAGCGACTTATCTAGCCGACTAAGCTGTGACTAGGTAAGCCCAACTGAGTAGCGGACCACAGGATCAAATGGAGCCGTTCACAAGAGCGTAGGGCGACGACTAGGGAGCCGCGTTCGAGCTTGGTGTCCCAAACCATAGTCGAGCCCCGCTTCCCAGTCACTCATGGCAGCTACCCAGTAACCCGCTCTCGCGGCATAGCAGCTACACGTAGCCTTATGGGAGCATTCACACGAGCGATTGGTCGTCGCGCTGCAGCTCGTATTCTTCCCTTTGTTCTCATTGTGCACCAGTGATGGATCCGAGTGGCATTGATATCGATATTTTTTATCGAATCAGTGAAGCTATGACCGTATCTTTGGAACACTTCTCTTTCTGAATATCATGACATAGTTAAGAATAAATAAACGAGATCTTGTTGTTTGTTGAAATAACTAAGATTGTGGCTTGTTAAACTGGTAGCCATAACCACCACCACTATTACTACTTACTGGAAGTAAGTACTACTTACTTACCTACTTACTTACTTATGGTATTACTTACTTATGGAAGTAATAAAAATAATCATGATGGCATAATTATAAAAAATAATATTTTAGTTTCAATTAGGCCTAGTATTTTGTTTGGTTTCCGTTATTGTAAAATTGCGTTATTATATATATAATAATATTGAAAGAAAATTAGCAATGTTCTAAATGACATAAAACTTTTTGGTACCGTAATTTTATTACAAGTCCGAAAATACAAATAAACAAAATATAAATTTGTAACCGACTAAGAGGTTTATAAAATAATTGTATATTGGCCCTATATAGGCCTACTCTAAACAATGATGTTTGTTCAACCAAACTTTATACTAGTTTAAATAAGAGTTTGTTAGGTGAATTTTATTATTCAAATGCAAATTTAGTTTTGAAAAACTTCGATATTATTGTTTAAAACATCGTTATTGTCCAAAACATCAATGTAAAAAAAATTTACTTAACATTGATGCAAAAACATCAAATTTTTCCAGAAATACGTCAACATATCGAAAAAATCAATGTATCGAAAACATCGTTTATCGATGCACATTCATTTACGCCACACCTAGTCCGTGGTCATGTCGCTCGTGTGAACATCCACAGTGTATCCTGTGGTCCACTACCCAGTCGGGCTTACCTAAGTCAGAGCCTAGTCAGCTAGATAAGTCACTCGTGTGAACCGGGTCTTAGGTCTATCTTAAGTTAGTCAGAAATAAAGCTACCTACAGAGATCTCACTCCATAACTTCACATTTGAGTGAACTGTAGAGGTGACTACGTTAGGCCTATTTAAGATAATCCTGGTCTCCAAAACGCAAGTTCTGTGCATAGCCAGGGCTAGACAAGGTTGTAGGCCTAAGCCTTACGTTAAGGGCGCGCTTTACCCCTGACGCGCAACCGAATGTCAGGGTTTGCAAGATTTCTGTTTTCACCTGCTACATTGAAGGTAGAATCAAAGTTAAGGTCTCACATTAAAGAGGATGAAATTGTCTATAGTTCTTTGTTTCTATATTTCAATTGTTTTAAATACACACCTTATAAACTTGAGTTGTAGTACAAGAAAAAAGGGTCTTTTCAACTAGCCTTAACTTATTAAAAAAAAGTTTTTTGAACATTTGAGAAACGCAGAACTAAGTTATAGATTGGTCTTTGTACTACTATAATCCGTTTAGAGTGCGTAGCTATCATTATTTGTTCATTCTAAAACAGTCATCTTGGAAACGTCAGCAAGCGCTTCTCGCAGCGCTGTCCAATGGTGAAACATAGCTACTGAAGCCCGAGCTGAGATTTCCGAGCTGAGGTAAGCATACAGTATTAAGTGACTTACGTAAGACATATCAGACTCTGCTTGGTCAATTCAAATCAGTAAATCTAATAAACTTATTTAGGCCCATATTTCTTGTACCAGTAGGTTAGTGAAAATAATGCCTCTTTTTTAAATAATGAACTGGGGGAATTGTGAACTAGGGCTGTACAGTAATTACTTAGTGTAGGCCTATTGTTGATTTGAGTAGAAATAAATGTTTTAAATGTTTATTTGGTTTGTTTTCTATACAGGATCAAAATTCTAGAAAGTTAAGAGCCGCTTAACTTTTTTTTAGGTTGAATAAAAAAGTTGCGTTTTTTGTTGACAAACAAATTACGTCGACCTTAACGAATATTTTTTTTGTGAAAAAAGTAAAGTCAGATTGACATGAAAAGAAAACCAGTCATTATGTAAGAATTTCAAATGTATAATGTATAGGCCTACTTTATATGTATAATATATACAAATATACCCTTCATGTAAGCAATTTTCTTTTTATTTTATCAAATTCACAATTACCCTCAATATTTCACTATGTGGGGGTAATTGTGAACCTAATCTTGGGTCAATTGTGAACGCTGTTCACTTTTACCCGGCCTGTAAAAGAAACACAGATTACTAACCAAGTTTCCAGGTTGTGTTCCAGTTTTTTGAGATGTAGGCGGACAGGACAGTTTGTAGGCACATCTGTTAGTGATTTGATTTCTAAATAGGCTAGTTTTAGTGAATTTCCCTATAGGGAAGTAGCTATTACCGTAGGTGGCACGGTAAGACCTAGACCCGGGACCGATTTACTTTTTCATTTTGATGTCCCCAGAGGCCAAAAACACTATTCGTTCAAATTTTTATATATGTAGCCTATATATATATATATATATACGTCCGTGAACGCGATAACTTGAGTAATTTTTGTCCGATTTTGATGAAATTTGGTTTAAAGGTGTAAAGCGGGATAAACTTGAATGATTTCGCGAACCAGCACGATCGGACCATGGGAACGGGGCTTTACGGGGGGTTTTATGGGGTAAAAATTGGTTTTTCTCACTTTTGACCCTCAAAACACAAAATTTTCCAATTTCTCTTTAGACCTTTTTAAAGAGCTTAAAAAAACAAATAATTTAGTATTTAAAAGTATTTTTGTTCGAATATTAGTAACGGAGAAAATTAAAAAAATTGTAAATTTAAAATTCCCATGTTATTCTTATGGAGAAAATTGTCAAATGTTGTAGTTTGCTTGTTTATGAATATATTTTGATCAAACTTGGCAAATTTATTTATTTTGTACTAAGCTATCAATATTTTACTCAAAAACACACTTTATTAGTTTCCTTGTAGCAGCAAACCTAGGTACTCGTTAAACCTAATGTTATTAAAATATATTTAACTGAAAATCAATTCAGACAAATGGAAATTCGCTTAGTCGGCAGGTTTGCTGCGGCGGGGGTATTTAAGGTTTTTCAAGATAAAAAACCATTTTAAGTACAACTAATATTCTGTATGACCTAAAAGGAAAGTGCCTAATTATTTCATCTAACCAAGGTAATTTAGTTTTCTTTTCTAATGGTTGACTGTTATTACAGTAGGATTTCAACAATTTAAAGAAACAAGTTTGTGCTCTTTCGTTGATTAAAGTGAGTTTATTTTGTCATTTCCCTCTAAATTTTTACTTTACTGTATCAAATAACTACTCTATATTATTTTCTCTTGTATACGAATACTATTTTACCCATTAAATACATTAATTTTAATTATTCTAGAAACTTCCATTTTTTATTATTTTTACATCTACCTGATTTTCTAACTATTTCAAAGTACCACGGAAAAATCTCATTTGTACGCCTATTTTTTGTCACATGCCATTGAAAGTGGGGAATTTGTGAACAGTTTGAATTAGGCTTTAATCACAATTCCCCTCCTATGATGTAGTACATGTAACTTAATATTTTCTCAACTGAGTTCACATTTACCCCAAAATTGAAGGCAATTGTGAATGCCATCCGGGCAATTGTGAATGCTGAATAACTCCTTAACTAAATAGGGGATGAAATCGGCTTATGAAATATTAAGCCCAAAATATGTATAATGCTATAACACTGATCACATTTTTAAAATTGCTTACAATTTTCTTGTAAATTGTGTTTAAATCTGACAAATTTGTCATTGGCGTTCACAATTACCCACATTGACCCTAACTAAATCCCTAACTAAATCTAACACAGTCCCCATCTACAAAAAGGGCCCAAAAGATGATCTCAAAAGCTATAGACCAATATCCATAATTCCTATCTTTGCCAAAATTTTTGAGGCTATTATGCTTGAGCAGCTGTATACCTACTTTGAGGAGCATAACCTTCTCACCCCTGCTCAATTTGGTTTTAGAAAGGGAAAGTCCACTGTCCAGGCAGTAGACTTCCTTGTACAAACTATTCTGAACGCCTTTGAAGCTAAGAATTCTCTATCTGTAATGATGTGTGATCTGTCTCGTGCGTTCGATTGTGTGTCCCACAATCTTTTACTGTCCAAATTTGAAAAATATGGAGTGAGGGGTAATGCTCTTTCAATCCTCAGATCTTACTTATCTGATAGAACTCAAACTGTCTCTTGGAATGGAAGCAACTCAGGCCAGCTTAATGTTAAGTATGGGGTACCACAGGGCTCTATACTCGGTCCTTTTCTTTTCATTGTTTCAATGAACGATCTATATCTCAGAGTTGCTGGTAATGTACTGTTGTATGCTGACGATACTACTCTCTTTTCTGGTGACAGTGATTTCGGCGTTTCCAGGGCTGCAGTCCAGCAGCTGTTGGAAACTGCTTCTGTTTGGTTCAGAGAGAACAAACTGACTCTAAATGAAGCAAAAACTCAAACCATTACTTTTAGTCTGTCTAAGAATAAGCCTAATGCTTTTGATCAGCCTGCCAAGCTGCTGGGCTTTGTACTTGACCCGCAGCTAAATTGGACAAACCATATCGAACAAATTTGTAACAAACTTAGTAGAGTAATATACCTACTCCGACGTCTAAAAGCTGACATGCCCCAGGAGTTTGTACGTCTCGCTTATATGGCCTTTTTCCAATCCCACCTACAGTATGGCACTAGACTCTGGGGACATGCGCCTGCTGTAGAAAAAGTTCTGCTTTTGCAAAAAACAGCTGTCAGAGTCCTCTGCGGAGCCCAGCAGCTTGCGCATTGCAAACCCTTGTTAATAGAAAACTGTATAATGTCTGTACATAATGTATATATTTATCAATGTTTATTAGAAATTAAGGCTCAGGAAGACACAATGTGTCTGAACAGTAGTGTACATAGCCATGCAACCAGGAGCTCTTCTAATGTACATAGGGTTAGGCTGACCAAAACTTTGAATTCTTTTCCTGTTGCAGGTATAGCCTTTTTTAACACCATACCTCTGCAAGTAAGAAGGAAACCTGCAAAAGCTTTTGCTAGGTGTGTTAAAGATTGGTTGGTGGCAAACCCATTTTACTCCTTGCAGGAGTTTTGGAATTCAGATACCCACACAATGAATTAGAAAGAAAGAAAAAAAAAAACAATACATAGCCTTCATATATTTATATTACCTAAACCTTGCCTACAGGTATGAGTGTGGTTTTTTAAGTTTTCCTTTTTGCTTTTTCTCTGCTTTGTTAATTTTTATATTTTCTCTCTCCGCTGCATGTTTTACAGTTTTGTTTTGCAGTTTTTTATTTATTTATCTATTATGCATGGTGTGCTCTTTGGACATTTGTATGTGCTCTTTGGACATTGTTTTGTAAATCAAGAGGAATGCATCTCTGTTTTGTATTTTAGTTTAGTGTTAGTGACTTGGCCAATTGTTATAAACTGAACGGCTCAATAAATCTTGAATCTTGAAATCCTTCATCGTGGTGACGAGGCAATGTCGGTATAGGATAGGGCTCTATGGGAGTACAGAACACGGCCAACAATTTGATTTTTGAGCTCTTTATGTTTGAGGTAGGCCTAGGCCTAACTTAAGCCTAGGATTGGAAAAAGTGAGATGCAAGGTTCTAAATTATAATTTTTTTAAAGGCACAGGCCTAGCTATTTAGAGTAAATGGTATTTATTTGCCAGATTGCTTATAAAACATTGTGGGTACTTACGTATTATACGGAGGCCACTTATTTTACAGCGCGCTGCGGCGGTTAGGTTAGGTTGGGTTAGGCCTATCATAAGTTTTTATGACTCATCTCGTATAGTTAGATTCATAACGAAACTAGGAAAGTTCTACAAACATATTTATGATAACCCAACTTAACCCAACCGCCGCAGCGCGCTGTAAAATAAGTGGCCTCCGTATAATACGTAAGTACCACATTGTGTTTACCCTACCTAAATAGATTATGAAAAGATGGGCAGAAATAGAAAATCGAATGTGTCTTGATGGGATGAATAAAACATCCTTATTGGTTTTTATAGACCTGGACTTAGGTCGCAGGAGTGGCGTAAATGAATGTGCATCGATAAACGATGTTTTCGATATGCCTACATTGATTTTTTCGATACGTTGACGTATTTCTGGAAAAATTTGAGGGTACAGTTTCTTAACTGGGCTATGCTAATATCGATTGAAACTATCGATTCGATTAGTAAACTTTCATGCGATTTTTCACCATCAGCAAGTTTGGTTGGTTAGGTTAGGTTATGATAGTTAAATTTTATAATAGATAGGCCTTGGCTAGGCCCTATATTTAAAAATATCGATTATTAATCAATATTTTCAATTTGATAGTTTCATTCGATATTAGCATAGCCCAGTTAAGAAACTGTACCCAAATTTGATGATTTTGCATCAATGGTAAGGTACCTAAGTGTTTTCTTTTTACATTGATGTTTTGGACAATGTTTTAATTTTATAAAACCTTGAGTTATTTGTGTGGGTAATAATAGTGGCCATAGCCATAAAATATTACAAGTGCTGCACTTTTACAACTACAGTACTAAGAATATAAAAACCACACATTTTCTTACTTTTCATTAAAGACTTTTGCTTCTCACTGACAGAAGGTGGTTTATCCATGGAATTTAGAATTGATCCCAGTAAATCCATTTTACGCTAAAGACTTGAGAGCACAAAAAATAAACTTTCAAGAAAGCACCTGAATCAGAACGAACAGCAAAATTAAACAATTCAGTAACTTATTCTTCAATTTATAACCTCTATCTCTATAGGCTAGGCACATACATACTGATTAGTGATTACTGAATACTGACTGACAGACTGACAGTGTGACAGACAGTCATGCATATGAGATTATTTCATTTGAGATTGAGAATGAGATATGATATCAGAATCTTCTTCTGTTCTCCGTTTTTTTTTTATTTATTTTTAGCAGGCTCAATAACTCAATAACGTCATGAAGCTGTCTAAACAGATTATTTACGTTTTAGATGGAGTCATTTGCGTATTACCAGTGCATGCAGCGCTGAGGTTGTGAGAATACAATTTTAATTCTACTGTCGGGAAAAAAGTTTAGACACTCAAGTTTGGAGCTCTATAGAAAAGTATCCAACTAACTATATACACGTATAACTATAGCCAAAAAACACGTAGTATATATAAATTTTCGTTGTTTAATTCTACGTATCCCTGTGAAAACATTTATATAAATAACATGCGTAACAATTTGGTTGAGCAGTATCAATATTTCAATTTCAAAAACAATCATCTTCGAAACACCTTAGTGAGTCGGTGGCTCAGACGGTAGACTTCGGGCCCAAGGCAGCGATGTCGTGGGTTCGGATCCTGGTCACTGCTGATAACATTTATCAGTACAGTTCACCTTTGTACTGTACCGGCTCACTCATTGCTTTGCTGAAAACGATCCACGCACGGGCGCTTAGTCTATGTGGACGGGCAAATAGGCCGATTCTACACGAGCGTGAAAACCGCGACGGGACCGTCGCGTGACCGCGCTGATATTTTTTGCAAACTACACGTAGCGTTATCACCGCGCGTGGCAGCTCAACTCTGATAATTGTAGACCTACTACAGTTGCGTTCTAGTGTTAAACATGTTCGACACCGAAAAGTTTATTTGCGAGTTAGAGGCTCGGCCTGCACTTAATAATGATTAAGATTACATCATGGTTCACTCTGAAAAGCGAAGAAATGCACTTAGTCTGTGACGTTTATATACAAATGTTCAAGTAATATCAACGGTGTTTGCATGCTAATAGGAACATGTAAATTTTAAAATAATTTTATAATTTTAAAATATTTATTATTTAAACAAAGTTTGTACATAAATATACAAATAAAAAATACAAATAAATAAAATATATAAAAATAAAAAAGGAAAAATAAAACGTCAACACCGCACCCCGCCTGCTGCCGCGTCCTTCCGCGACGTGAATCCCGCTCGTGTAGACCAATCTACCGCAATGGTTCCTGTCGAGCGCGCGGTCCCGACGCGGGAATCCCGTCCCGGTTTTCACGCTCGTGTAGAATCGGCCAGTTTACATTCTGCGAATTTTCAAAGTCATAAGATGGTTTTTGGTACTCTAAAAACAGGCAGTATAGATATAATCTTACTACTTGAAATTACTACGGGGAAAAGGGAAAAATTATTTGGGAAAACGGGATAAAAAGAAAAGTGTTGGGAAAAAGGGAAAACGGAATAAAGGGAAAAATAATTGGAAAAAACGGGATAAAGGAAAAAGTTTTGGGAAAAATGGGAAAATAATTTGAGAAAACGAGATAAAGAGGAAAATAATTGGGAAAAATGGGATAAAAAGAAAAGTGTTAGGAAAAAGGGAAAAATAATTTGGGAAAACGGGATAAAGGGAAAAGAGTTGGGAAAAAGGGAAAAGAGTTGGGAAAAAGGGAAAAGTGTTGGGAAAAAGGGAAAAATGATTTGGAAAAACGGGATGAAGGGAAAAGTGTTGGGATAAAGGGAAAAGTGTTGGGAAAAAGGAAAAATAATTTGGAAAAACGGTATAAAGGGAAAAGTGTTAGGAAAAAGGAAAAAGAGTTGGGGAAAAGGGAAAAGTGTTGGGAAAAAGGGAAAAGTGTTGGGAAAAAGGAAAAATAATTTGGAAAAACGGTATAAAGGGAAAAGTGTTGGGAAAAAGGGAAAAGAGTTAGGGAAAAGGGAAAAGAGTTGGGAAAAAGGGAAAAGTGTTGGGAAAAAAGGGAAAAATAATTTGAAAACGGGATAAAGGGAAAAGTGTTGGGAAAAAGGAAAAAGTGCTGGGAAAAAAGGGAAAAATAATTTGAAAACGGGATAAAGGGAAAAGTGTTGGGAAAAAGGGAAAAATAATTTGGGAAAACAGGATAAAAGGAAAAGTGTTGGGAAAAAGGGAAAAATAATTAGGAAAAACGGGGAAAAGGGAAAAGAGTTGGGGAAAAGGGAAAAGAGTTGGGGAAAAGTGTGGGGAAAAAGGGAAAAGAGTTGGGAAAAAAGGAAAAATACTTGGAAAAAACACTTGGGAAAAACGGGATAAAGGAAAAAGTGTTGGGAAAAAGGGAAAAATAAATTGGGAAAACGGGATAAAGGGAAAAGTGTTGGGAAAAAGGGAAAAATAAATTGGGAAAACGGGATAAAGGGAAAAATACTTGGGAAAACGGGATAAAGGGAAAAGTGTTGGGAAAAAGGGAAAAATAAATTGGGAAAACGGGATAAAGGGAAAGGTGTTGGGATAAAGGGAAAAATAATTGGGAAAAACGGGATAAAGGGAAAAGAGTTGGGAAACAGGTAAAAAAGTTGGGAAAAAGGGAAAAGAGTTCTGAAAAAGGGAAAAGTGTTGGGAAAAAGGGAAAAGAGTTGGGAAAAAGGGAAAAATAATTTAGTAAAACGGGATAAAGGGAAAAGTGTTGGAAAAAATAATTTGGAAAAACGGTATAAAGGGAAAGGTGTTGGGAAAAAGGGAAAAGTGTTGGGAAAAAGGAAAAAATAATTTGGTAAAACGGGATAAAGGGAAAAGTATTGGGAAAAAGGGAAAAGTGCTGGGAAAAAAGGGAAAAATAATTTGGAAAAACGGGATCAAGGGAAAAGTGTTGGGAAAAAGGAAAAAGAGTTGGGAAAAGGAAAAATAATTTGGTAAAACGGGATAAAGGGAAAAGTGTTGGGAAAAAAAGGGAAAAATAATTTGGAAAAACGGGATAAAGGGTAAAGAGTTGGGAAAAAGAGAAAAGAGTTGGGAAAAAGGGAAAAATAATTTGGTAAAACGGGATAAAGGGAAAAGTGTTGGGGAAAAGGGAAGAGTTGGGAAAAAGGGAAAAATAATTTGGTAAAACGGGATAGAGGGAAGTGTTTAAAAAAAGGGAAAAGAGTTGGGAAAAAGGGAAAAGAGTTGGGAAAAAGGGAAAAATAATTTGGTAAAACGGGGAAAAGGGAAAAGAGTTGGGGAAAAGGGAAGAGTTGGGAAAAAGGGAAAAATAATTTGGTAAAACGGGATAGAGGGAAGTGTTTAAAAAAAGGGAAAAGAGTTGGGAAAAAGGGAAAAGAGTTGGGAAAAAGGGAAAAGAGTTGGGAAAAAGGGAAAAATAATTTGGTAGAACGGGATAGAGGGAAAAGTGTTGGGAAAAAAGGGAAAAATAATTTGGAAAAACGGGATAAATGGTAAAGAGTTGGGAAAAAGGGAAAAGTGTTGGGGAAAAAGGGGAAAATTATGTGGAAAAACGGGATAAAGGGAAAAGCTTTGGGGAAAAGGGAAAAGTTTTGGGAAAAGGGGAAAAGAGTTGGGAAAAAGGGGAAAATAATTTGGAAAAACGGGATAAAGGGAAAAGAGTTGGGAAAAAGGGGAAAATAATTTGGAAAAACGGGATAAAGGGAAAAGAGTTGGGAAAAAGGGAAAAGAGTTGGGAAAAAGGGGAAAATAATTTGGTAGAACGGGATAAAGGAAGTGTTGGGAAAAAAGGGAAAAATAATTTGGAAAAACGGGATAAAGGGTAAAGATTTGGGAAAAAGGGAAAAGTGTTGGGAAAAAGGGAAAAGAGTTGGGAAAAAGGGAAAGGTGTTGGGGAAAAAAGGGGAAAATAATGTGGAAAAACGGGATAAAGGGAAAAGCTTTGGGGAAAAGGGAAAAGAGTTGGGAAAAAGGGAAAAGTGTTCGGAAAAAGGGAAAAGAGTTGGGAAAAAGGGGAAAATAATTTAGAAAAACGGGATAAATGGTAAAGAGTTGGGAAAAAGGGAAAAGTGTTGGGGAAAAAGGGGAAAATTATGTGGAAAAACGGGATAAAGGGAAAAGCTTTGGGGAAAAGGGAAAAGAGTTGGGAAAAAGGGAAAAATAATTTCGAAAAACGGGATAAATGGTAAAGAGTTGGGAAAAAGGGAAAAGTGTTGGGGAAAAAGGCGAAAATTATGTGGAAAAACGGGATAAAGGGAAAAGCTTTGGGGAAAAGGGAAAAGAGTTGGGAAAAAGGGAAAAGAGTTGGGAAAAAGGGAAAAGTTTTGGGAAAAGGGGAAAAGAGTTGGGAAAAAGGGGATAAAGGGAAAAGAGTTGGGAAAAAGGGGAAAATAATTTGGAAAAACGGGATAAAGGGAAAAGAGTTGGGAAAAAAGGAAAAGTTTTGGGAAAAAGGGGAAAATAATTTGGAAAAACGGGATAGAGGGAAAAGAGTTGGGAAAAAGGGGAAAATAATTTGGAAAAACGGGATAAAGGGAAAAGAGTTGGGAAAAAGGGAAAAGAGTTGGGAAAAAGGGAAAAGAGTTGGGAAAAAGGGAAAAATAATTTGGAAAAACGGGATAAATGGTAAAGAGTTGGGAAAAAGGGAAAAGTGTTCGGAAAAAGGGAAAAGAGTTGGGAAAAAGGGAAAAGAGTTGGGAAAAGGGGAAAATAATTTGGAAAAACGGGATAAAGGGAAAAGTGTTGGGAAAAAGGGAAAAATGATTTGGAAAAACGGGATAAAGGGAAAAGTGTTGGGAAAAAGGGAAAAATGATTTGGAAAAACGGGATAAAGGGAAAAGTGTTGGGAAAAAGGGAAAAGAGTTGGGAAAAAGGGAAGTGTTGGGGAAAAGGGAAAAGAGTTGAAAAAAAGGGAAAAATAATTTGGAAAAACGGGATAAAGGGAAAAGTGTTGGGAAAAAGGGAAAAGTGTTGGGAAAAAGGGGAAAATAATTTGGGAAAACGTGATAAAGGGAAAAATAATTGGGGAAAATGGGATAAAGGGAAAAGTGTTGGGAAAAAGGGAAAAGTGTTGGGAAAAGGGGAAAAGAGTTGAAAATGGGAAAAGTGTTGGGAAAAAGGGAAAAATAATTTGGGACAACGGGATAAAGGGAAAAGTGTTGGGAAAAAGGGAAAAATAATTGGGAAAAACGGGATAAAGGGAAAATTAAATTAGGAAAACGGGATATACGGATAAGAGTTGGGACAAAGGGAATAATAAGAAATAATTACCAGTTAGTTATAATATTATTATTATTAGTTATTAGGTGACTGTTTCGATTAAAATTATTTACTCTCCACGGCCACCTGAATAATCATGGGGAAATCCGCTTGCAGATTTCCGTTATACAGATAATCTTACTCAAGATACTCTGCATTTTCAGGGCGAGTTCATAGATGGCTCATCTTAATGAATCAACATCATTCTGGTAGTCTATACAATTTTAGAATCCGGGACTCCTTTTACCATCAAATTAGACCGTTAATACCCTCTAACATTGAACCACAGTATTGCCAACTTTATATAAAGTTGGGAGTATATATACTGTACGACCAAACACAGCTACTCACAGAATGGGTCAAATATCCGGTAAATGCGACTAACTGCTGATGTGTGATTTAAGTGACTATCTTTATTCCACACAACGAATATGCACGAACAAATTATCTCCATAAGTAGCTTATTATGTTATCAACATTGCGCAGTTCGTGCATTATTTATTTGTCAAACGAAGCTGGAATTAATAAAACATTCATTTGTTTAAACTAATATATCGGTTAGAAAAACATAAATAGCTTATACAGGTCAACTATCAGTTCTATTTCATGGGAAAATATCTGGGAAAATCTACGCATACTGTTCGACAGATATTTTCCTGTAGATGTGCATTATAAATTAAAATAGACTCAAAATAAGCACAACAAATTAATTTAAAATTTATATAAAATTAACATTGGTCTTATGAGCTGCCATGCTGGTGACGAAATAACAACAAAATATAATAAACAGAAAATCAAAACAATTGGGAGAAATTCCAATCACATGTTTTTTACATCAAAGGGGTTAAAATAAAAAAAAAATTAAAAGCAAGATAAAATGCTTATAATTTGATTTATTTTTACCGATGCAGTAGGCCTAGTATCTTTAGCAAATATAGGGAATAAGCTATTACCGTATCATGGTAAGACCTGGGCCCGAGACCGATTTACTTTTTTATTTTGAGGTTCCTAGAGGAAATTTGAGGGATTTTCATCATAACTAAACCGGACTCATACTGCCTTGAATGGAGAATGATTTTTATAATGAGTAACCAACAAAAACTCTGATCGATCTATTGCAATCTATATCTGTTTGGAGAGAAGTACTCAATATTGTGGTATCAGTGTAAACTTTACAGATAATCTTATTTAGGACACTCCCATGACAGGAGGTGACAGTGCCTTATCTATAGTTATGGAACACACTGCCTACCTCATCACACTACACTATCATGGCTGTCAAGTCTAAACCTGCCCATGTGGCTCCAGCTGGATTTTTCATTATGTTTCCTGTTTCCTTCATTATTACGTAAGTACTGCAGTTCAGTGTAGCATCACAACAAATAGCGTTAAAAAATTCATATAAGCTAGGTCGGTTAGTTTTGTCATTAATGAGGTATTATTTCTACATCATTCGGTTTTACTTTGGTTACAGTTTTGAATTATGATTCATACGTAAATGTTTAAAATAGTATGTTGGTCCAGAATTTTTGTCTATATTTTTGGTGACTAAGTTCTCTAAAACACCCTCAACCCTCTCCTTTTCTTACATATTTACTTTCAACCTTTGACTTTTGTTATAAAGACAATACATTCCTAAGTTGTCCAGGAATCCGCCAACAGCAGAGTGAACTGATATAAATTACTGATTTTTGTGTATGCACCATCTTACCAGTCCAAACTGAAAGGATACTAACTGTAAAGGATGTGATTACCTGATTCACTATGTTATTTTTTAATATAAAACTGGCGGGAGCTAGTCATTATAATGTGGTTCGGATTCCACTGTAAACTGTAGGTCCCTTAGTTGCCATTAGTATGGGCTATTAATTAACAGCTAGGTCTAGAGAATATGTCTGCAGAGAATATGTAGTGCGCGCGCAGCTTTAGTCACTAACAAGACTACAAGATCGCGCCACTCATCCTACACACATCTCCATTCATACTTGGCTTAAAATACCTACGTTGTATGGTCGCCATTTCAATGAAAAGTAAAGTAAAGTATTATGAGATGTCAACTTTATTCATAAGTTTTCATATTTATTCATAATTCAATGTCAATACTTTATCAATTTATTTTTTCATTTTAGTAAATAATAAATTGTTGGAGTCTCTGAAAAATAGTTTTAAATTCATTTTGGAACTGAAGCACCAATCGCTGAAATTTGTTATAGTTTCTTTTTGGCACTGAATTATCACTGAAAATTGTTTTAGATTCGTTTTGGCACTGAAGAACCAAATTATCCCTGAAAATTGTTTTAGATTCTTTTTGGCACTGAAGCACCAACACATAAAGGCTATCATCCCTTACATCAGCGATACTGGAGACAAGCCCCCTGAGAGTTGTGTGTTTGCCATGCTTGTCAGCTTGTGTTCTGCTGTTTGTGAGTAGGAGACTACCACTACTGAAGTATCAACATACCCTAAATCACCACAGATACTAGATATTATTGTAGTCATATTCCCCAGGGGTTAAGAGTTAAATGTTTTAAGGCTTTCTTGATGATGCACAGTGTTTTTAGTTTTCCTCCGTTTCTTTAAGGGGATATGGCAGTGAAAATGCTAACTTCCTTAACATTATCACTAGGTCTTTCAAACTTATACCATGTGTTTTATAGGCATAAGAATAGGTATAAACATAGTTAAAAGTAATTTTTTTCATTAAGTACACCCTTACTTATTTTTTTTTAAGTAATTATCTAAATTTGATATAACTCAATAACTCCAGTTCTAATTATTGGATTTTAATCATTAAACCATCAGTTTGCAGGGAATAATGCCCTCTAAATATTTAGGTAGAATTATAACAGTATCTTTAATTTTTTATGGGTCATTTTGTAATAAAAAATAAATAAATTGGTTTTCTGTGGAAATAAAAAAATCTTTTTTCACTTTAGAATAGACATACATTTACAATTCTACCTAATTATTTAGATAATAACATTCTAAACACTTGGTAAAAATTTGAATCATGTAGCATTAACCATTTTGAAGATATATCAAATTTAGTAGTTAAAAACGTTAAAAAACTGATTAGAGGGAATCGCACGCTAAAGTTGCACTTGGCAGTGTAACCATGGTGATACTTATTGTTGAGTTATGGATCAATTTTTTGTTTATGCACACATTTTATTATCATTTATTATATTATTATGTAATTATTACTTAATTATTATATTATTAATAATAATGATAATTATTATTATTATTACCAAAATAAGTCAATGACCGGACTTTTTTAAAAAATATTTTCCGTATTTTTCTTTATAGCCTAAGCAAAAAAAAAAAAAAAAAAAATATTTTTTAATTTTTGACAAATTTTTCTTATTTTTAGCATTATAAATAATAAATAATAGAAAAATTTAAAAAATCACTTTTTTGAAAAAAAAAATTCATTATTTCACTGCCATGTCCCCTAATGTATTGATTTATTTGTTAAAAAGTTAACTTTAAAAAGTGTAATTTTATAAAATAATCTCTATGCAACTAAATATTAGAATAACTATTATATGCTACACAATGTAAAAATTTTCAAGAGCAATAAATAAATAAATAAATCAAATGTTTAACTTTCCCCCCAATGGAAAATAACTTATTGATAAACTTAATTAGAGACAGATTTTTCAGTTGATTGGATTGTTAGACAAGGAGAAATGAATAATTGACTATATCAATCGTTCTCTCTGATCCAAAACCAGTACAAATGACATCTAACATTACCCCTGAGATGGAGACGCAACAACAATTTCTATTAACATGAACCCAAATAAACGGAAAGAGAAATATTTTGTATGAATCCTGACCATAGTCTGACTAAAATCAGCCATTTATTACATAATAACCTGATATTTGAACAATCGAATTGAATTGACTCAAGATCAGACTTAAAGCATTATTGAACCATAGTTGCACAACAAAAATGTTATGTAGGACAATTTTAAGTTTTTTTTTTTACAAGATATAATTGTTTTAAGGTTTGTATTAAGTAAAACTCTTAAAAATGGTTTTAGTAGCTACGTGGCCACCAAGTAGCTAGCTGGTGTATGAGATCTGTGAAAAGCAAACACAGAAATTAGAATGTTCTTTTTCAAACAAATATACGGTGCCTCTTGAACCTACCTGTAGGCAAACCTTTCAAATGTGCCTCATAAAAATTTAAGAGATTCTTTTAACTATTTAGGGTAGGGTAGGACTAAATAGTTGTAACTATATGGACCAGAATTTCAACTTCTATTGTCTATTTTAAACTGATTCCAGTGATACTGAGCATATACATCCGACATATTCAGATAAACTTTCACTTTGAACACAACAAGAGGCCCAACCGCAGCACTGCTCTGTGGAACAACGTTGCAACTTCATTCGGAGTGGCCTCCACCTTCGGCTTACTGCTGGTGGCCAACTTCCAGGAGGACAACGACTATCCCGTCCACTACACAGGGGCTGCTGTCTGTATATGGGGCGGATCCATATACTTTATGTTCCAGGTAATCTTATAGTAAACATTTACTGTATGATAACCTCAAACAATATTACAGGGTGGCAATGTTTTATCTGATAATCTTGTAACCCCACGTCACATTAGTTTATATAGGGTGACACAAAGGAACCGGATGTTTTTTAAAAAGCTGTTCCATTGTTGTCGCACGTGGTAGGAAGATTGAGGTTGTGTCATTATACCTTCAGTGAGGCATGCCATTTTTGTTGAAATGGCTCAGTGGACCCTAGACCATCGAGTTTTTGCATACGATACTTTGCTCCAAAATGGTGAATCCATCGTCAAATCCAGTGGGAATACAGTCTACATTTTAATATTGAACGCCATGGAACGCCAAGCCGAAATACGCTATTAAGATGGGTTTCAGGGTTCCGAAAAACTGGGAATATAACAAGAAGGTAACCACCAGGCCTTGTTAGAACTTCGAGAACACCCGAAAACATCACCAGAGTGAGATCAGTATTGAATGAATGTTTGCTAACAAGGCGATTTCTCACTTTGGTGACAAACCGTGGCCGCCAAGGTCACCTGACTTGTCCACTAGTGATTACTTCCTTTGGGGGTTTCTTAAGGAGCGTGTTTATGCTCACAAACCACACACTCTAGAGGATTTGAAGTTGGCAATCACAGAATATATTAATGGCATTGAACAAGACCTTCTGACCCGAGTTTCAGATGATTTCCAGACCAGAATGAACATTTTGTAGAGAAGTACATGGCCACCATATGCATGATGTCATTAAAAAAAAAAATACAGTTTTGTAACAAACGGCAAATGTTTACCTCACTATGTACAGTATTAAAACCATTTTATTCCATTTAACTACTGTGTACTTCTTATTAAAAAAGTCTGGTTCCTTTGTGTCACCCTGTAAAAGATAAATCCCTTCAAACAGTCACCTCACCACTCGTCCTCTAGAGAGTCGATCCATCTGACAGTACTCTGTAATGGAGTGCAATGGGTGTGGGGTAGCAGGAGAAAAAAAAACTTTTTAGGAAAATATTTACTCCCGCATAGTAATTTTGAATTTAGAACTTTCTTATGACATGTATTAAAATATGAATTCAAATTTAAGTTTTAAAACCACCCCTCTACTGTTAAACATTTGTTTGATCATTTACACAACAAAATCAACAGTATCTGCTGGTTATAAATAGTTTCTCCTCACCCACCACACCACGCAAAGGTTTAAATTCTTGTGTATTGTGATGTTTGTAATTCTTAGGGTCATGTGTTCTTACATGCTGTTATAATGCTGTTTATTTCTAAATGTTGTACAGCAATGAAACCGCACAAATAATAATTGTTGGGGTTTTTATAGATTGACAAACCTTCTCAGCATTTTTGAGCAATATTGCTGATTTAGTAATACATTGAAATACATACATTGATTATACAGTACATTACAGAACTTGGAAAGATTTACCTGTTCTTTTAGTGGATTTTCTCAAACCTGCCTTATGACCTTGGACCAAGGTTTCCTTGCATAAACCAACTCCCTGATACCTGGTACTGCTTTAATGACGCAATCCCAAAGTGCAGTAAAGAAAGTACTTTGGTGAACAAGTATTACCATAGTATTACGGATTTGATGTAACTTAGTGCCTTAATGAAGTTAAAACTGCTTGAGCAGCTGATCAACTGGTATGAATGTGGTTAGGTGACAGGTTAAAAAAAATACTTGTGTGTATGGAGAGCTCTTTGTTTATTCTCATATGTGAGTTCGGAGTGTACTTATCTAGTTATAGCCTTCATAACTAAAGAAATGAGAAAAAAACTGTACTGAATACTTCCAAAGTTCACCTAATCATGTAGTTTTCATTTGTAACAGACCTTCATCTCCCACCTGATGAGAAGCTACCTGTGCACAATGTCCCTCCATTACACCAGAGTCATGTTGTCTACGTTCACTGTGATGTTCAACGTGATCGGAGTTGTGTCTACTGTGACAGCAATTAAACATGCTCCTCAAGGTAGTACTTGTCTTGAGTTGAGCTATCAATGTAACTGGGTCAGCTTGGTTAAGGTATCAAAGTTTAAACTTAAAAGGTTGAAAATAAAACTTACAAGCACAACAACTATGTTCGAGAATATCTTTGGGTGGGGAATGTATTAGGCACAGCAGAGAACAATAGCTATACGATTTTCACTAGTAACTTGTTAGTTACATTTAACCAAAACATTATCTGCCAATCATGTTTGGGTGAATTGTATTTCGGTGTAGAAGTTTTTTTCCAGTAGTCAGTCTCCAAATTTGTGCTTGAAGCAGCTCCTTCATGAACAGTTTTATTTTAGTGAATGTAGTATATGGATTGGAAGGATGACATCTAAAGCACGTTTGTTGCTGTGATGGTGTAGGTTACTCAGAATCCGAATACTTTATTCTTGAACATAAGAGTACAGAATAGGCGTCAAACATTACAGAGATTTAATTATAAAACAGCGTAAAGTTGTTGGGCTTTGAGGCGCTGTCCGTAGTGATGGTTATTACTATGAGGGCTGTTTAGTCCTCACTGGAACATCGGTGATGTTCTCCAGTTCATGAACTCCTCAACTGTGTAGAATGGTCTCTCCACATTATTTGGTTTGATGGGAAGCTATTGTACGGAGAATATTTTGATGGACGTTTTGACATACTTGTCATTCATTATGTTTTGTTCATAGAAAGGTCGACACAGTTGTCTTGTTACTCAATACTAAGCACCCAGCACCCCTGATTGCTCTCTTGATGGGATCATGTTCTAGGTTGAATCTGAATGTCAAGTAGACAAATGAAAATCACCTGTTCCAGGTATGCCTCAAAAGGAGACTGTGTCAGACTGGAGTCCTGATGATCCCTACTGGGTGGCCCATGTACTCAGTGTCACCTCGGAGTGGATCTTGGCCTTCATACAGAGTGCCACAGTGCTCACCTTCGTCCCAGAGTTGCGGCGGATGAAAGTGGTTTTTCCAAAGCTCAAAGTAAGTTGAAGAACTGAAAACCCTCTCTTTAACTCTGTTTTTGTTGTTAACTATTCTAGGTGTATGTAAGGGGAAGTCCAAAATCCAAGCTTGATAAAATTTAGAAAGTTCTCACCAATTTTCTGTCATATCTTCTTATTATTTTATCTCCAAAATTCTGTAACACTCTTCATTCTTCCCTTTGGATGTTAAATACTGTATGGATAACTCTTGATTTTTAACTAGTTTTAAAACACAGGTTTTTGAGCCATTTCAGAACATAATTTTATTATGATAAAGTTCAATAACTAAAATTCAGGGTGATTGTAGGATAGAATATGATGTGCAATTTTGTTGTAGACTAAAATGAACTGTTTCTTTAGCCAGGATAATTTATTACAAGCCTAGGTTGTTCAAGGACAACAGGGTGCAGTTTCGGTACAGCAAAGCTTGATATGTTTCTCAAGATTGAAAAGACTGATTGAAAGACAGAAAATACTGATTGTTGCTAGTACTAGCATTCAATTAATCAGCTATAACAACGTCGACAACATACACTATATAAGTTATTCAAAAAAAGGGTATATAAATTTGAATTTTGTAATAGATCACAATATTTTTAATTGTATTCTGTGGATTGTGTGTATATTGATGCTTTCAGGAAACCACTTTTTCCTGTATAGAAAGAAAAAAAGCATAAATTGTATTTTTTTCAGATTGAAGATATATCGCCAGATGACTAAGTCAGATCCAAACACATTTTCTAACGAGCAGTGGGCCATTATGAGATCTTGAATCTACCAGACAACAACCAATGCAATTATCTACTTGGTGAATGTAATTACAATTAGAACCCCTCATATCCGACCATGACGTGACCAGGCCATTGTCAGAACGGCCAAAAGGTCGTATATCGGGAGGAGCATATCTCTGCAGTCTTGGTAACATCGGTAATCGTCTCTCTCGATCCCGGCATCACCTGGGAAGATATCTTGCGGTATCATATCATCGGTAATCGTCTACCATGACCGTGGAAACATCCGTGAGCAAATCATCTTTCTGTCTCAGCAATAGCGGTGGTCGTCTGCCGTGATTATGGCAACACCCGTGATCGGCCACACTAGGTTGGATATCCCGAGGAGTCTGTTATGCCGAGGTCGCATATGAGGGGTTCTACTATATTTTAATTTATGATAATTTCTTCAAATAAAAAGTAAGGATATTTATATTTGGTGTTTTCTTCCCAACTAATTAATGTTTTATTTGTATTTGTATAATATGTTATTTTATTATGCATTCATAATTGTATTTATTTTTACACAAAAATATACCTTTTAATTTTTTTTTCCTTTTTAAACCCCTGCTTTATTAATTCTATGTCTACTGTTAATACTGTTTACGGTTTAATACTAGATGTTCAAATTAAATTTTATCCATTTAAGTTAGACATTTGAAAAACAAATTGTTAACCTCCCAACTGTTATGAGAAATACACAACAAATATTAAAAAAATATTGAATTTGGTTTTATAAATAATAATACCAGTGTTATTCAATTTCATTATTATAAGATCATCTCCTATTTTCACCCATCATTTACTAGTTATTTATAAACATAATTTTAAAAATTGCCAATTGATGAATACCAAGTATATCTCTAGTATAGTCTGGGCTGCTGCTACGTGATAATACTGTGACCAAACACACCTCACACCCATGATAATAGTGGTGGACCAAAACCCCCTTAGGTGGTTTTTTTTTTGTCCTAGGACGCTAGGCACGAGCCTGGAATTGTTTTTCACATTACTTCAGGCTAGACCTAGGGGTTACGGCAATATCACTATAAAATCCATTGGTGGTTTGGCAGGGTTTGAACCCAGGACCCCAGCAACTAGAGTCCCGCGCTCTAACCACTAGACCAGCTCGCTCCCCCCCCCCCCCCCTTAGGTGGTAGGTCAACCTGTAACATAATAACATTAATTTTATAGGCCTGACAGACGGTAAGAACCATCTATGTATTGCACTTAATTTACTATCGAGTCAGGTTTTTGTAAAATAAACTTGACATAGTTTAATTTGATAACCAAAATGATTTATTTTTACGCTTACATGGTTAGTGTTTTAAAAATAAAACAATCGCCAACTAGCTAAAACTATGTTCAGTTTTGTCATCTGAGGAAATAAACCGAAACAAATTATACAAGCTGCGATCAAAGACCAGAAACCGTAATCTGGTGCTAGATTGTCTATAACATAAGTAACATTGTGTAATCAACAAATGATCAACTCTGATACGATCAACAATTGATAATATAAAGAACCAACTCATCATCTATTCGTATCAATCATATTTATGAGTTTTATATACACTTCTTGGTTAGTTAAAATTATCTATCTTTACAAATAGTGCTTAATAATAGTTACAGTACATTAAAATTGTATGTGAAATTAACACAAAATATGTTACACCCCACACAGTAATATAGAGGTGTAATGTTAGCATAAAAAAGTAGTTTTTGAAATACTTTTTGGTAATATTATCTGAATTAAAATCATTGACAATGAGTAATGAAATGTCTTATCCAGGCAAAATGGTTGAATCCCCTGTTAAGTTAATACAAGAACAGATTGTTGAAAATATTATTATTAGGAACATAAAATACTTTTTACTTTTGCTAAAAAATTATGTGTATCTAAATCATAAAACATTGAAATGAGTAGCCTAATTAAAAGTTAATTAACTTAATTTCAGTCTATTTACATCCCTAGAAATTAAAATGCACAATAAAACAGGGCAATGTTAAAATAAATAAAATGTTTAAAATCATCAAAACTTCATATTGTAAAACTAAAACAATTTATTACAATTTTCTGCTGTTAAATAATTTACTTTACTATACAATCTATGTACAATTAAAATGACTAATAAATCGCTTTGAAAATAGGCTAGTTTAAATAATTTAATTTGCAAACAACTTTTACACCTATTGACTTCACAATGTTATGTTTATGGAGAAATGAATGTGACATTCAAATTTCAAACATTTTACAATGACTTTCCTTACATTTAAAAGTGTCAAAACTCGACTCAAGCAATGAATTGAAATATACTATCTGCTGAACAGTGCATAAATATAGAACTGGTGTCGACAATAACATTGAAACGAGAATCGTGAATGACAACACAGACATCGACTGTCTATTTGAGCAAATATGTATACTTAAGGGGAGGGAGGGGGGACTTTGGCACGATTCAATACAACAACTCTCCACCCGTCAGAAGTCATACTTCGTCTTAACAGATTTTAAGATTTGATACAAAATGTTCCTAGATGCTATCAGTGACCGAGTCTAATTCACAAGCTAATCACTGCAGCTCTAATATAAATATAAATCTTTATCATCAAATAATAGTTTCAGACACAAACAACCTATCCTAAGGAGTTGATATTCTAACATTTGCTCTTATTTTTACAGTAGGTAGTCTGTAATTTTATCAGACTACAGTCAAAAACATTTAGAATCTTAATTGAATTCTCAAGTAGGAAAAACTCAATGTAAAACAGTACTTTTGTCAAAAACTTAAGTAGACTTTTGTTACAAGGTGTATGTTTAGTACACTTTCCAATTGTAAAATATAATATTTAATTCCGTATTATTTTAAAACACATACAGTATGTAGAAATTTAGAGGTATCAAAGTAAATATTAAGTAAGATGTTCAGGGCAAGAAAGTGATATTTTAGAAATATCAATATAATATTTAAACTTCCTCTTCATAAAAAAATTAAACAACAAAAACTGATAGCTCCATCCCACCAACACAGCAGCCAAACACGTCTAAATTGAGTTGAATTCAATTCATGAGAGTTTTTGTTTGCAAGTTTAGTAAGTCTTCAACTTTATATAAAATCTTTCAAAATGTATGTAGGGTAACTTACCTATTCATTTTTCTTTAAATTTTTGAGTATTGTGGAATAAACCCTGTGCAACAGAAGCAACACAAAACTATGTTTCTCTCAAACAAAACTTGACAGCAAAACAAGTTGGTGCATATCTCAGTCTGTACACATATAGATATTTTGTATGTTTTAGTTTATTTCCTAGTCTAAAGTATAACACTACGAAAATGCGATCAAACACAACGAGTGTTTACAAAACTATGTAGATACGGACAATGGCAGTTGACGGCGTTGCTCGAGCGCTATACCTGACTAGTCGGTCACAGTATGTCTGTCTCGTAGACTTTACTAGTAGTGGACGTGTTGGTAGCAGTGCTAGTGGCCTCTGTGTTACTGGCATCATTGGCCGCTGTGGTGGGGGGAGGAGGGCCCAGGTGGGAGAGAGAGCCTGATATCGGTGCCGCCGCACTCAAGCCTAGTCCCATTTTGGCCAGGATATTGCTCTCACTCCCCGTCTTCTTGAGTTGCAGCAGGTCGGGCGGAGGCGCTCTCTGAAGTTGCTGCAGTCTCGTGTACTGCTCCTGAAGCGCCTTCTGTTTTCTCAGCAGTTCCTGATGTCTCATCTCCAATATCTCCTGGCGGGATTGCGTGTGAGCACCTTCTTGAGAATTGACACTTTCGCAACTCGAAGAATTAGACGCTAAGGGCGGGTCTTTGGTGTTTTCCTTAAGGCTGGATCGGCCCGGGGCATTTCGTCTGAGAGGACTGCCGGAAGGGCCACGTGGGGGAACTACAGGACCCGTCGGGGACGACAATGGGGAGCGGGAACTGGTCCTGGGTGGAGGAGGTGGAGGCACCCTCTTGCTCAGTAGGTCAGCACCTCTCTCTGGTACGGGGGGCTTTCCCCCCTCGCTGGAGGGGTAGGAGTGAAGTCTACGCAGGGTGGAAGTGTTGGCTGCAGGGGGTTTAGCGAATGTTTGCAGTTCGTCTAGCAGAGCGTCGAGCGCGTTCTCCGGACGGGAGGCGTCTGACCGTCCACTGGCGGGGGAGCCCCCGCCCGACCCCATGACATCCCCCGCTCCAGTGGTCTGCAAACACAGGCACACAGATCAGCTGACATAGAAAAAAATTAAAATAACAATTGATTGAGCAAGATTAGAAAATGTTACTTATAAAAGTCTAACCACCTTGAAAAATATTGTACCAAGGCATAATTATAACTGTTCTAGTCTTGTTTTGAAGAAAATTCTCTTCTTTATATTTTGGTAATAGAATGCACAGCACAAATAAATGCATAAAAAGAGTCTTATAAGATAGAAAATTTCACTGGTAAATACCCTACTAAAAATAAGAATGTTTAGCATATTCTTTTACAAATCTTTGTTATCCAATTTATGTGTATTAATAATTATTAATTACTTAATTTTAATTGAACTGATAATTGTTTTGAGTATTTTTCATCAATTGTGACATAGGTACTTGAAAACCAAGACAAAGCCAAATAATAAAACAAAACTAGGGACTACTTGCATTACATTGTAAAAAGACAAAAAAAAAGCACAACATTAAAAACTTTACAAATAAATAATATACAAACCTAACTTCTACATCTAAAAGGTATTACAATCAAATTATTTAAAGAATAAACTGTACAATATCATGCGAATTCAACTTTGACATCAAAATTACAAATGATCAAAGTTTAACTTGAGCCTTGTCGTATAAAGGGCTGAACAGCGAGGCTAGCCATTCCATGCAGAGACTTTAGAAGCTTTATTTAACATGATGAGTTTCTCAAACCTGGCCAATGCAGCAAAGTAAAGCGTTTAGAACAGTTATTCAAAATAGTTCATGATCGCCATAGGAAAAATATCATTACACTGTGGTAGAAATTATTTAATAACACTATATTTTATCAGAAATATATATAAATTGAAAAATTATTCATAAAATATTATCTTACATTATATAAAATGAAATTGGATTTTTTAGATTTTCGCATACATAGCTTTTCTCCTGTATTAAAGATTAAGAAAAATTCATTTTTTATTTGTTTTACTTATATATATAAGTAATGTATAAATAGGTTAATAGTTTATTCTAAACCTCAAATCTCAACACATTTTATATTTAAGATAATTATGATGAGTTAATATACTCAAAAAAATTTAAAATCACATAAGACACACATAAATATTAGTGACAAACATCAAGCTGGATACCTTGAATGATTGTATATCCTAACAATTATCCACATTAGTTTCAAAATGGGTTTCCATAAAGGTAATTCGGAAAGAAAAATCTTCAAAAACCTTAGGATCATTTAATATAAAGTAAGTAATTCAAAGTGTAAAATACCACGTTACAAAAAAATATGTTTAATTTATAGAATTGAGATTAGAATATTTTATAATTAATTATCCTTTACCTTTGAAATGACGAGAGTCTTAAATACCCAGTGACTTAGTCCCCGTGACTGCAACCTTAACAAACTAACGGTGACAAGACAACGCATTAGATACAACACCAACAGAACTCAAAGAAAAATACAATTCTGCCAACTGTAAATGTGGTTGTGCTATTACCATCAAAACATTAACAATATCATTTCTGCACTACTTAAAACCATTGTTGAAAAATGGAGATTTTATTATTTTTTAAACAAAAATGGATATTTAAGATAATATCAACACATACTCTGATGTTTACCTTTTAGCATTAGTCTGGACAAAAAAAGTCAAAATAGTTTTGCCATGGTTTTTCTTTGCTTTTGAATACACGAGGTTAAAGAGTTATATTTTCAGGCCCATACTGTTAATGAATAAGATACAGTAGGACCTCGATAAGAAGACCCTCGATAACAAGTCGCCCTTGATAACAAGGGTCATTTTCGAATCCGCTTGAAATTATTTTACCCCTAATCACATGTTATTGCAAACCTCGATAAGAAGTCAACCTTGATAACAAGTCTTTTTTATGATCCCTGTGAGAGTCTTGTTATCAAGGTTCTACTGTATTAAGCAAGATTATTTAGCCATTATAGTTAGTGGCTAGCAAGTAATTAAGTAATTGAAGTATTGTCCGTGGAATTACATTTAAAGGAGACTATCAGTACTGTGGTCCTGGAACTAAACTGAAGTAAAGTCTTGCAAGGAAATTAGTTCATCCCGTTAAAAAGGTTTGGCTGTAGAAATTGGTTGAACTATTTTATCTTGCAATATATTTTACTCAATGAGTATAATGCCCCTTATGAATGTCCTATAAGACATGTACTGCAAGGTAAACATGATATGATTTTAAATAAAAATCCAGTTTCTTGAATAACCCCAAATTGTTTATAGTTTTAGTATGTTTCCTGATACTACGAAACATTTTGTTTCTAATGGACATAAACAAATTCATTTTAAATTTAAAATCATGTATTTCTGCAAAGTTACGTTCTCAAGGGGCATTGTAATTAACACAACCACATTGACATGCAACAATACAAATAAATGAGGTGATGTTAATTCCATGCAAGGTGTGAGTAATTGGTAAAGCAAAATAGGATGTAAAAAAAATATGCATGCGCTGAAAAGAAAGTATTGTCAATAAGCGTTTTGTATGGTTTATCAAAGAAATATTTAATTATGGAAAATCCAAAAGGTAAACAAATCTTTGTAAATTAATGCACAATTAAATTAAGTACCTACTAAATTAATTTGGTGCAAATAAACAGTTTTTTGACTCACCATAATGATTATGAGAGTAACACAATTACAAACAAATCAAGGGTATTGAAGAACGCATATGTCACAAGTGATGTTAAAAAAATGGTGTAACATCTCTAATGAATTTGACTAAATACAGTTGAACCTCGTTTGTACGAACCTTGATAAAACAAATTCCTTGATAAGACAATTTTTTTTTTTAATCCCCTTGACACTTTCATATAGGTCAATGCTAAAAACACCTCTATACAACGTAGTAATTAAGTTAAAAACCTCCATAAGACGAATTTGTTTGTGACATGGGCTAGGACTGAACCTCTATGCAACGAATATTCTTAGCACAAAACCTCTACAAGACGAGCGTGACCTCTATAAGACGAATTTATCATAATCTTAACCTCCATAGTACGTAGTTTTCAAAACAAACAGAAGCTTGTCTCAAGATGAAACCCCCACCCATCCCTCCTCCTTCCTCAGTCATTGTTTGGAGAAACCTTGGAGCGAGGAGAAACCTCTATAAGAAGAATAACAGCAGCATTAAACCTCGATAAAACGACCCTCTTTATTAAGAATACCTCTATAGTACGAATTTTTCCCGTACCCCTTGAAATTCGTCTTATAGAGATTCAACTGTATTATGAAGTTCAACCAATCTTGTTGGAGTGATAACACTGAATGAGTAAATTCTCCAGCTAACTTTGATTTTTACTACGTAAATCTATTTTATTACTTTTTACCATGAGAAAATATTTTGCTTTTTGCTGCAAGCATTTGTTATTAAAACTTTAGTAATAACCATAAGCTGCCCATAAAGGAATTCCCATCTAACAAGAGATATACAAATAACCAGCATTATGTTTTAAAATAAGCACCAAATAGACCAAAATGAAAATTTAATTCATCGTAACTTAATACCTGTAATAGAATCAGTTGTCATGAAAATATTTATATAGTAAAAATAGCACTGAAGATTATTTTTAAACTTTCAATAAATATCTTTCTGCCTCCTTAATTTTTTTTTGTGTGGCCTGATTAAGACTTCATAAAACAAAATAAAATAAATACTACCATACTTACAATTTTTATAATACAGTACTATAGATCTAAATACATGTTAATGTTAACTAACATCAGTGCAGGCCTGTAAATTAAGAAATGTGTGCATAAAGTATAAGCAAATCTCATACTTTATGGAATAAATAATAAACTGTACCTTAACATTTAAAACATTTGAATTAATGTTATCAGTGAAAATGTTGACTAATCTACAGGTGCACATTTAGTTGCTTGATTAGAAGTACCTATTCAGTAATTACCAGCACTTACAAGTAAGCAGATCATAACGTTCAACTAAAAAATTACCTTCTACTTAATAGTTATCATGCTTATGGTTATCATGTTTTGTAGGAATTATACAATATCATAATTACACAAAAATACTGTCGACTGCCGAGATCAGGAAACACTATGAAATTGTTTTATTTTAACATTTTGTTCAGCTCAATGGGTATTTTGGGGGTTAGGTCGGTATCAACAAAGAAGAGACTGTCTTAAGAAGTTATTTTAACAAATCTTTACAAACTTAACTTATTAAAATGCAATAAACAAATATAAAAATTGAACAAGCACGAGCATTTTGTTAACAAGAACAGAATATTGTCCATTAAACATGATACATGCAAAAGGCATCCACAGGCAGGCAAAATAAAAAAAAATTCTCCCCAACTTCCAAAAAGTAAGGCCCTTAAATAAAACGAAATCAAGATGTTAAAATAATACTGATAAATATGGTATGAAGTGATCATTAGCATTTGTAACATTTAGATAAGAATTACATAAGGTAAATTAAATTTTAATTTTTTTTTATTTTGCTGGAATATTATTAGTTAAGTTAAATGTTAGTTTGTAATGGTTTTGTAATTTCTTCTGTAGGCCTACAGAAAACACTATTGTTATAACAAGAAAGTTAAAGCAACTGACACCAATAATCATTCCAAACAAAAACAGTTGCGGTAGAAAGAAGTGCATACAATTTTTTAGTTCCAATTTTAAACATTTTTAAATAAATAATGTTTTAGTGGTTTATTAAGTTAAAAGAAAACATTCTTACTAAACTATTTAGCTTGAAAAAAAAAACACCTAAACGTTCCTAAAAAAATTAAAGTTATAATTTGGAAAGTACATTCACCCACCTTAATCTCATCTTTTAACTTTGAAAACAAACAGTAAGCAACTACAAATAGTAAAGCATGATTTATTTATATTTTTTTTGCACAAGATTAAATTCTTAGTCAATAAATATTTTTAAGTAGTTAATTCAAGTTTGATTTAATGCGGTAAAACTTTAACAAAGTACCTTTTAACGATGTTACCCAGTATGAAATTTATTCTTCATAGATATATTAAAGGTTATCAACAGTTATATTTGCAGTGTGAATAGAAGAACCGTGATGAAAAAATAAAAGAAAGTGATAACAGCTCTCACCACCCTCGTGTGAAAAGAAGGAAAATACTGATTGAAATAAAAGTTAAAAGTTGAGAAAGTCGTTATAATGTTGACGAGAAACGATAAGCAATGTCAATGTCAGTGTAATGTTTCCAGATCTCGAGCAGTTTGCTTCCAATGTGGTGCGGACCTTACTTAGGGAAGTTGGTAAAGATTACGGGAACATCTCAACATTGATCAGGCATCGACCTGCGACGTCCCCCGACCGCACTCAGAGGTCTAGCTACCGACTACCGACTAGTCTAACATACAAGTGAAGCAAGAGAGAAAACAAATAAAGTCACAACTGCAAAATCAAATCAATTCTGTTACCTCGACAATCGCTAATTTGAAAAACGATTATTGCTATCTGACAACCAATGGTGAAAACAACTCCCCGAAATAGAGGAAAGAACAGAATATTTCACATATAAAACTAGAAATCAGATAAAATACTGGTGAAACAGTACAAGCTTCATTAGGGAGGTTTGAATGTTCTGTAAAAAATTAATCAATGAGTTTACAGTCTAGTTAAACACTACAAGCGGGGAGGCCTTATACATCAAAATGCTTGTCTCGGCAAGTCTCTGACAAGTGTCGGGGAACGATCAGGCTCATGCACGTGACGTTCACAGATGTGCCTTGACTGAGGATCATCTATGAAGCTGCACCTACCACGGACCCTGGCGACCTCATGCTCACACTCACCCACACACACACATACACCAACCCTCATCAGCATTATAACTAATAGGGAAACTGGAACACTTAAAAATACCTTTCATCATTTAAATCTTAAACTAAATCATATCAATCATGATTGTTGTTGCTTCTGTACAAAATTAATTAGTTGTTGTTGATGATTCTTTATACCTCAAGTCTTTACAAAACGGGGTTACATGACCTTCTATGATTTTTCCACCAATAAAAAGAATTGTAAAACATTAAAGCCTGTAAATGGGTCTGTTTTGTGGGTGGTAATTTGAAATTTAATCGTCAGCAGCCTTCACCTAATTTAAAGATTGTAGAAGATTACTTTTGTTCCCAAACAAAGTCCCAAAAATCTGACCAATTTATAATTTTAAACAGTTTGTAATTAACAGTTAATGATCAAACCTTTTAATTATGAAATAAAGTTACATGCCTTTTGACCACACCAGTTTTTATTTCACACAAAGAAATTTGTTGAATTTATAACTCAAGCAAGATGTTTTTTTTGCTAACAATCAGTTTGAATAGGAGGAGGTCTTCTTCTAAGTTGGGACAATTATTTATTCCAGAACTACCTGGTACAGTTTCAAGACCTATTTTTATTTAAATTAGCTGATATAAATCATCAATATGCGTAATGTAATGTGTAACAATTAACACCGTGGTATAGTGGTAAGTTCTTAGTTATGATCTGAATATTTTCTTGAATCTTAAATCTAGAAATTTATTGTTGTGTATCGTAATCTACAAGATAAAAAGATTGTTTTGGAACTTAAAAAAAATTTCTGTCAGCAATATTTTAATGACAGCTTTCTTATTTCAACGACGTTGGTTATATGAATCAAGATTTCTATATCAAGGCTCAAAAATCATCGAGCTTAAATGCATCAAAGGATTGCCTCAGTTTTAACTATTAGAAAACAAAAAAGTGAAAAAACAGATAAAAACTGAACAGGGAGTTTTTAATTTAACATTCAAAAACCAATATATCGTGAAAAATAGTTACAACCGAGTCGTTCAAGAGGGAAATACATCAAACAATCAATATGAAGACACACTTTGAAATAGTGTAACATTAAGAACTTGTAATATTTGATATAGATATTGAGTGGGTTTGGTTCGAGCATGCAGCATTGAGACATGTTGTAACATGAAAAGTTGAAGTCAAGTTTGTGTTTGATAGAGTGACAGGATAACAGTTTGAGTCATGCTAGTGATTCATTATTTACATAGGGAAGTCACATGCGTCCAGCGCAAACTAGTTTAGTTGCTATTATTTTATGGAGGGACAAGAAGGTTAATTACATTGGAACACAGTTTATTATAATTAATTGGTAAATCTGGTCAATGATTTAAGGCTTCAATGTTTGTTACAACATTTTAGGCGCATTAATATTATCATTAAAAAAAATAAATACCATATATTGTTTCTGAATCAAAAAAGATCAGATTCAAAACGAAAGATTCTTTAAAAAAGATCAGATTCAGATTTCAAAGTCAGTCAAATAGTGTTGTTGGTTATTCAACAAATACCAAATTCTACCGGCTTGTGTATTTAGAACTTTTTTTGACAGGATGAAACATTGATAATAATTAAATCATTTCAAAACATCAAGACACTGTACCTATGTATTTTTTTAAATTTATAAACAATATCTAGATTCCTAATTAGAAAATTATTAACATAATTTTTTCATGCTAGCTCGCATTCTTGGAAGCAAAATTCTTTAAAACTTGGATTTTGAAAAGGAATGATAATTTAAATTTAACAGAAGATCAATGATATTTTCCATTTGGTTCAATTAAATTTAAAAAAATATTAATTAAATACAAAAATCTCAATAATAATAAGCTTAAAGGCAATTACAATTTTAGACTATCATTAACATTGCAATAGTTCCAAGAACACTGAGTTTTAGTTAAAAAGATCAGTATTTAATCTTCTCGGTGTTTCTTCACAATTTCTTCAATGATTCAAAGGTATATATATTTAATGGCAGAAAATCCAATCATAAATACGCATCAAAATCACTTTGCTGGAGTGAAAATTTTACATTAGGTAACAAGGTATTTGGTAATCTAATAATAGTTCATGAACCAGTTTTCTGTAAATTCAATCTTACATAAAAAAAACAGAGGGAGAGAGAAAATATTAAAAAATAGAATAAGAATCAAGAATAAATTCCACCGTGTGAGTAAGACAAGTCAGGCGTTTGTTCTGACAGCATGCCCATTACCCAGTCTTACAGTGAACGTGGAACAACCAGAACATTTACGAGTTTCAACATTTTCAATTCACCTTGTGTGCCACATGTGCCCTCACATAAGATAATAGCATTTACATGAGGTATCCAGGGTCCCGTGCGATGCTGCAAGGTTCTCGTTGATTTCAGAGTACAATTATAATAAAACAATTCAAGAGCGGTATAAGAATGCGCAGGCGTGAAACAAATAGAAAAAAAAACAAAGAACGTGACTTTTCAATTCTGTCTGTTTTTGTTTCTAATTACTCATGGCCTGTGATCGCTTCCTTGAAGTTTGTACTCCATTTCCATCCAAACTGCGGGAATGAAACACACAACAAGACGGTCAGAAAGGCACCACAGACATCTACAGATCAGGGGTGTCAGTTCTTCAATAAATAATCTACTGCTAGTATATAGGTATAGCAAAATATTTAAAAAAGTAATCAATATTTTTAAGAATTAATAATCAATGGTTTCAAATATTAATAAATAATCATATTCTATATGAATAATATTTTCTCCTTGTCAACAGTACTTTTCTACAGTAAAAATGTATATTATAGTTAATCTAAACACTGATTGTAACATTGATAGGTCTTCTATCAAATTTAATGTACCAAAAAAATCTACGTTTTTATGGAAAACGATTTAAGATAATATTTTTGAATAAATCAAAATAACATCTGTACAATGAGAGCATTTTTTGAAGGTAAATGTATCTGAAAACCGATGTACTTGAATACTTGAGGGCACTTTTGGATCGTTAGTGATTTGTGTGCATAGTGGTTTAGTGCGTCTTGAAAAAATGTATGTGAAAATAAATTACTGGAATTAACTTATATGTATATACAACGTTCCAGTCAATACAATTTTTAATTTTTCATAAAATCTATTAATAATATTTTTGAAGTCACTTTAAATCAAATTGTAATTCTAGATGTTGTGAACTCCTCATACAAGAATTCATTTTGTTTTAAGAATTATAATTATTATTTACACACTGACACCCCTAATCTGTTTAGACTTAGCATTGTTTACAATTGAAACTATCAGAAGACGACTTATTCTGGTATGACAGAGGGAGAAGAAGAACACCATTGACCATGTTCCCTAGGTAATGTTCCCAGCACATTGGAATTGACCACAGTTAGTCTACACAGTAGTACTACAGGAGGCGGTGGTTGGGAGACACTAGGGGGTTGTTGCAAGTGTGTAGTTTTGTGAGTTAATCACAAAATTACTTTCCTCAACATATTGGTGAGGCAAAATTTGATCAAACCACAGTGGAATGATTTACAATTTAAAAGATTATACTTTGAGTGATATTCTTTCTAAATAGAGTGATAACCAATGAATAAAACTGAGGTTGATCAAATTTGTGTTAGTTGCTTGGTGTTAGGACATGAACGCTTTTTCAATGGAAGATTGTTTTAACATTAAAGAAATCAATGTTTAGATCTATGTCTTGAGTTATTCCCTGGTTAGAAAATTTAGTAACAGGCAATTCACAAGAACACAGCATTTTCTATTTTCTAAACTGTAAGACAAACAATCCCGAGGCCACAGTATTAAATTACACTCGTAACTAAAAAGAAGATTTAAAAAATATTTAAGAACTTTGTTAAAATTGAGGTACAACTTTCTTGTACAGTTTGAAGCTCCCAGTGAATTTCAGAACCTTAATTAATTACAAATTCCTTAGTGTAGTAGTTGCAATAGATGAATTTTGAAAATGTGTTTATTGAAACGAGAAAGAAACGTGCAAAAAATTAAATTATTTGTCAACTATTTATTTAACAGTTGACGATGTTCTAAATGTGGCCTCTAGGAAGGGAGTAAGACGGGAGAGTTACCTTGCCAGTGGTGGGGGTGACGGGGGGAGTCTCCTCTAGCGTAGGCGACACCCGAGCATCAGGTAGTCTCTGCTCTTGAACTGACGCTAACCTGAAAAATAATTGCTGTGTAAAGACACACTGCAACCGTCCTAATGTATTAGTTATCATTAGAGTGTTAAAGTAAAGTCTCTGGCCGCAAAAGGTGAAATGATGGAATGATGAAAAAAATAAAAGGCCCAGTGTAGAAATGTTAAACATTAAATTCAGTTTTTCGATTGGAAGATTTATACAAGGTTATATATTTGTCTTTCATTGAACAATAACTTTCTCAATTTTGAAGCAATCATTACTTAAGAAAAAAAGTAAAAATGCCCTACTGCAACCAAAATACAAGATAAAGTGATAATCGTGTACTTAAATAAGTGTACTGACACTAAAATGTGACAGTATATGTGGAGTTGACAAACTGTGTGGTATGCAACATGCTAAACAATAAAGAACGATCAAAAGCAGCCTAAAGAAAGAATAATTCTTCTAAGTAAAGACAGGGGTGGTCATAGGGACGTACCTATTTTATCGGTCGCAGAGGGTCAGATAGTATAAGAAGGTCCAATAACCGGAAATCAGATAATAGAGGCTACCGTATTGTGGTTATTAGCCTATATTGTAATATTGTTGTTTATCAGTGTAAGTAATACTATAGTGGTGAGTAAACTTATAATTTCAATAATAATATCGAGTGTGTAAATTATAATTGGAGTTTTCTTAAAATGAGAGATTAAAATCATCTTTTGGATGTTACTTTTTATCCTAGTTAACTTTAGTTTTAAATGTTAATACTGTAATGCAAAAACTAGGTAACTTACCTTTTGAGTGTTACTAATGTGCCAGTTAACTTTTTGCAACGTCTCAAGGCACTTTCTAAGCGCTCAGGCTCTTCTTTTAGGAACCTAAACACAAAAAAATATAAAATTACTGAACCAAGATGGTCAGATGTAGTATAAAAGGCTAATAAAAGGCAAGTACCTACTCTTTAATCAAAACTTAACACCTCATTCCATGAACAAAACTCTTGCAATAACTTAAAAGGTAGCTTGAAAGTATTTCGCATGCTTAAAACGTTATCCAGGGTAGTTTGATACACGACACCAAAACGCTTTCTAAATTGGGTACCCAATTTACTCAACTTAAAGTTAACTAGAGGTTGATTGTTCGTAACGCATTTGTTTAACATAATAGGTTAAAACATAAAAACCTTACTTTAGTCCCAGAGATTACTGTTTACAGTTCCAATGTCAACATTAATTCTGCTGGGTACTGGTACTTACTTTTCTTCTAAAACAACTTTTTCCATTTCTTGACTAAGGGCCGATCTTAGAGTCTCCTGTAAATTTGGAAACCGCAGTTTCAAGTCTGCTACTGTTTTACTGAAAAAGTAAAATATCAAATATTAGTGAAAACATAGATTTATATAGGCCTGGCCTACAGTAATATGAACCAATGCTGAGTAACTTTAATAATCCTTGATATATTCATGATACTATATTGAAATTGACTAAAAATAATGCAAGTGTACAATGATGCAACTTGTATTCACTTTTCATAGTGGCTAGTTTCTAGAAATGAAAAGAATAAAAATGTTATTTTAAATAACTGCATAAAAAAGTTTCTTAACTGAGAGGTAAATTATTTTCAGGATACAAGATTCAAATAATTTAAACTGTTAAGTAAATATAGATTTGATTTGTTAATCATACATGTGTTACACTGTTAACGACTTCAATGATAACATTATTTAAAAGTTAAATGCATAAAGGATTCTCACCTAGATTTGCTTAGAATTAAAGCCATGTTCTCCACGTCAGACATGTTGACCCGAGTTTTTCTGTTTATGACGTTCCCTCTCAACTCTTCCACGGTGCCTTCCAACTCACTGCAAACAACCAAACAAATGTTAAGAAATACTCCATAATCTTTGGGTTTTAGCACACTGCTCTAGCACCTAGTATACTGTCAATAGTTTAAACACACAAGTTAATTCAAGGGATCTCCAGGATGTTAAGTAATTAATTAACTACCTAACACTTCTTTCTAAGTAATAAAACAGAATAAATAAAAAGTAAAGTACAACTAGTAGGCATACATTTAAATGATCTAAATGAGGCTTATTAGAACCTCTTGAATGGTTGATGGGTCAGAAACAAATAAGCACTTTCATATTAAGGAATATTCAGATTTAACCAGTAGCCAATTTAATTATTATCATCTTACTCTCTCTCTGATTAGAAAACTTTCAACACTTAACCCTTCCCAAGCGTTAGACGTATATATACGTTCGGCTATATTGCCCGTTACGAGCGTTTAACGAATATATACGTTAAGTGATTCCACGCTTATGAGCGTTTAACGAACATATACGTCAAAACATGCAAACATAATATAGCGGTCAGAAAGTTGTTTCTATATTATTTCTTATACCGTATATTGTATTTTGTTAATTTTTACGGTAAATTTCATTCCGTCAGGTGGCAACACTGTTTTAGCATCAGCTGTGAGTTATTTCGTGCGAGGTGGCTGATGCAATACTTTGTCGTTGTTACTAAAGCTGTCTGTTTACTGCAGTGGGAGGTTATGTGAACGAAGTATGTTTGTGTAACTGTTTGTGTGCGTGATTTATGAAGTATGGCTTTCAAACAAAGTGATACACATTTTGTAGACTACCATACTAAAATGGACTTTTGAAACCAACCTGTAAATATGTAAACTAATCTAATGCTTTTTACTTTTGTACCAATAATTATATTTTGATGATTTTGTATATATATATTTTTTTATTTCACCCATTTTTTTAGCTATATTTACGACATTATTACTAATAATAGCATATAATTGTAATTTATTACAAATAAGTAGGTTTTCTGATTAAAATTTTACAAGCGAAGGACTAATATATACGTAACAGCGCTCATAGCGTGTGACTCATAGCAAGCGTTTGACGTATATAATCGTCATGCTAATTATCATCATAAAAGTCATAAAAAAATTATTTCTTTTATTAAAGTCAAAATAATGGCCTTCTGTTATTAATTAAAAGTAAAAAAACATACTTTTTTCAAAATCTATTTTTTGACCCCAACCACTTACTGAGTTCGCATACTGAATAGGGCTTCGCCAGCCGGCCGCCGCTTGGGAAGGGTTAAAACCTAACGAAACCAAAAACATTTAGCAGTTAACCATTAGACTTTTCCTTTTTTTGAACACTGAAATAAACCTCAGGTAGGAAAAACAAGAGAAATTCTCGTTACAAAAATGAAAAGCAAAGACACTTACGTGAGATCTGACTCCAGTCTGATCATCTCCTGTTTGTAGAGATCCTCCTCTCTGCTGATCCTCACCCTCTCTGCGTCTGTAGAAGCTGACCACAGTCCCTCCCCTCCCGTCATCACCATTGCTCTGCACAACAATACATCATCACAACATTGTACATGTATAGATAGATTTTATAGTTTAAAATTTGCTATGTCTGAAAACAATGAGTGATATGTTTGAGGCTACAAGCTTTCACGATGGATGAGTTAATTCAGTTCCCCATGTTTAAGTTGTAGCCAGTCTAAAATGACAATGAATGTTGTGGAATCGAGCCACAAACAGAATTTTTTGATGTAAATTACTGATTTATGTTGAATATGCTACCATTTTAACCGAGACAAACTAAAAGGAAAACTTCTTGTACACTATAGCCTCAGTAACAACTAAAATAGAACTACAGACTATAGCACACTCTGTGATAGGATCTTTTAACTATGTTTTGATTTTTGAACATGTTTTGACAACTCGATTCTGATTATTTACGCTTACAAAGATGCATAGATTTTCTATTTATTTTTTAACACTAAATAAGTTTTGGACCCTGAGTCCGCTCCCTCAAACAAAATTTTTTTCATGATTGAAAATTTAAGACATCTAAGATTTAGAGAAGATGCTGCCTCCTCCATGAACTTATAAATGTAGCTATTGAGTATACAGATTGGGATAGACTGTACCTACCTTATTTTGATAAATGTGTCCCGTATGGTCTCCCTCACCGCATGGGCTTGCGCTTGAGACATCCGCCGCAAGTTTCTCACCTCCGCTCTCAGATCTTTGGCCTTCTTCTGCAGCCCCCTCAGCTGATTGTACATCTCTGGGGTCAGTTGGAGGTCTGGAAACAAACACCACTGGTTAAACTTTCTTTTTTGCAAATTCAGTCACAAAAGGATGATTTTAGTAACATATCCATCACTTTGTGGTAAAGCAGTGAGAAAGGTGTATTATTCAAAAATTGGCTTTGCCTCGGTTGTGAATCTCGAGCTTGAGTCGAAGAGGGACACTTTATATGCCCTAGTAGTGAAATATGATTTTCCTTCACCAAAATTCTTTTGAAATTTTCACAAGCAAAATGTATTTCTATCAAACAAATAGTTAGTTTTATTCCAGTTTTATCAATCAAAGCACCATCTACTGCTCCGGAGCCTTTATGAGATGCAGTTTCTGACCCAATACTGATTGCAGTTTGATCTAGAGAAAAACTGATTCTGGGCTCAGTTACCATTTGACACTGAATTCTAAATTGTTGACGCTTGCTAACAACATGGGGTATATTAACATTGAGACAGGGACTGACATTTGATGGTAACCAGATCAGGGTTTAGACCATTCCGTTACAAAAATGCATCAATGCCAATGACATAGGAACATAAAATAAAATACTCAATTAAGAAATCCTCACCTCTGTATACATGCCTCCCTTCGTACTGGCCCGGAGACAACGAGACAGGTTTGGGAGGAGGCGTGGGTTTATGACGATCCCGCTCTGTAACATTACATTAATGATGACAAATTAGTTCAAGTTGTAATGGTTTCATGTAATTTATTTACTATTACGTGACACAATGCACTGGAGTCTCATATATAAGAAACATCTGATTTTCTGTACGGGTTGCCTAACAAATTTTATGTTTTTGATTCATAAATTAGTCTATAAATAATCTATAAAAAAATCTATAAATTATGCATGGATAAATTATACACTTCAGCCTAGTCCACTACTGAAGCAAAATGAATAAAATCAGCTTAGCAAAAAATTATGACCTAAATAATACCATAGACAAAAATAATTAAATATAGACTGTCAGGAGTGCTGCGGTTACCATGGCTACCATAGGTTCTGGCGCACACCGCTGGGAGTGCTGTGTAGTTACGTAGCACGTACACCGTAACTACATAGCGTTCCCAGCTGAGTGCGCCAGAATCTATGGTAACTGCAGCACGGCTGAAGGTCTATATTTAATTCTTTTTGTCTATGATAATACCTAATACCTCCCCGGTTATTTCACAATTGCTGTTTAGACTTTAAACTGGTCTAAGATAATCTGTGTCTAGTAATGGGACAGTGTTTCCACTCGACCAAAACAAAATCCCACTTACTGGGCCGAGAAAATCCTGCTTTATCCTGCTTTAATACAACAAAAATCCTGATTCAGCCTGCCTGAATTTTCCGGTCCCATCTCAAGAAATTTGTCAGTTATTCATGTTTAAAATAGTTTTTTTAACCCTAGCTATAATCCTGCTAAAAAACTAATAATTGGCCTAATTGGGTTTAGTTTTTATCTGGAAACAGTGAAATAAAGAAAATCAGGCATCAGAGCCAAAATCCCGTTTCATCCCAAATCCAGTTTTAATCCTATATATAGTCTGAAAATCCCCTTTTTGGGATACAAATCTCGCATATGGAAGCACTGAACAGGCAGCCTACCTACTGTTAGCAAACGTGGACATTTCTTCCAATAAAAATGTTAACAAAAATCACAACAATTACCATCACCATATGTTTTAAATTATTTGCATATTTTTTTCAGAACGGAAACATGGCTATTGCTTTTATACCCAATACAATTTTATATTACACTGCATTGGAATTAAACTTAAGGTTGATATTACCAGTTCAATTGTCATATTTATATAAACAAATGTATATTTACAGTTGAAATTTGTCACCAATTAACACTTCATGGGTGAGCTTGATTTTAAAACACGTTCGGTGTCACAAGGAGTTTTTTTCCCGGGTATTCAACAATTAGACAAACAATGTAATTTTATGCACATTACAAAAAGGTATAAAGACCACATATAAAGTGGTAAAAATGTGTACAATAAATTAAAAAAAATCTTTCGTGACATACGAGGGCTATCCAGAAAGTAAGGAACATTTCGTTCCTCCAACGATCTTGTACATTTTGGTGCGAGCGCACTCGGCAACTCAGTCGGCGTTCAGTCGTGATAACGGAAGCATCCTCACGTTACCATTTTTTAACTTAAGATGGGCGCTGTGATTGAAAATTCTGCCAGTTGTGAGGTGCGTATTATTGATACGGTTTGTGTTGGTAAAAAACTTAAAACCGATTTGCAGACTTTGTTGTTTGAAATTGTCACACAACAAAGCGAAAGCTCAGTTGAGAACCTTTTCATCAACTTTAGCGACAAGCTCCATCAGTCACAATGCTCGGGCGTCTGCTTTTCACTTAGTCATGAGTCATTAGCGTCAGTTCGGCCATTTTTAAACTGAATTCACCATTTCCACAGAACTTTCATTCATTACATTGTTTCCTTAAACTTCACACACTTGGTGATAAATGTCAATCGGTTTTAAGCTTTTTACCAAAAAACCGTATCAATGACCGCACCTCACAATGGGTGGGATTTTCAATTGCAGTGCATATCTTAAGTTGAAATTGTAAAAAAAACGAGCAGCATGAGGATGATCCCGTTGTCACGGCAGGACGCCGACTAAGTTGTCAAGTGCACATGCACCAAAATGCACGAGATTGGTGTGCGCCTAGCAGCATCAGAACGAAACGTTCCTTACTTTCTGGATAGCCCTCGTATTTATAAAAATATACAGCAAACAAAAACAACAACACCGTAGATGACACATGGTACCACACTCCGGGAACCTAGTGACGTGAACGGTGACACACGGGAGCAGGTTCTGTGTTACGCTACTCTGTAGGCTTTAACTTATCCCCGTAGTACCAAGAAGACCGAAATGATGTTCAATCGATTCTAAGAAAGTGGCGCTTAAAAGTACCGTTAGTTACTCTCCTATGAATATAAATTTGCCTAAAGAAAAACTCCATGATGACACTCAAGAAGGGTTAATCAATCAAAGTAGTCATATGAAAACTTAAAATCTCTCTCAGTAAATTCTATTCACAGATACAAATTTATACGGTTTTCAAGGGATCTACAATAAGTAAAAATGCAATGTTTGAATTACCTTGTGAAGATGTTCGGGGTAAGGTAGATGATTTAATAGCAGGTTTAGTTGGTTTAGAATCCACTAGAGAAAGCATGCACATAAAACAATATTATGTTAGTGCTAAAAACAAGAATATCGTACACAAACACCCAGTAATTAGTTATTATTGACCAAAGGACAGAATTATGAAAAATCACATTATGAGTATTATGTACTTAAACTAAGCTTTGCTGCACCAATACACTGCTCATCATATCAGTACACAGAGTTATTAATAAACAAAAATAACATTTGAGTTTGGAGACAATTCTCTAGTTGAGTTAGGGTACAGTCTAAATTCTTCCATTAAATATAAATACTGTATATATAAAAAAAACTATATAATCTAGTAGGGATGGACGAGATTGGATTTTTAGTTCGAGACGAGACGAGACGAGATTTTTTATTTCTCATAAAATTTCGAGACGAGATCGAGACGAGATTTCTCTTCTCATACACAACGGGAAATGCACGTTCGAAATTTTTACCTGATTTTGTAACATTGTTAGATGACTGTTTAAATACTAAAATAATGATAATAGGCAAGAATATTTACAATCTTTCATTAAATAATATCAGCATAACATTTTTTTATTAATCACGCCTAACTTATTAAAAATGCCTACGATTAGGAAACATGGTGATATCAGTTAGGATAGAGTTCAACTTATCCTAAAATAAAATAAATCATAAAATAAAAGCAATATTAATTTTTATAAAATAGTTACTTGTTTTGACTTTTTTTATAGTAATAAAACATTCCTCACACTGCTTACACTTAACAAAACTTCTCAAATGTTATTAAAGTAATATTATTAAAATAATGAAAGTAATATTTACATTAAAAGAATTAAAGTAATATTTACATTAAAAGAATTAATTAAATAAGAACGCCTTCGAAAAGGAAACGCAACTACAACACGCTCCTGTATTGCGGGTATTGCATTGACTTTCTGCAGGCGTTTTTAATTTTTTTTTTTTTTTTTTTTTTTTTTTTTTTTTTTTTTTTTTAATTCTCGTCTCGATAAAAATCTCGGCCAAAAAGTAATCTCGTCTCGTGTAACGAGATTGAAAATTTCCCGAAAATTTCCCGAAATTTCGAGACTTGACCATCCCTATAATCTAGTTTAAAACTGGTGATGAGATTGATTCTGAAAAGTATTTCAAAAGGAACATGGAATAAGACTTAATGAGCGGAATAAAGTAATAAGCGTAAATAAAAAGTATCAAGGGAGTACGGTACAACAAAAAACAATGGAAAAACATAGTTTTAGTCGAGTTCTCAGAGGTACTGAAGTAGATTTATTATCACAATTACTTGATCTTTGAGGTTGGGACAGATTATTACCTATTGATGGACTTAATGTATGTATTAGTTCAAATTGTTTAAAGTGGTAAAAGGTAAGCAATAGAGAAAAGAAGCATTAAACTGAATTTGATTTGTTTTCCTCTCAAACATTACATTAGTAAGTAGTGTGTTGGCAAAGAGGAAAATCTGCTTTCAATCGTAATCAGAATTGAGAAACAAAAAAATAAGTTATGAGGACTGTTGGTGGCTAACAAACTTCCCAGAATGGCATAGACTTAACTATCTAGTACAAGAAACACACGACTTTTTATACACAAAAATGAGAATGTTTCACTGTCAATGCAACTTACTGACTGCAGTTGTAGTGAAATATTATACAATTTGTGTATAGAGTAAATTCTTGTGTTTCCTGTGTCAGAGTGGACTCTTTCCTATTCACGTAAGTCTGATATCTTCTCAAAAACCCTTGAGACATTAAGCTCTAGTGTTCTTTGTCATATCCTCAACCTCAAATCTACAAGATAATAAGCAGTTTTCTCCATAATCTGGTTTTATGATTTCAATACTTAATTTGCAAAGAATAATGTTGTCCACAACAGTATCACCCTAAAATGTATTTGCTGTAAAATACATCATTCTTCAACCACCCACGTGGAAAATTAGAAAAGAGTTAAAGACAGTGTTGCCAACACCAGAACTCACCTCCATGTTGCGGGGAATGTTGTTTCGGAGAGTTCATGTCCGGAGGCTCGTCACTAAACGAGACAGACTTCTCAAACGACACTGACTTATCTGCAATAGACCCAGCACCAAGCTTAATCCAACCACCAGAGACACAGTGGGTAGAAACACAGAACAAATGCACATACAGGCACAGAACAGGTGTTTGTGACAAACACAGCATAACAGTGGCGGCCAGAGTGAGAAGGGGGGTTTGAGAAATGTAATGGTATACATATCTCAAAACAATTTACATGACGTGTCATACGAATCATATGAATATAACTAATGGTTAAAAGGTTTATTTTTTATACATTTCATCGGGTTACTGTTTTAAAGCACCTTCAAGTGATTTAAAGTATAACTGTAATGTATAACATGCGGTTTTTTTTATTCAAGACTATTTGAATATTAAATAGTGACAGTACTCCTAAACAGAAGTGAAAAAATTATAACTGAACCACGAAGTACCAACAGCCGGTATATTTGCATTTTACCTAAAATGCAACGCTGTGATTGGTCAAGTTTTGCAATGCAAGTTATACAGACGCTCTGGTTCCAGTGAATGGTCTATGTGAAAAACATCTAACAGCCGTGGTGTTGGAATCGACAAAATTCTGTTTGTTGTTAACACCTTTCTCTGACTGATAAGATCTAGGTTTTTGTTGCCAGTAATATATACTCATATTTATCATAGTATTATGGTTAGGACTAGGAGGACTATGTTTCTACTGTACTTAAGGATCAGCCGCCACAGCTTAAAAGGAGATACGAGATCTGATACAAGTACAACAAGGAACAGAAATCAGTATGAACCAGTGATAGTCTATTTACTAGAACTAGAATACACGGGGAGAGTTAAATTCATTCTAGCATTCTGTCGCGGTAGCTTAAAAGAATATTTGGGTGTAAAACAGACATCACACTCCACATAGCGACCACATAGATACCAACTGTTCCAGGTTAAGAGGTTTTAAACCAACTAATATTTTTGAATGTGGAAAATAATACTAATTGCAATTAGAAAAGCAAAATTAAATATGAGATTCCTTCAACAGAAATAGTTTAAGATAGTTTTAAGATTTTACCCAAGCATAGTTGGCAACTAAAAATATTGTAAATGTTTGGTATTTTCTCATCAAACATAAAATATTGCTTACTGTTAGGAAGCACAAGACACTAAAATCAAAAAGACGGTGTAAAGATGTGATGCTCCATGGATGTTCAATATAAAAAATAAAAAATAATAGAGACACTTTTTGTTTGACTGCTCTTAGTATTTAAAACACTATAATGTATTTAGCTGCAACTATACCGGTAACTTAGTAATTTGTTGCTGATGTAACATTAACAAAGCATCTGCCTTTAACAAGATAAATTTAAAAAAAATTACAGCGAAAATATCTAACAATAAAATGTTTATTGCTCTTTATAAAACAGCGGCATTAGAATCAAACTGTCAAGGCTATTGAATATGGCTCACACACTATGTCAAAGCTTTATTAGACCAACCCTATAAACAGATAGAAGAAACAAGCAAATTCACATTGTACCATACAAAATTAGTTAGAAGACAAACACATACGAAATACTCTCTGTTACCATCCTTCAGTAAATGCTGAAAATTGAAAACCATATTGAAAAAAATAAAACAAACATGTACAAGACCAAGACCAAAATTAACACTCAAGTTTGAACTAGTTTTATTTGATTTTTCTGATTGTTTTCTAACAAATATTTATTCTTGTGATATTTTATTGTTTTAGTTTCAATATAGTTTTGCATTTCGTAAACGCTAAGGCTAAAGCATATATCAGAAGTTTACAAGACAACCCCACTAGTAAGTATTTAAAATTGAGCTTAAAATAGAACTGACTTTAGCATTCTTTTTTCTTTAAATTAATCCAAATAATTGACACGAAAATGGTGTAACTTAAATAAAAAATAATATTGTTTGGTTGTTGTTTTATAAATCTACTCAGTTTAAACTTAAGTGTTAACTGTAAATAGAACTTTTCCATTCGCAGTGCATTAGATTCCCAAAGATATGTTTATGTGCACATGCTGCAAGAACCAATATGTTCTAACCTTTTCCAAGTTTAGGAGTTTTCACATCGCTTCGCAGATACGTTTCATCTGAGAACACAATTACGAAACTTTGCATAAAATAAAATAACCACATGATAATTATGAGTGTTAACTGTTAATTAAATGTGATATAAGTTTAGTATGTAAAAGATAAAACTGTGTGTGAAAATAAAATAAGGCATTTTGCAAGGCCATTACGAATAGAACGCATTAAAAGTTGCATACCTTATCTTATAGTAATAATATAATATATAGTGTATTTTTATTTTACGATAAAATATTTTTCACCAAGTTAATAACAATAAATTTATGTTGTACGGGAATGTTTATAGGGGTAACAGGGAAATGTTGTAGCAAATACTGTTACATTTGAAACCATTATTTTTAGAAGTTGAAATTATAAAATAAAAAACAAGAAGACTGCAACTTTAGAAAGATTTAATGCGCATTGTATGGATAAAGAAACAGAAAAAGCAATTTTAAATCCACATCTGTTAGTTTTGAATTCCCCTGTTAATCAAAAGGAGCGTCCTCTGGAAGACAAACACCGTTGTCAATCGTTTCAGATCCTTTTGTCAGATTAGCGAAACACTCAATGTTATACAGCAGCATAGTGCCGAGGCTGGTCGAGGACGATATCATCATCCAAGCGAGTGGAGTGAGGATGTAGAGAACCAAAGTGAGCAGCTTCACTGTGATGATTAGTGCTGTGGTGACTAGAGCGACAAACAGTGTGATCATCACCACAGCCACTAACTCGACGAGATACACTAATACAGCCATGGTAGGGTTGGAATTTTGATTGAATATACCACAGATAAAACCATGGAAACGATGAGGTGTTGAAGGTTTTGAAACATCTATTAATAGTGTCATTATATAGAACTTTATATAAATAGTATGTTCTGTTTTTAGGGACATACAAACTACTTAAGGCTGAGTGAAGACGTTGATGGCACTGTGGATTTTTTTAGATTGACAAGGCTGTTTGGATTTGAAATTATTAAAAAATATAAAGAGAATGAACTTCATATTCATTAAATGAGAAATATAGGACTAGGCACACCTATGAAGTTTACATGTTGTGATTTGATTTTGGGGATGATTGTGATTACCAACTGGTACAAAATTTATTAAAAAAGGAAGACGTAGCTAACTGCTGATCATTTGCATAATTTATCGAGGAATGAGGAACTACCAGGAATGAGTTGAATATTTAGCGCTAATCTGTGATAATAATGATTAACTTAGCAATGTATGATTAGTTCATAGTGTTTAACAGCATCAACTACGACGTTAGATAGCGATTTCTAATACACCATTCGTATCAACCACTTTGGTTAACTTTGAAGTTTGAAACCAGTTTTATGAATTCTAATAACACTGGCTGTAAAAGCCTACGAATGACAGTTTGTGATAATTAGTGTTTGATGAACTACCAAAAGGTGATAAAAACACATCACAGGTATACAACAATTATTGGACAAACCCACTAAAATGTTACTATAAGCTTATAAGTGATCTAATGAATCTTTGACACACTTAATGTACGTGATCACACAGCACACACACCTTAGGAAACTGTTATGGGAACCAAGCGGTAAGTAGCACAGCTAAGACCACAACCCTTATGTTAAACAGTAATTTTTACCAAGTTAATAGTGTTAATCAGGTTTACCTGGCAGAGACGCAGAGCTTGAACTGGAATGCTTGTCATAGTCATCATTGGCTGTGGACACGCATTGGTTAGCCAAGCATTAGTAAGCAAGCGGAACACAGGGTAATATATTAGCTTCAAACATGTCATTCAATATTTACTCAATTGATGATTTCAAGTTAATTTTGTTATTATTGCTCAGTGAGTGGTTAGCATGTTGGACTAAAGCACAAATTGGATGCAAGAAATCACATGAGTAGGAGTTTTCAAAAGGTTTTATTTTTTAAATGCCAAAGTCTTTTAGACTAATACAAAATGTATTTACAATACATCTAAAAAAACTTAGAACTCAATACTCCACAGTTTTTACGTGGCATTGTTTTACCTTTAAATTTACTTTTCATCAAACTAGCTTATTTTTCAAGAAGTAAAACTAGTTGAACTATTCAAACATTAATGGTAGAGGATATACAAACAGAGAAGGTGCAGGACACACTTCAAGTTGAGGATAGATCTACAGATACATTCAGACTTGGTGAAGTAGAAGATGGATAAGTTGTAGAGATATCTACTAGAAGTATTGCATGCAACTACAGTTTATGTATCATCAGTTGGTTGTCATGTAAAATAACTTGATTAAGGTGTAAAAAAATCTACCAGAAATTATAATTGGAGAGTGAGAATTAAAGTCGAGATACTCCAGTCAGAACATGTTATTAAACACACTTAAGTGCTTTTAATAATAAAAAAGAGTTCAAACTCAAGAAAACTACTTTAAGCAATTGTTTACGTTTAACTAGTTACCCATCCTACTATATGATGAGCAGTGTATTAAGTCTAAAACTAAGCTCAAGCTTCTTAATACCTATAGAATTATTATTTTACAAAATAAGATAGAATGAATCATTTTCTAGTCATCTACTAGATGTTAGTTTAAGTCTACAAAAATGGCATGATTTTAAAATCCATTATTTAAATCTAATCTATTAAGATATGTGATGATACAACAACAGAAATAAGAGAAAAGAGAAGAAATAAAATTGAATAGCTACTAGACTCAGAGTTTGCAAAAATGATACAGCAAAAATGATGATTGCAGTAGACTGCATGAAGAAGGTATGTTAGAAATGGTCAAATTGATTATAACTACAATGAAATTCAATACAATTTTGACAACATTGCTTACACTATCACCATACCACTTCTAAGTGGTTTTTGTCTTAGGGTTCAATTTGGATGATTTTAATATTGGTGACAAATAAAATTGTTAAACAATTCTATTTTGCATTGGTCAATTCGATTGAATAAATTTAAATTATTATTTTACAGTAAGATTAGTAAAGATCAGAATGTAAATTATCACTTTGAAAAATAAAACAATTATATTTAAATTATTGAAATCTATGGTATGTCTTGCTAAATATTTCATTGGTACATTTTTGCTGTATCTTTGAAAAGAACAACGTAATAACTTAGAAGTCCATGCTTGAGTGAGGAGGTGATTCTGGCACAGGTGTACCCAGACTAAACGTAGAAAACAATAGTTCCCTTCATTATGCAAAAAATGGCAGCCCTGTCATTAGGAACATAACTGCTTTATCAGTTGGGAAACGACTAAGTAAACCTAGTTTACCATAGATAGCAAGGATTCTATAATTTGGAAAAAATATAGGATTCTCAATGAATTTTTCACATAAGAAAATGTTGTTCACTGAACTGGGTTGGGTGTATTGCCATGTTTATTGTTGTGTATGTTTGTTGCCTCAATAAAATTATTGAGTAAAAATCCTTGGGTAACAATTATTTTTTTAATTCAAATTCTACTCAAAACTCTGGGTACACCACTACTGACAGTTTATTGAGTTTATGTTAAGAGTCATGCTTGCAGGTGAGTGTGTTGTTGGTACACATGTTACCGTTGCGGTAGTTGTTGGTGGTGCCGCCCGGTGGTACGTTAAGGAACTCTCTAGGTGTAGGGGTCGGGGCTTGCGTCAGCGCTTTCTGCACCAAACCAGTCAGGTTGGCCAACTGTCGCTCCATGTGCTCCACTCGGATCCTGGATAACAAGCTGGTGAATGTTGGCAACATTGATTTAATAGGTTTATGGTAGATGGGATAGTCAGATTGATTCAAGAATTTTAAATATCACTAGGTGAATATAATTAAACATTACAGTAGACTCCCTAATATCCAGACACCTTTTAACCGGACTACACTCGGCAGAAATGACATCTCTTTAACCAGACAATTTTTATCAGCACATAGGTTTAACCGGACTAGAACGGAAGGAAGTTGGTGAGTACTGAAACGACTGTTCTCGTGAGAAACATTTGAGACTTTCTGTATCATATGTCTCAATACAATGCTCTCCTAAAATTAAATACCACAGTAATCAATCCATTTTAACAAGTTTTTGGGGACGTCGGTTTAACCGGAAAAACCGTTATCCGGACTGGCCTCTGTCCCGAGGAGTCCGGTTGAGACTAGAGAGTCTACTATACTGAATCTATCAATATGAGGTGTGGTAGGAAAAAAACTATTTATTTTACCTTGTGTCAAATGTTGAAAATTATTAGATCAAACATTCTGTTCCAAATAGCCTTTATTGTGCAAAGATTGGCTAAACTGAACAGGGTAATGAGGATTTTCTTATCTGCATTTATCTACTGGAGAAATTGAAGGTAAAGGGTCAATTATCAATTATCAATTATTTAAGATAGGGTCGCCACTATGTGCGTATTTTAACCCAAATATGAGTGAAGGATGAGTGTAGGATGAGTGGCGTGATCTTGTAGTCTTGTCAGTGACTAAGGCCGACATGTTCCTTAGACACAGCTGTGAATTATTAGCCCATACAGCTAATGGCAACTAAGGGACCTACAGTTTATTGTGGAATCCGAACCACATTTTTTCCTCGTAATTAACAAATTGGTCTAATTATTAGGATAGTACTGCGGATAGTCATAGTACTCACTAGTGCGGACGTTAATCCACACCAGGGAGCATCGCATCCAGAGTGCATCCCTATAAATATCCACAATTCGTGACCTCCTAGTAGCTGGATTACAGGACGTCCCACTCTCATGCTAATCAGTCTGCTTAGTACTAAAAGAAATGTTTTTAAGACAAAATCCATCCAATCAAAATATCTGTGACTAGCTGTAAATAATATAATTGACTATTGGATACTTCAAAACAAGTCATTCCATTAGCTTGACTTGCCAAAAAGGTTTGTGTATTTGACAAAGAGTAATTTAGATCAGCTTAATCTGTTGGTGGCTCACATCAACTATGACTATTTTGTCTAAAAAACTAGCAACAACTGTAACATGGGGATGGAATATCTAGTTGTATCAATAGTCAAAGATAATATTGTATCTTTTATAGATAATTCAATGATAATTTGTATGGTCGCCATTTAATAAGAAAGTATAGAAAGTATAGATAGTAATATCTAGAAAAAAACCATACCTAACATAGCAAATGAAATAATTTAACAATAAGAAACGGAGTAACCAGAACAAACGAAAATGGGAACCAAAATTATAAAAACATATTTATCATTCTACAATACAAATTAATATGCCAATAACAAATTTTTAGTAAAAAATAACTAATAGCGTAAACATGCATTTTAATTTTTAATCATTGATAACAGAAATTGAATAATTTAAAATAAACTCTAATATGGTACTTCAAACGGTAGCATAAAAAGGTTCCCAAATTCAGCTGACCTGGTTGCATCGTATGGGGTCGGGACTGCGGGGGCTGGGAACTGACCCCGCGGGAACGGGGGTTTGACCCCGTAAAGGCTGTAGGACTCGTCAATTAGTTCTGTATCACTGTAACATCATTGTTAGGTCAAAATTGACGAATCAAATATTGGAAACATTAGTATACCCCATGTTTTGCTACTGTCAGAGGTAGATTAACTACAGAGAGGCACTATTCTGATGGTAAAGTATACCTCAATTGTGACAAAATGTGTGAAGGAGTTGTTAATATTGTTATTGTAACTATGTTTAAAAGCACAATGCCATGTGGGAGCTGTCAAAGATTATAATGAACTAGAGGAATAGAAAGGGAATGACTGTGCAGCTAGCTCCTCTATTAAGGACTACAGTTTTAGACACTTATATTTTTAATGAAATACTTGATTCTACTCTTATAAATATTACATCTGTACCTTATTTTGATTAAATACTAGCAACCTACCATTATACTGACACTGAACTCGTAAGTTGTGCTATAATGTAATTTATCATGACAATTTGTACTGATAACTTTTGTAAATTCACTGTTTACCGGTTGACTACTCAATACCTGATGCTAACAGAATCATTTTGGAAGAGACAGAAAATTTCATTTTAATATTACTACAAATTTAAAAACTGAACAAATACAGGATTTTTTAACATAGGCCTATAATGAAAAAACATTCTGAGTGAAAGAATCTTTTCTTGAAGATTGAGGAACTCACAAAGAAATTATTGTTAACTTAATTTCATAGTGAAATAAACTGAAATATTTTAAATTCCAACTTACCTGGCTTCCTCGTCAATAACTGGTGTGATGGAGCCTGTCCTTGTGCCATACTGGGAGTAGTAGGGGTCCTCGTAAGGTGTGGGGGTGTACCCAGCAGGGTACGGCCGGGGGGGAGCCCCAGCCCCCCGCTCTGGTGACGACATGTAGCCCGCATCTGTGAACAAGAAAACATAGAGTAAATATTACCAGAGAAGTCAAAGGAATATTTTACTTTAATACTTGTTATGAAATGAGATAAAGCTTAGGTGCTTTTCAATCACCTATGGTACACATCCAAAGTTTTGATTTAATTTCAACCAGGGAGGTTTAGAATCCTTTATCTGATATCTTGCAAAGTCAGCACAACCAATCTACAAACAATTCTCCATAAAATGTCAACAAATGTTCAACAAAAGAGGTTAAATTATTTGTATAAGTCAAAGAAATTGTATGATACATATATGAAGTATAGTGATAGGTTGCACCTACCCCCAGGAGGCTTGGCGGGGGAGTATGCTCTCAGCAAGGGTCCGCTGCGGGGCAGAGTGGCGGCGGAGGTGCCAGGAGGGAAGGAGTGAGTCATGTAGTACGGCTGGCCATGTCCGCCTTTGCTGCCCTGTAAACACAAACAAATTGTAACTTCAAACACTTAAACTTTTTTACTAAAGGGAAACTTATTTAAGCTATAGCATCTTTCATCTCTTACGCATAATAAAAAAACTAAGGGAGAAAACAGAATTTTAGACTGTAATGTGATCTGATAGTAACTCATTGAAGTAGTATATCACATTACATGGTGAGTTGATGGCTCAATCAGTAGCAAGACGGACTTTCTATGACATTAATGTTTGAAGGTTCGCATTCTGGTACCCTCCCCTAAATTTGATCAGTACTTGTAATCTTTCACTCTTGTACTGTATTGGTGCATCCCTTGCATTGCTAGATTTATTTCACACACTAGTTCCTTAGTTTGAGACCTATCATAGATTTATGTTAAGATACTTAATGTGTTAGAGCAAATGCAAGGATAATAAAAGAGGCTACCAACCTCTGAAAAAATTGCAGCCACAACTGGTGTAGGCTACATAGAAGGGGTCTTCTGCATTATTCAATATTCAATGGTTTAGGACAAAAATGAACACAAAATAATGTATAAATGTAATTAAGGATAATGAAAGTAAAATTTTCTGATGCTTGCTTTTATGGTTGAGTGAGGTGAAGCCAATAAATTTATAGTAATTGGATGCAAGTGCTGTAGAAAAGCAACACATACAAGTCATGAGAGATAATTTTAATCTCAGTGCAAAAAATATGTTATCTCCATTTCAATCACTTTTACCGTACGGAAAGTAAATAAAACTAGAATTCATATACAGTTTTTTTCAAATTAATGTTTCTGCCTCCTCTTGGTACACATTTTAAGCTAAACTTACATGTTTTCTATTATTTACATAAATTTGCTATGCTTTTTTTCAAAAAAATTTACAAAGGTCGCCACAGAGAAGTAATAATTATGAAATTTACTTGATATACTTAAGTAGGCTATATGTACCGGTATATACTGGTAATCACTAATACAATACGTCTCTGTGATTAGCCTGACAAAAATGTAGAACTAAACGATTTTCAAGACAAAATAGGAATATACTATTGTGGTATTAGTTGAAAAACAGTATTGTCTTGTAGTTAAACATAAACTCTGAGTAGGAATAATTATCATGATTGAAATTATTATTGACTGGTAGGGCATATTAATGAGAACAAAGCGAATAACAATACGAAGAAGTTCCTTCGCGATAGTTAATGCAGCCTTGAACACTGTCATATTCTACATTTTGCCAGTATAACATTGCAGGCGTATTATAGACTAAACCTGATTTTTTGTTTCAATTGGAATATTCTAACGTTGATTATACAGTACTTCTCTATGCTATATACCATAAGTAATATTAAGTAAATTATTTTTCTTATAAGTACGCCATTTATGTTAGTAAAATAAAATGCTTATCATTTAATCTTATGTTTAAAATCTCGACCCAACCACAACCAACTAAAAATTTAAACTTTAAATTATTAATAACTTACAACACGTGCCGGTAAAAAAAAAGTGTTGTGGTAGTTGCTGATATATTGAACAATACAGTGCTAATTTGTCTTCTTTTGATGTTGATTAGCTAGTTCGTCATTACAAGGAGGTAAACTAAAAGATCCTTAATTTTACTGTGTGTAGTCAGTGTTAAACAATGATACAAGAATAGATCTGTAAAAACCCTTTTTTAATTTTAACTGTTGGTTAGGTACAAATGGATATTTTTTTCCCAGGACGCTAGGCACGAGCCTGGGATTGTTTTTCACATTACTTCAGACTAGACCTAGGGGTTGCGGCATTATCACTTGGATAAAATCCATTGGTGACTTGGCGGGGATCGAACCCGGGACCTCAGGGACTGAAGCCCCGCGCTCTTACCACTACACCAGCTCGCTCCCCAAATGGATATGGTCATGGTTTAAATTAAATTAAATAAATATTTATTCGTTCAAACATGATATATCAAGAATGGTAAAAGATTTTTCTGTAAATATTAAAAGTGAACGTAATGAATAAAAACAATTGAATTTTAAAATTTTTACAAACCTAAATTTTATTTTTAAATAAATAAGAAACATTTTAAATTGGAGAATATAGACGGAAGTAACTATAAAACTTAACCCTTCTCTAAATTAAGTTAATTCAAGCAGTAATTTGATTACGAGATAACCAACTTTCCACAAAACTCTCACAATTCACCTTTTCAATACACACACAAATGACATGACACGAGATATTAAACTCTTCTACATAAAAAACCTATTACAAAATCAAATTGGACAGAGCATCTAGAGTTTTGCACCAAAGTTCAGCTGAAGGGGGCAACCGGAATGTTTCAATTAATATTCTTGACTTACACCCAGAAATTGTGTACCGACGTTAACCACAGGGTGTGTAAGATATTGCAAAGTTGTTAAGATACGGAAAGGAAAGGTCGAGGACCACGATGTAGAAGTAGAAGTTGATGGAGCACTTCAGTAGCGCAGCCTTGAACTTCCATGGATCACTTACTCTGGGGTAATGGCACTTGTCATTTGAAAATTGGAACAATGATTGTGACAAAAGAACTAAATTAGAGTCGTAGACAAAATAGGTCATTGAAAGGCGTAAGCTTGATGGTTTGAGTTAAACTATTAAAGTTAAAATATTAATTTGTTTATAACTACGCATTGAAATATTAGCAATTTTTATTACGTACAATTAAATTTAAAGGAAAATGGTTGTTTACCAAAATCTCGACTAAAATGGACTTAGTTCAACTGATTTACTGTCCTTCATACAGATGGGAACAGTCAGTGGGGGGTTTCATACAGTTGTGGGTGATTAAGTGTCAATATTCAGGACACTGTATACATAAACCGCAGAGTAAATTCATACAATGGATGAAAATGATGGAAAGTCATATTAAAAAATAAATAGCATCCGGGATTTTTCTAGGGTCGCTTATTCAAATTTTTCCTATGCAAATGAAGGTGATATAATTAAACCTACAGCAGGTCAGTTCAGTTGTATTATCTACATGTTAGTTTAGGTTTTAAGTTAGATAAGACTAATTTTGAAATAAACAAAAAATGGCAGACACTCTTCTTGAAAAGACCCTAAAATTATATACTTAAGTGCGGAGTAGTATCTGACATTCTTTGTTTTAGAAAATTGTTAAGTTTCTCCACATACAGTCAGTGTAGGTTGCCGTAACAGCGGAACGGTACACAGACAGAAGCAGTTGTGTGTTATTGTGCAGTGTACGAGACAGGTTGAGGTTATGTGATCTATTGTTCTGCGCATGTCGTCTGCACTGCGCCGGTCACGTGACTGTGACGTAACCGCCGCTAATTGGCTGACAACATTGACGATTTATCCGTACTTTGTTGATCAAACAGGATCGCCGCCAAGAGCGTTTCCGAAGTCAAAGTTTGGCTTGACTTTTTAATTGGATCGATAAACTTTCGTTTGCAATAAAAACTTGTTATCCCAGACTCGCTTTGTTATAGCATACATGAAAATTCACTTGTAAAAAGCTGCATTTTCGGTGTCGTGGCAGAATACCACTACTCAGTACCACTACTCTGGTATTACATTTTATAACAACCTGTCTGATTCCATTAAGTCTGCACCTTCCCTCAGGTCATTTAAAAAAAGTATTTAAGTTGTTATGTAACAAATGTTGCTATTAGGTCAATGACATTTTCCGCTGATTTTTGTACGGTTTATATATAATTTTTATGTTGGTATTCTTAATAATATTGACACTATTCATGTATATTTTGTACAAAATGAATAAAGGATGATTTGATTTGATTTGATTAGTCACTAATAAATCACTAAAACAACTTAGTCGCTAACAAGACTACAAGATCGCGCCACTCATCCTTCACTCATATTTGGGTTAAAATATGCACATAGTGGCGTCCCCATCTTAAATAATTGATAATAGATTTTTTTTATTATGTAGTTTTTAGTGTATGGCAAATATTTGTTTATGTTGGCTTGTACTTCTAACACAATAATTGTACCCATAGGACAGAACCCTCACTGAATTTAACAAATCGTATTAACGATTCTTTCACATATGTTTTAAATTTCATTTAAATTCAAAATTAGTATTTAAAACTATTGTGTTTAACTTTTTAGAGTGTTTTGATTTGAAAAATATCGATAAATCAACTTTAAAACACGTTCGCTGCGGCACGTCAAATAGCGGGCGTATCCCCAGTGCGGCGCAGCCCTCAGCGTCGAGTAAACCCGATTGCCGCGTGTGATTGGCTTTCCAATTTTGGTCTGACGAATAGCAAATAACGTGAGGGGATGTCCTGCTTTACAACGAGAGTCGATGTAGTTCGCTAAACACCCACAGATAGCAGCACTGCTTGGAACGTAGCCGGTCCCTTTGGAATTGTATTGCCAAATGGAGGGAAAAAGACGGGACAAAAAGAAGACTTTTGAGATTGCCAGACGGGGATTTTATGGGGAAATTTACTACCAACCTACACCACAACAAAATGCAAGTCACATACTACACGCCAACGTGGTATAGGTCCGCTTTCGGCCGATGCTAGAGCAAAAACGAAGATATACAAAAGGCATTACCAAGCGTTCCCGATGGGGTACGGACGCACCGTACGGGGGCCAAGCGCCGTACCCGATCGGGAACGGCCGCACTCTACGTGTTAATATCCTAAAACACATACTGAGTAGCTTGCTGTAAATGATTTTGCTATAACAGTAAAGTAATGTATACATACAACAAATCTTAATTAGCCTACAATTTTTCAAATATTTCGGTACTATAAATACTCCCACTTATGACATTTATTTTCATAACATTTTTTGAGGGCTACCATTTGTTTCTACATGATGACATGTTTATATCTGTATCTAAATTTGAATCAAGAAATTACTCTGGGAGTCGTAACAACATATCTCCACGCACCACCAGTACGTCATGCAGAGATGTCCAGCGGTTTTATAGAACCAGCCGATCAACGACCAGAAGAACAATTAGATGATACCTATTCCAGGATTGTAACTAACATTATTACCTACTGAGTATTGCAGAAACCAATAGTGCGACCTACTTATCACTGCAAATATTTACTTGCAATGTTCCTGGTTGTGCAAGGGCCTTACGTGAAAGATTTTCTGGTATAAAATATTTTGTTAGTACTGTACATCTTATATGAATGTGTAAATTTGAATTGGTTAAGTTTGAATTGAAGTGTTTTGCTCTTTCAGTAATACTTATTTGAATATATGATAAGTTAAGGGAAGGACAAATGACTGCTTTTTAACTTAAGTGTTTTCTATCCTCTTCTAATTTACTTTATTTCAATCAGCCAATACACAAAAATGATTACGGTAACCTTACAAAGAAAACGTCTGCCATCTTCGGAGCCAATCAACAATTTCGAACACAGTGTAAAACAATTTATTTCAATTCGTCGTAAATCTGAGTCCGAAGGAGTTGCAATAAACGTTTAGTGCCTACAAATAATTTGTGGGATGGTGTCAGTTACATAACCACATTTTCAAACCGTGTTTGTTGTTTATGTTCTATAACTATGAAATATAACATCCATATGACGAATTTCAGCCCATCCAGCCACAGAGGTTTTGTAGTTGTAATTTAATTACACTCGCAAATGATAATCACAGAGCCAATGTGGAGAGTGGTGAAAGCCTGATAACAGAGGAGCTCCTGACTGTTACATGCCAAAACAATGGACGACTACATTAATTATGAACAATGGCAGACGCTGAGATAGGTATTTGGACCGGCGTTTCACTGGTTCACATGCCTTTCTGGGGAACAGAGGCTGAATTGGTGTACCTGGGTGGATCTCTTAACACGTTGGGTGCTGATGACGGGAATTCCCGCAATTGCTTAACATTGAAATAAATGCAACTTTTATGTTCAAACATGTCGACAGCACGAATAGTGTTAAATTGTGTTAGTATCATTGACTGGTGTTAGGGGCTATCATTGCGTTTGAATACTGAAGCAGACATCCCATCTACATGGACCGACTGTTTGATAAGTTTTTGCTCAAAGACAAAATTGTTGGGCGAGCCCCACATGTGATGTTAAATTCCGAATTCTCGTAGTTGTTTACACAATGAGAAACTAGCAGGTAGTAACATTAAGGTTACCGGTACTTAATATGTTACTTACTTACGCACTTAAAGAGTTAATTGCCCTTGACAGTTTCGTATGGTGTAATAATTTACGTAAAATAATGAAAATGCCATTTTACATCAGAGAACACTGTTGAGGGCTCAAACGAACTAAGTCAATTTCAATTATGAAACAATTCTAAAACTATGACTTTGGAATTGATCTTCTACAATGGTTAGCTTAAGTTAAAGGTGCTAATCAAAACCAATCAAATGGGTTTACATACGCAAAGTATGTCTCACTCTCTCATACAATCACATATGTAAACAACCAATTAGACCTACTAACTAAGTTTGATGTTAAACTAGAATCAAAGGTACATTGTATAAGTCTCGCTGGCGCAACTATCTTAAAACTCATCAATGGCACGAGTTGTTTTACTAGATTCTTAAACGGTCGATTAATTTGTTATAGTTTTTAAAGTAAGGCAATCGATGTCTTTCCATTCAACCGAAACACATCTACTAGTGTTTCACGGAAGAGAGCCACTAACAACTCATCCGTTATACGATGTACGAGAGTCTAGGGTGTGCCTAACTGAGCGAAGCGAGCCTAAGGAAGCGATTGCAGATTTTCCTCGCTCGTGATTCTGCTGAGTCATCGTTCCCTTGTATCTAAACAGTTGCGTCGGCAAATCAGCTGTTAAATAAGCCCGTTAGTTGCATCACCTGGTTATAAATCAGCTGTTCTGTCAAACAGACACGACGCGACGCTTTATAAAGGCGGGTCGTTTGATCGAAACTGTCCTCTGGCTGTTTTGAATGTTTAGTGGAAATCGCAAATTTTAGGTTTGTGGACGAAGTACGACTTATAGTTTGGTTTGTCAAGGATCTGAATTGGAAATAGAGATATAAGATAAAGATGACAATTTGAAATAACGAATAAACTGTATGGACAGGGAGTTTAAGTATTTTGGTTGGAAATCTTTATAAACGTGTGTAGCTCTATAAAAATGCAAGTTTTGATTATGCATTGATACAGTAATTAAAGGTTGCAGATATTGCTTAGTTTTCCTAACTCAGCCATTTTCATCCACCGGATAATTGTACTAATTAAATAATTAGTTAAGAGCATCGTTGGTTGGGGTATTTACAGCTAGTGTTGAATGTAAAAAGACTCACATCTTTAGGCTGCTGAACTAAATAAATGATTGAAAATAAATAATAACTACAACAGGACTTCCACAAGAAACTGAACCAAGAACTTCCAGAAGATTACCCATGTAGCACAGATGGTTGGGCCAACGTTGGTAAATTGTGGAGCCACACAGTTGGCCAACGGTAGAAATGTCACCTCTCTGTTTTCCAGCCAACCATTGTCCAAACGTTTTATTTCACACAAAACAATAAAGATTTAGTACGAAAAGCATAATTATTAGTTGAGTAAATTGATTAAATAGTTCATAAAAACAAATTTTGAAAAAAAGCTAGAACAAAATTTTTTGGCCCAGACGGGTCTCGAACCCGAGTCCTTTGACTTATGAGCCTCTTACTTTACCACTGAGCTATCTGTGATTGTTGATATAGAGAGTTTTCAAGTGGTGAAAGAGTAGCCGACAGTTGCAATGGTCGCAATACTTCAAACATTTTTGATACTACACAGTATAATATGATTCTGCTAATCTGTTAAGGCATCATAAGTAGTTTTTTTTTTTTTTTTTTTTTTTTTTGGAGTTAGAGAGGATACTGGTATTTGAATATAGATTAATTAATTACCGTTAGATTATTAATGCTATTATAATTGCCTGTTATATGATTAATTACTCTTTCCCCTTAAATTGTTGCAAATAAGTAAAAGAATATTAATTTAAAAAATATTTGCATTGTTATAATTATTAAAATTCATTGTTGTAGCCCCGGAACTGTAATATATAAAATATCTGGTTTTACAATACCTTTATCAGTTCCAAAAACTTTTGGAACTGATAAAGGTATTGTAAAACCAGATATTTTATTATAATTATGTTGTGAAAGCTAGACCCAGAGAATGAAAGTCGTGTAAACTCAACTATGGACCATCGTTGGTCCAACAAAAGTATCTTTTGTTGGTCCAACGGAGTGAAAAATGGTTGGACAACGGTTGGCTTGATGTATGATACCCAGCAATGCATATTAATGTATTTCATTAACAATGAACCAATGTTGGTCCACAGTTGTAAATATTGGTTCCATTTCCATTTCGTTTTGTCATGAGAGCCGAAGCCCCCTGACTGCATACCCGGTACCTATCCTTTAGGACATACCCGGGCCCCATGATGTAGGCCGAAGCTTACGCATCAACTTTTAGCACATCATGGGCGGATGACTTAAGGTCATCAGGCTCGCCGGCTGCCGAAGCAGACCCTTCGGAAGGAGGGTTGCCCCTCAATCCTAACCAGGGATTCCGGCTGCTTGTTTAAGCGTCACTCCACCTGGGTTCCACTAGGTCGAGACCTAGAGGTCCATGGTAGAGCGCCCCGACGCATTTCGTAAATATTGGTTGGCCGAACTACGAGATATACAGTTGGACAACGGTTGGTTGGTTGTGGAAGCTCCAACCAACCATCGACCAACTGTCCCACAGTTGGCCAACGTTGGCCCAACCATCTGTGCTACATGGGTAAAGAACTTTTAACTTCTCTTTGTCAAGCTTCTTCAAATATTCCTTAACAGTATATTTCTTCTTGTGTAGTGGCAATGAATACTTGTATTCATTGGTAGTGGCCAGTAACGTCTACGCATTTTAATCAAGAATAATCCTATGAAAAAATGTAGCAAACACTGAACTACATAGTGAGATCAAGGATCAACCGTGTTCCAAAGATGTAAATAGCAGATTAATTGAAATTGCATAACCATAACGCCGGTTTAAATCGGACCCACTTTCATTAGTTTAGTAATAATTTCGAAAGCCAATTCTTCACGAGGTCTCGATTTTTCGTGAAGTAAAAGAGAAATAAATCTCCAAGATGGATGGACGGGCGGTCAAATTTACGCGGGCAGCAGACGACATTTGGTCAAATTTACGCGGGCAGCAGACAACATTTGGGAGAGCCACGCCCGGGCGCGTCACCTTGCGTAAGCTGATCTCATTTGTAAAATACATTAGGAAATCGGTCACCCACGAAGAATCAAACCTAGCCTCTCTCGGAGAAATTTTGTTCGTATTGGGGATATTCAACTCGATTATAGGATTTATCTGGGAATCGGGGATGGAAAGGGATCAGTTCATAATGGGGGATAATTTCCAAGGTATTCGATTTAGACGTTGACAAGAATTGTAAGAAAGATTACACTTTGGAAACACACAAAGCTTATATATTTACAAAGGTAAATAAAATATGAAGAACTTTAAGTGTAAAATATACACTTCTGATCTACAATATGTGTTGTATCCTAAAAACATGACAGTTTCTGATAGGTCTTTCGTACAATGATTGCACATTTCTCAATAGATAAAGAAAATTAAACAATTTTTCAATCCTGTAATTTTATTCATCAACAGATAAAAAATAAGTAACATAGTGAAATGCATAAGAACAACGCGTAAGTGATTGCTTATGACTTGTTGATAAATTTGAATCAAAGGTTCAGCGAACGAAATCGCATGCACACACAACACTGTATACATTGAGATATGGGGAGGGTGGTTAATATCGTGGTGAGATGGAAAACTGGTGTTCCTGGATAAGCCACCAGTGACCAGGTTGTACAGTGAGGGTTATCTAGGTGCGAGTGACATAGTGGTCAAACTTGTGAAGGTTCGCATTACATTGTGATTGTGTTCGTGACATGGTAAATAGGTGGAGAGTTATTTTTGTTATTGTTGGTTGACAAACGATACTTACAAAGCCCTTAATGCGCGCAACCTGTAAAACAGCAATTAACACTTGATTATTGTTGAACGAATATTTTTCTCACATAACATTAACTCCCGTTTGGCCCCAAGACTTGTGTTGAGCTTGATCACTGATGGTTGTATTCAAATTAACCATTTTCCGCAAATATCACAAATTGAATTACTTTTGGAAACCGGTTACTAGTATCCAACAAGATTGTACCATATGATTTGTATTGGGTGTGTTCAAAATATAGATGTTCAGAAAATAAAGCAAGTTTTCCTCACTAAATAAAGTTACAGAATTATAACTAAGACAGTAGCAAAAATAATAAAATTAAAATAAACCAGTAATCCATATTTATTTATAACAGAAAATCAACAACTTATTTTACCTGATCAAACACCCTCTTCGACAAATTCAACTACCAAAATCTTCATCCTTTGATCACATATAAACAACTAATTCCTTTTCCTTTGATATTGCTATAAAAAATCACCTCTTGATGTTTGCTAATACAACATAGTAGTAAAATTTGACTCATGACTTAATTGTGTATGATCTTTAACAATGAAATAATATACCTGTTTTCAATATAAACAATTCATTGTACTTCTCATAATCTGCACAAGCAATCGGTGAAATTAAAATGGAAGCGAAACAATCCCACACCAAGGTCGACCAGAAGGAGGATCCGGGACCGGGTACTTGGCGATATATCGACCTATCGAACATTCGTTATAGTGCTGCACGGGTAATGGGTTTAATCAACCCAAGACTAAAGATTAGAACAAATATACTTCTGTAGTCACAGTTGCCCGCCTGTATCGATCATACTGTTATAACAAGGCTTTACAAGGCTATTACCAATAATCTCTGAATATCAACAACACCTTATACGGAGCAGCAAAGTCATTCAGAAACATTCCCGCCGTAACCGTAACCGTTTCGCTGGTTGCGATTGTTATTTCCTCTAATTATAAACGTAAACAAGTTATTCGCGCCAGCGGTGCCCAGCCATGTATTTGGGCGGTTATCAGATGAAAGTTTGGCGGGTTCCATTGTCACTTTCGGCAGCGAAAGTAACTCGAATTCCATTTGCTACTGTACTTGCAAGTAATCATTTCCTGTCTGAACCATTTATCAGAGAATACAAATATTTCCGCATTCATCCATTCAAGTTTATCCCTCTTTAAAGAGCTGTCAATGCAACACAGGTAGTGTAGTTCAAGTTGAGAATGTTGATGTTGATGATGGATTGCAGGGTGACGATTGTCTAAAAGATGGTTGATTCTGTAAATATGTGCAAAAATCATCAGGAGTCTTATGGTACTGATAATTTCTAAATGTTTTTAACGAGTTGGATGGATTTTGTGAAGTTGGATAGCGTTAACGTGTATCCACCAACAGTCATGGCAAGTCAGCATAAAAGCAGAGAATTTTCCCGTGGTCTTACTTGAACAGACAAGAAACGTAATGAATTAGTTCGCATTAATTAGTAATCCACTCTACGTGACAAAACATGTAAAGACATCTTCCAAATCTACAGGGTTCTTGAATCTTGAGTACAGTCACATGTTCTTAAACACCGTCTATCCAAATTATTTGACACATTACTTTTAACACACTACCAAATTATTTGACCAACCTTCAGCAATCGTACTATTTATTGTTTATATGGATGGGAAAATGCATATTGTGTTCAACTAACATTCAGGGGATAGCCAGATCAGTTTAGAGGCTCTAAGAAAAAAAGACTTGAGCTCAAATCAGTAGTTAGGCTGACAGTAAGCTGAACCAAAAATTGTCTTTGGCTATCATGCAAACTGTCCATTCGAAGAATTTCACCAAAAGATGGATATTCCTTAGTTTACAAACTTAAGTCGTCATAGAGTTGAGAAAGGAATACAATTTAACAACCTGAGATCAATCTACAACAACATACCTAAGGGGCAACTACCTGGGATTGCAATCTATAAAAGTTCTTATAAGTTACCGGTATTCTTATAAGTTTTAAGTTCCTAGGATCAACAACTACCAACCTGAAGACAACTAGTCTACCTAATAACCTAACCTAAGGCTAAGGACACTATCTTATCACTTGCAACATGACTTGTCCACTATCCAGCACCGATAGACCATAACGTACTACATATACAACCACATCGTCGCACAGCTGTTGACTTATAAATGTGCTGAAAGCCAACAGGCAGCAGATCCAGTGATAAAGTGGCGAAGACGTTAATGTCACAGATAACCGAGGCAGTACCAATACTGTGATGCTGAGATACTGCGATAGGCATTGTGCAACATCTCATATGCGATATCTGGTCTTCGCACCACTTTCTACCGCAGTTATGAGTCCTTACGTTAATACTCGGTGTATTCCTGAGTTTCATAGAGGTTTAAGTGATAAAATGGACTGCAAAACACTACTACTGTATAGTGTCGCCAGACCATAACTGAACGAACATTAACTTTAATGATCAATCAATCAAATGGTAACAGGCTTTAAGATCTTCTACAGTTTACCTAAAGAACGTCGTGACTCCTGTAGTTTGAGTTGGAAATACTGTTGTATTTCATACAGTGGGAATACGGTAGTATATTTTCGTAAACCAACGTCGACCTAACTAAATCTATAAGCATTTAACTAATTCAACGACACACTCGAACGGAAATTTTCGTCAATGCAGTTGACCGTTGAAGCCTATCTTGCAAGATTTAAATTGATCATGAAGGTTTTAAATCTAGATGGCAGGCATCCGCGGTCAAAGTACACTGTCGATTCGTTGTCTTCCCAGGATGACTGTGTTGTTGAATTGGCGAAGATACTGGCCAAAGTTTCGGATTAGTTGTAGCAACCCTAATCCATCTTCAGGACAAACTCAACGACATGAACATCATCCCGAAGACCAAGTGAAGAGCATTTATGTCAACACGTCCCCTTGTTAGTGCATTTTTAGGTTGTTTCAAGTTTTAATTTGCATGATTTAAGCTGTAACATATGTGGGTTGAATAATTGTTGAAGGGTTTTTCGGTCAGTCAACTAAACATATCAGCGAATTACAAAAATGCAACAACGCTAATCAATTAACAGAAAGTGAGTAAGAAACCAACACACAGCACAGTGTCCAACAACAAACTTATAAACCGTTCGGAGAAGCGTGGATACAAAGTGTAGTTTCGTAATTTAGTTTAAATTAGTTTAGAGGCATCTCACGTTACTGATGCACATCGGTGATGACGCTAAACGTCCTCATTACGAGAGGCCTTTTCTGGTGATCTGATGTAGCTAACAGGCAATAACTCGCGCATGCGGAGCGAGGTCTGGCGCAAAAACTCGCAGGAAATGTCAGTCTGTTGCGTCACCAAAACTGTGTCCTCTTAAGTGACATTCGGAGTTGAGACTGAGTGAGAATTTGTACATCGACTGGTAAAACTTACAATAGAGAAGAGTTCCTATGGCAATGTGCGATCAATAATTACTTACTTTATACTCCCTAACTATTTTGTATTCGGCCTAAGTTGTACACAAACCCCTAGAAAGGGAGGGGTACATCTAGGAAATAGTTTAGAAACTATGCACTATAACTCTGCCAGTAATAAGTGCTGGACAACAGTTCTACTGGAACACTCGCCTACTAGTTTTCTCAACACGACTAAGAATTTCGAGAGCACAATAATTGATACCATGCGGAAATTCTTGGGAATTCAGCAAATTACAACGCAGAGTAAAAAAAACTTTATTTTAATTGCATACAATACTCGTACTTGCCGGTTTGATTACAAGTGAGAGCGATTTTGAACCCAGATGTCACTAGGATATTAAGATTTCAACTACGCTATCCAACGAAAGGTCGGCATTGGAAACAAGACCAGGGGTTGGACAGTTACCTTACAGACTAACCTAAAAGTGTCAATGGCGAAGATGAACAAAACACATAAAGTAAATATATTAATTAAGAAAATTCATAAACAAATAAGCATACATGAATGAAATACTGTACAACAGTAACGAGCTGCGGCGCCAAACTAACACAACACTTTTCCAAGTTCCTGTAGCTACAATGCTTTCATATACAATTATGTAACCGATCTTAGAAGCACGTCTTGATAAGCTACCTAGTGATTAGACCCGGAACAATCAGCAGTCCCAGAGGTCTTCACAGTTGACTGAGTAACTCAGCGACACTAGGCCAACAGCTGACCTCTTGACTTCTGGCTTAGCTGTTATATTGCACCATGCAGCTGGACTGTAGACACACCTATCTAGAAGCTACATGGATTTACATGGCTGACATTGTTAGTCGCTCACTCGTGTCGCATGTGGGCTCAAACTTGTAGAAAGGCGCTGGCGTAGTTTTGAAACCCGGATCAAAACGCGTTTTACGATCTTTTCTCCCGTTTCTGGTATTCCCGATAGAAATTTAATTAAAAATCTGGCTATCAACCAAAAACATTTTGTATGGTATAATTTACATTTTGATCATGCAGTTTCTCTAAGGTATCATGTACCACCTCAACAAGTAGTTTACCAATGTATCTTTTGAGTGATCATTGCAGGTTTCACTTTTACTTGACAACGACGTCTTTTGTGTACGTATTTTTAGCTGAATATAAATTTGGAATGGAGTGGATGATCGGTGAGCTTTGTTACTGACTAAAATCAGTTAGTTGTATCTTTATACACGATATGTAATAATCTTGGACAAAGAAACAACTGTTCTTAGTCATAAATGTAAAACCAAAACAAGGACAGTAAGTTAGGTCTGGTTTCAAACCATCAACAAGCTACTGAGTTTTCTCATGATTCCAAACGAAATCTCCTTGTCACCAAAACCTTTTTGGCTTCAATTCGCAACCTTGAAGTTTAACTTGACGCGGATTGGCATATGGCGCTATTCCAAAATCAACGAACATTTATGCACTATCTGAGGTCAAACTGGGTGTATCAGCGTGGTTTAGCATTTTAGCAAGTCGGCCTCATCTCTGCACGCGCCTCATCCTCGGGTCACCTTGATACATTT